ACGTTGCTTATTTTGTTAATTAGATATTGGTTTTTGCTAAAATTTTCTTTTTTAAAAAGTTCTTAAATCTTTTGTTTTAATTATATTATTATATAAGTTTTTTATTTATATATTTGATATTATTTATAATTTACCTAGTTTATTATTAAATTGATTTAGTCCTCTTATAAATTTGTGCTCATTTTTATTTTATTTTATTTTATTTTTTTAATTAAAAAAAATCTTTTTATTTAAAAATAAAATAGTTAATTTTAATATCTATATTAAAATTATATTTATATTCTTAACAATTTTAGATTTTTAAACCAAATAATTAATTACTCATTTAATTTATAGTTTTTTTTTTTTATTAAAAAAGGTTTGAAAATTTAATATTTTTAAAAATATTATAATTTTTTTATATTTATTACATTTTTTTTGTTTCTATATTAATTTTTTAATATAATTTAATTATTAATACATTTATACATATATAATCTTTATTTGTTATATTTATGTATTTTATTTGTTTTTAATATATAACAAATATTTACGATATATATAAAAATATATCAATAATATAAAAATATAAATAACTTAACATTAAATTAAAATATATTAAAATGATATTAACAAATACGCTTTAATATTATTTATTAAATATTTATATGTATTTGTTAAAAAAAATGATTTATAATTATGATTATTAGTTTAAAAAATACATTAAATATTTTTAGTTAAATAATTAATTAAATAAATATCAATTTTTAATTTTATATTAATAATTTTTTAAAATAAAAATGAAAAATAATAATTAATTTGAATTGACTGTAGAAGAAAAAAGAGAATACGAAGAATTTTTAAAAAGTTAAAATTAGACTAAAGATGATGAATTAGAAAAAACTATTTAAGATCATTAAATATAATTAGAAAATCTTTAAAAAGAAGCTGAGAGAAAATTAGAAATACAAATTAATTTAGAAAAGATAAAGGAAGATGAGTAAAATTTTATAAATGAACATGTAAATATGTAAGAATTATATTCTTAAGATCTTTAATAATAAAAAAAGTTGGTAGAATAAGGTTAATGAAAATAGAATAAAATAAAAAACATAATTATGTTAATTTATTTTTAAAATAAAGAATAAAATAAATTAAAAATATCTAGATTTTATTTTATGTTATTATCAAAAATAGTGAAAAATAAATATAAATAAAAAAATATTATATATCATTTTAAGAAAATATATATTTCTAATAATTTAAAAATTAAATATAAGAAAAATAATTCTATTTTTTTTTTTTATTAAAAAAAATATATGAAGAATTAATATTTTTATAATAATAGATAATAAGATATAATTTTATTTTATTTTATTTTTTATATTAATTTATAGTAAAATATATATTTAATTTAATTTATTTATTTAATTTAAACCGCAAATAATTAATTATTTTAATTTATATATATAAAAATTAATAAAATTTTATTCAGATTTAAAAAAAATATTAAATTTGTCTTTTTTGATTGGTTTATTTTAATAATTATTTGGCATTTTTAGAAGAATTAAATTAAATATTTTTTTTTATGCACAAATTTAAAAACAAATTAACAAATACTAATTTTTATTTTTATCTAAGCTTTTAATATTTTTAAATATTAAAATAAAAACTTAATTTAATGAAATACAAAAATACAATAAAAGTTTTAAATGAAACATAATATATATAATATTATATATTCAATTAAATTTTGTAAATAAATTGCGAAAATACTAAAAACTGCAATTTTTATTATTAAATATTTTTTTTTTTTTAAATAAATTAAAAATAATCTTGTATCATCAAATAATTTCATTTAATTTTAAATTTTATTAAAGAAAAATTAAAAAATATTTAAAAAATTAATTTATTTTTAAACTAAAAATCATTAAAATTTGCAACAACTTGAAAATTTTTTTTTTTTTAAAAAAAAATTCTATAATAAAAAAAATGCAAGAAATAAACAATAAAAATAATGTTTAATAAAATTAATAGGAAATTGAGCAATGTATATTTTGTATAAAATTTAAAGAAAAAAATGCTTTGTGTTTATTATTAAATAATGCTTTATATTCGAAATATTCATCATCTTAAAACTTTTTTTATACCAAAGAAATAAACAATATTCTAAATTGTGTTGTATCTCCAAAATTAACAAAATTTTATGATTAATAAACATATGATGAAAATCAATAATATTTCAAAAGATCTTATAATAAAAATGAATATGATACCAAAATAATATAATTAACAGAATATTATAAATTTCATAAAGATGTGTCGAGAATATTTATTAAATAAATATGTGTAATTATGAATAGATTTCATGATTAAAAGCGCAGAATAGATTATAAAAGAATAAAAAAAGAGTTAAATTTAGAAAATTCGAATAATACAAAAGATAGTTAATAAAATACAAGTATAACATAAAAAGATAATTAAGAAATTCCTAAAGAATGTGAAGATATGCTATTAGAATTAAAATAAAATACAGAGTTTGATACAAGTTCTTTTCTAAAAAAGACGAATAATAAAGTTTTTTATTAACAAAATTTAATTAATAATAATAACTAAAGTAAATTTCTGAAATACCATAAAGTCCTTGATGACGAAAAGTAATTTTATTCAATAGAAATATCTCTTTCACATTTAAAAAGTTTTTTATAAACTTAAGAATAAATATAATATTAACCTTATGGATTTAATTAGGAAGATTTTTAAGAAAATATTTTAATGAGAAAAAAATCTAATAATAATTCTAATGTAGTTTAAGAATAAGTTAAGTAATAAAATAATTAGAATGATTTATTTAAATAGAAAAGGATTGAAAAGATTTCAAATATAATAAAAGAATAACAAATATAATAATAAATTTAATAAAAAAAATAATAGTAGTATTTATAATAATAATAAAATTAATAATTATAATAATATTAATTATAGTAATAGTAATTTCAGAAATAATAAAATATTTTGAAAAACAAATAATAAATTAATTCATAAGATTAATTTAGATAAAATGATTATTAAACTAATTTAAAAGTAACGAAAAACAATTGCGCCTTATAAAAATGTAACTCATAATAATATTAATAATAATAATAATCTTAAAATAATAATTTTATGTAATTTACTGCTAATTAAATAGATAGTTACACAGTTTAACATTCAAGATAAAATAGTTAATCTAATCTAATATAAAAAATTTTATTAAAAAGAGCAAGTGATGCATAAAATATAATAGATAAAAAAATGAATAAAAACGATAAAAAAAATTAACTTAGATATTAAGTAACTGATAGGGAATAAATAGATTCACAAAGAAGAGAAATCCTAGATAAATTGTATTTAAATTCAAATATCAAAGTATTTAATTAAAAAAGCAACTAAGAAAATAATGATTACAAAAAAAATGTTAACATAATTAAATATAGGAAATAAACGCTAATTGTATGCATAATATAATAAATAAATCTCCTTAAAAAAATTCTGAAAAGTAAAGAATAAATAATATATTTTAGAAATAAATGATAATTAATTAAAATAGAAAAAAATAAAATCAAAGCAATAAAAATAGCTTTAATTTTACAAAAAATACAGAAACTTTAAATAATTAAAAATTTAATGATTATTGTAATATTTAAAAATATTAAAATTAAAAAAATAATTTGATTTCTTAGTAAAATTTCTTTACACATAAAAGAAATACTTAAAATTAAATATTTAATTCGAAAATGACTCTACAAATAAATTTAAATAAAATAATTAAGATTATAATACTCAAAAAAATAGCTTTATTTAACCTTTTAAAAATAAAAGCTAGCATATGTAAAATAATTAATATACATAACAAAAAAATAATGTTATTGCAAATTTTTAAAAGAATATTTAAATTAATAGCCCTTCTTTAAATTATTCAAATAGTAATAAACAAAGGGCTAGAAGCTAGGAAATTTTACATAATTAATACTCTTAAAATCTTCTAAGTAAAATAAATACAAGAAATAATAGCAAAAATAATTTAGTTTAAACTAATAATTATGTCTAAGGTAAATATAACTAAAATCTTTTAAATTTAAGCAAATCTAAAGTTTAAAGGAACAATTCTTAACACTTTAACGAATAAATGAAAATAAAAATGAAATTAAATATTGTTTAATCAATTACAAATAGAATTTAAAAAACTAATTAATTTAATAATTCTAATAATAATGTTTCAATAGATAAAAATAAAACAAATATTAAATAATAATAATAATACACTAATGATTTAAATATCAATGTAAATGATATTATTTAGTAAAGTAAAACTAATAATAATTGCAATATATATTATAATCCAAGTACAATAATAAATTTAAACATTAAAAACGGATAAACTGATAAATAAACTTTTACTAAAAAGTAACAAAATGCTATTTAAGTGGGTATTAACAATAACATTAATATTAATTAAAATAATTAAAAAATTTCCTTAATATAAAGAGGGAATTAATAAAAACTTAATAAATAATTTTGAATTAATTAAATAAAAAGGTGTAGAGGATAAAAAAAAATTAATTATTTATATAATTAATTATTTAATATAATTTTTTATTTTAAAAAATTATAAAATTAATAACAAAAAAATTTCATCATTATAATTATTTAAATAATTTTTAAAAATTTTTAATATAAATAAATAATTTATCATAAAATTATATATATAAATTTATATATTTATATTGGAAATAATTTTGTTATAATACACAAAATATAAAATTAATTAATATTTATAATTTATGATATTAAAAAAAAAAACCTATAAAATAAATAAATTATTAATACAAATATATACCAATATACTTTTATATTAAAATAATAAATTAATTTCATGTGGATATTATCTATTTATATGTAAAAATAACCATTTGGAAAAAACAAAAAAACAAAAAATTATCATAAAGAAAAAACAAAAATTATAAAATAATAGTATAGATAATAAATACAAATATAAGAAAACTAATGAAATAATTAAAAATACAAATAAATGAATTAAACTATGCTAGATTTACTAAAACATAATTAAAATTACAATCTGATATTGCTAAATTATCAGAAAACGAGCTTTTTGAAAACGCAATAAGTTCACTAAATATTCCGTCAAACAAAAGAAATATGGTACAACTTCGATTAATAGAGATATAAATAGATAAGTTCCCCTACATTTAAAAATTAAAGAAATAAAATCAAAATTTATCAAAGTAAGTAGCAAAAATATCCGAATATAAAAAAGCTCAAAAAGGTTAAGTAATAATATACACAGGAACAGATCCAGACAATTTTTATTTGATTTTGAAAGGAAAAGTGGCTGTTTTATTACCAAAAATATCTGATTAAATAGAATAAGAACGATAATAAGGAGAAATAGTGAATTTATAAAACATTGTTAGTTAATAAAATTCAAATAATAATAATAATAGCTATCCATAGAAATAGCCAATATCTAATAATGTACTGAATTATTAATATTCTGAATAAACAAATACTATTGAAAAAAAAAATATACAAAATATAATAAAATCGCCGATTTCTAATAAAAATATATAAAAATTTATATGTGATATCAATATTTAAGAAGGAGTAAATTAAAATTAAAATAACTCTGATTCTAAAATGTTATCTAATTATATTTGCAAAGGAGTTGATCTATTTGTTGATGAACTTAAAGAACCTCATAATTTGTATGAAAATGGCATATTTAAATATGAATATGTTAAAGATATTAAATAATATGAAGTTTTTGGTGAAATTGGCATTCTTTTAAAAATCCCAAGATCTGCAACTATTATTGCAACTGAAAATTGCGATTTAATTAGTATTAGTAAATATAATTATGAAAGTTTAATTAATAGATTAGAAGAAATGAAAATGTTTAAAAAAATATAATTTTATAGAGATGAAGTTTTCAAAATAGATATAAATAATTAAGATATGACTAAAATAATTATTAATTTTGCTGAAAAATAAAAATATAAAAATGTATTAATTTTTTTTTATTCAATGTATATAAATTAATTATTATTTTTATAAAATTATTTTAAGAATCAATATATATTTAAATAAAATGATGATGTAAAATAAGTATTTATTATTAAAAGAGGTGAAATCAAATTAACTAAAACAATGGAAGATAATTAAAAACAAATTGATATTAGTGTTTTAACAAAGTCTGAGTTTTTAGGAAGCGAAGATATTGTCTTTTAAAGAAAAAAAGACAATTTAATGCTATATGTTTAAGTGAAGTCGTTTTATATGTTTGTAATATTAAATTATTTAATAGAATTATGAAAACGCATAGTTAGATTAAAGAAATTATTATAGACAGATCATAATAGAAATAAGATTGGTATAAACACAAAATATGGGATGTACAAAGAAAATCTATGATTTTTTTAAATTAAAATGATTAATTATTAAAATAATAATAATAATAATAAAATAAAAATGAATTAAGTTAATATCCATTATGTAAAATATATATATATAAATATATATATATATTTTTATATATATATTTAAATTTATTATAAAATTAAAATTAGTAAATAAAAATGGCTAAATAAAACATTTTTAAAGAAAGTCGATTTTATTAATATAATAATAATAATAAGAAAGAAATGAAGAATATAATTTAAAAAAATAGCAATAGCCTTATTAAATTTAAATAGACAATTAAATTGATTTTCCTTCAATAATAATATCAACATTAACAAACATAGACTCAAATTAAGATAAAAATAAAATATAATCACATAATAATTTGAAGGAAGTAGATAGTCTTAATAAAAATCTAGAAAGAAAATAATCTATATCATAAAATTTTATTAATAATAAATAATTTTTATCTCCAAAAATGATTGTATAAAAAATAATGATATTCCAGAATAAAATTTTTTTTCAATTTATTAATAAAATAAAAATTTCTTGCAAGAAGATTAAAATATATTATTAAATAATGTACATAGGAGATATAGTGCAAATTTTTATAAACATTGGTTTGATGATAACAAATAAAAAGAACTTAAAAAGTCCTTTGATTTTAGAATTCATAATAAATCTTAGGTATAACCTTATAGGATTGAAACTTAAAACAAAGTGAAGTTTAAAAATTTATCTAATTCAGGAATTGTTGCAGATTAGGTATCGCTAAATATTTAAAAGAAAATAGATAATATTATAAAGATAAAAAATAAAAAAAGTACAGAAGATGGACTATTAATGAAAATTTTATCTACGGATAAATTAAATAAGGAAGATAGTATATAAAATAATAATGAAATAAATATTAATAAAATTAATAGTTGTGATAGTTTATTATAAATAAGTTATGATCATTTACTTCAATTAAAACCTCCTACTTTTAATAAATTAAAAAATAAAAAATAAAAATCTTGTTTCTCAATATAAAACATAAATAATGAAAAAATAGATTGAGTGTAAATAAAAATATTTTTATATAATAATATAAATAATTAATATATTTTTATTTAGAATATATATATATATATAAATATATATATTTATAGAAATAGAAAAATAATATTTTTTTTTTTTATTATTATCAATATTATATATTATTTTAATATATAATTTTTAAAATTCTTATAAAAAATTAGTTTTTTTTTTTTTTTTAATAAAAAAAAAAGTTGAGTATAAAATCCAATATCATTTATTTAGATTATAATTTATTTCATTTTATTATTATTATTTATTTATATATAATTTATTTTCAGATTAATATTACTATTACTATTATTATTACTATCTATTATAGAAGTTTTATTAAATTTAATTTATTTTATGCTTAAGTATATTTATTTCTTCTTTAACAAATTTACAAATGAAATTTTATTCTTAAACATCTTTAAAATTACTCAAAATTTTAAAAATATCTTCCTCTATAGATTATATAGTTGCTAAAACTTCTTGTTCAACAAATTTTTTATGATTATTTAGTTCGTTTTGAATTTTTTCATTTTCTTTTTATATTGTCTGAATATCAAGTAATATTCTGTTATAATTTTCTTCTATATTTTATTTTTCATTTAAAACTTAGCTTTTATTCATGTTTTCTTTTTATTGGAAATTAGATATCTTATTTTCTATGTTTTAAATATATTAATCGAAGCTTTATGTTGTTTTTAAATAATAATCTTGACATTTTAAATCGATTTCTTGAATATATTTAACTACATAATCTTCTGTATGGGTTATTTTTTGTTAAAATAATCATATTGTTTTAATATTTCAATTATTTATTCTTCTTTCTCGTTTTAATTTTATAAAATTATTGTTTATATTGAGTTTTCTATTTCTTATTTTATATTTAAAACTGATAAACCATTATAGGTATTATTTGTTTCTTTCAATGTCATTAGTCTATCACTTAGTTTTACGTTTTCCTCATTTGCTGCTACTCTCTATTCTAATTATTCTAATCTTATTTGAAGCTCTTTTAACGTTTGCTTTTGTTAATAATCTTCCGGTTGTATATATGTTGCTGTTTTTATATTCTTTTCTATTTAAAATTATTAAACCTTTTCGCTATTTGCGTTTTAAGATAATATCTAATCTAATATATTTTATTTGTTATTTATGTTTTTTTAACTAAGAATTGTTTGAAAATTAGATAATTATTTAAATGGATCTTAATCTGGAGATTACATATTAAATTTTTCCATATAAGTAATTTTTTATTTAATTTGTTATTAATTTTATGTTATGTTATTAATTTTTTGTTATATTATTTAATATATATATAAATTTAAGTTATATTATTTTTAATTTACTATTTATTTTATTATAAAATACTATATATAATAAATATTATATATATATTGTTTAAATCAATAGATATAATATATTTATTATTTTTTTTGTAAAATATTAATTATAAAATATATATATATATATATATATATATTTAATATTTAAAAAAAAATAATAAATATTGTTATTATATTAACTTATTTTATTCATAGCATTTCATATTCATCTATAAAATCCCAATATTGTATAAAATTATTTTAAATACAAATATAAGATCCTAAATCTAATTCTATTTATTTTTCAACAATATTATTACAAATAGGTATTGGAAGTTAATAATATCTTTTTGTAAAAATGAAAAAAAAAAAAATTACATTTTATTTTATTTTTTTAATAACAAAAAAAAAAGAACTTTTATTTGACATCAAACCAATTTATAGTTTAAAAAAATTCATGATTTTTAATTTCTTCGGAATCATTTTTTCCTGATCCTAATCTTTCTTCAGGATTCTTATTTATCAGCTTTTAATAATAAATAATACAAAAATAAAACAAAAAATTAATAGGCAAAAATACTTAACTAATTAAAGATTTAGCTTTTTAAGATAAAAATAATGGGAATTCAGCTTTCTTATTTTATATATTATAATATAATTATTTTCTATCAATTTAATTAAAAGGAGGCTATCCAACCAATAATTCATATGCCAAAATACCTAATTAATACCAATCGACACTTTTATTATGTCCCTTTTTGTTAATTATTTCTGGCGCAAGATATACACCCGAGCCACAAAAAGTAGAAGAAACCCCTGTTCCTTAATCTTCTTTAGATAATCCGAAATCTATTAATTTAATATGACCATCTTAACAAAGTACAATATTTTCAGGCTTCAAATCTCTATATAAAATATTATTATAATGTAATTCTTCAATAGCAAGTGTTATTTCACTTAAATATTTAAGTGCGATATCTTCATCAAACCTTTTTAAATACAAAATAAAATATATAAGAAAAAAAAAAAGAATATATATTAAAATATTTTTCTTAAAAATACCTCTTGTTTAATTATAAATAATTATATAAATTACCTCCAGCACAATAATCCATTACAAAAATCAAAAAATTTTAAGTTTAAAAAGCATGATATAGTTTTACTATAAAAGAAGAATTACATTTTTACATTATACTTTTTTCAGAGATAGCATATTAAATTAAATTATTTGCTTATATTTTTATTAATATAATTAAAAAAATAACAAAATATATTAAAATAATATTAATTTGTTATTTAAGAAAATAAAAAATATTAATATATTAAAATAAAATTATGTAAAATAATATATTTTTATAAAAATATTATAAATATAATATTTAAAAATTTTATAAATTATTTAAAAATATATATTTATTAAAATAAAAAGTGATATAAAATATCAAAATTTTTTATTTAAATATTGTAAAAAGTGTATTTATGAATTAATTTATGGTAAAAATTATTAAATCTGTAAATATATTGAAAAAATAAAATAATATATATATATATATATATTATATATATATTTTTATATTTTTATATTTTTATATTTTTATATTTTTATCTATATTTTTTTTTTTTTATTTATTTTTATATTTATATTTTTATACTTAATATCTTTTCTTTATTTAATATTTTCATTGCATATTTCTTTTAAGTTTTTTTATTTTAAATAAGATATATATTTCCATAACTGCCCTATCCAATATGAGATAATATATTATATAATTCAATACCATAATTATTACTTTGATATTCCATTTTAATATAAAAACAATATTAATAAAAAATTACATTTTTGTATTTTTTACTAATTATAGTTTTATTTATTATTAGATATAATGTATTAATTATTACAGATATTAGAAAAATATTAATTCTAATTTTATTTCTAATTTTAATTTTAATTTTAATCATAATATTAATTTTAATAATATTTTTTATTTTAATTTTATATATTATAATTTTATTTTTAAATATTTTATAATAACTATTATTAATTATTATTTTTATCTTAACTTTTATTTTAAAAAGGATTTTTTTATTTTTTCAATTTTTATTAATCATGTTGATTTTATTATTATTATTATTATTATAAAATTTAAAATTACTATTATTATTGTATATTTTTTTACTATTATTATATAATTTAATATTATTATGGCATATTTGATTATTATTATATTATATATGAATTTTATTATATATGAGATGAGTTTTTTTTATAAATACTTTTATTTTTATATTAATAAAATTAGTTTGTAGCGTTTAAATTTTTTTATAGATTGTTTTATTGGGATTAAGAACGTTTTTATTCTTATTATTTTTTGTTATTTTATATAATCTTTCCATTTTTATGTTAATCATATTATGTTTATATAGAATTATTACAACTATTATATTATTAAATATTTTATACTTGAGTATTTTAGTTTTTTAAAATTTAATTTTATAATCTAATAATAATTTTAATTTAAAGGTTCATTAATTTTGTATTTATTCAAAATACTTTGATTTTCATTTGTAGAAAAATACCTCATTTCTTAATTTGTAATTGGTTCATTTTAATTCAAAATTTATTAATTTTCATTAATTATTTCTTATTCAATTTTATTTTTTTAATTATTATTTGATAAATTATATTCTTCATCTTTTTAATATTGAAAAGTTGATGAAAAAATACAATCATTTATTGAATTTTATTTATAGCTATATTTAAATTTGGATTCATTAAGAGTTTTTTTTAAATTACTGTATTATATTTATTGTTAATTTGTTAATTTCTAAACTGAACTATTTTTACTTCTAAGACCTGGAGAATTTAATAATTTTTGCTATTATTATAATTTATATTGATTTGTTTAATTGTTTTATTTATAATTTCTTTTTAAAGAAAATTAAAGTAATTGCTTATCTCTACAATTAAAATTATTATAATCTTCATTTTCTACCATTATTTTTATCTTTTAATCATTTTAATTAATAAAATTATTTTCTGGAAACTATATTATTTCTGAATTTTTAAAACTATGTAAATGAACTTGACTTTCTATAGATTTTTTTTTTATAATAAATATAAATTAATTTATTATGTTTTTTATTAGTCTATGTATATATGAATTTAATTAGAATTACTTATTTAATTTTTGTAGTTTGTATTCATTATTTTCTAAATTATTTTAATATTTATTTATAAATAATTTATGGTGCAACTATTTTAATTTTTAATTTATTATGATTTCTTTTATTGTATAAAATATAATCAGATATTTAATAAATAAATATATTTATATTGAAATATTAAACGCATTAAAAATAATATAATAAATAATTAAAATTTAATTAAAATAAAAAAAATATGTATAGAATATATATTAATAATAATAATAATAATAATAATAATAATAATAATAATAATAATAATAATAATAAATAATAATAAAAATTATAATTATAATTATAATAATTAATATTATTAAAACAATTTGACTTTTTTTTTATGATATTAATTATTGAAATAAAAATAATTATAATTAACTTCAAAATTTTTCACTATAAATATTAAAATCTCTAAATAATAAATTTAATATATTTTTTTTAATAAATTATTATTAAAATATGTATAAATACTTTTTTTATATCATAAAATCTTATATTTTTTAAAAATTAAATTAATTTTTTACAAATTATATGTTTAAATATATATTTTTTATAAAAGTAGTTAATTTGATATTTTCCAAACATTGTTTTTGTAAATCGAAATAATTAAATTATATCTACAAAAAACAAAATTCAAAATTAAATAAATTTTAAAAAAATAATTAAATTAAATATTAATAATCATTTTTTATTTAAAATTATTAGTAAAATATAAATAGTTTATTTTAATTTTTTTTTGAAATATTTTTATTTAAAAATAATTAATAAATGAAAAAAGCAATTATTCTTAGTTTTATAATAATAATATAGATCATTTAAAATATTTTTTGTGAATATGAAAAACTAGAAATATATTAAAGTATATTAAATAATAATAATATTATTTATAATATATCATGTTAAACTAAAAAAAAAATTGTATCTTTAATTTGTATAATAGCGTTATATAAATGTATATAGTTTAATAAGATAATAAACCATAAATAGAAATATAATAATTTAGTTAATATTTAGGGTAGGATATATATAAAAAAAGTTTGATATAGATATTGTAAATAGATTATAATCAAAATATTTTTAATGCAAAATTTAATTTTTAAAATATTAATGAATTATTTAATTATTAAATAATATATTTTGGATATAATTTAATTTAAAATAAGGATGTAAATACTTTATCTAATTATAATTAATTTATAAGCTTTATAAAATCAAATTTAAATCCATATATTCAGAAACATGCTAATAATTGTAAATTAAATTTATAAAAAATAAAATATTAATTTTTTTCAAAAAATTATAAAATTATTATATTTATTATTTTCAAAATAAAGAAAAATTTATTTATTCTATTATTATTTCTAATTAAAATGAAAATTAATTAAGTTTAGTTAACGATTAAAATAATTTATTTGAATATAATAATTTTATTATGGAAAATGGAGAAAGCCTTTAATAATAAAGTATTACTTTGAAAATTTAAAAAAAATTAAATAATTTTAATTTTGATTTAAATTGTAATATATTTGAATAATTCTTTATAATATTTAATAATATTAATATAATTATCTATTATAATTGGAAACAAAAATAGTTGTTATTAAAAAATGATTCTTTTAATTAAAGTAATTAAAAAAGCTTAAAAATCTATATAATATTTACATAGATGTAAAATTAGTACTTTAAGAATATACAATATAACAAAATAATATACAAATAATTTTTGGTTTATTATATTTAGAAAAATAAAATAATTAAGATTTATATTCTTAGCATATCAATGAAAAACTTTTAGATAGAATTTTAGAATATGATATATAAGAAAGATGGCCTGAAATCGTTAAAAAATCTCATGCGATAATTTTATTTATTTTTTGGGGATTTTTATTAGATTTTGGAGTTTTCGTAGTTCGTTATTTTAAAGCGTATAAAAAATATTTAAGAATACATGCTTCGATTTTCGCAATTACAAATCTTTGCTCTCTAGTCGTAATATTTATTAAAATAAGTTAAAGAAAAATGCAAATTGGTGATATTTAATCTTAAAGTTTTAATGAAATATTTCATTTTGGATTAGGAATAACTATTATTGTTTTGTTAGTTATTTAACATATCTTAGGTATGATTGTTAAATTAAATATAGAAAACGAAAATGGTTCCGAAAATGTCCATAAAATTAAATTTATTCATAAAGTAATATTTTTTATTATTTTAAAATTTAAATATTTATTTTTGATTTTTTTTTAAAATAAAAAGATAAATGGATATTTAGTTTACATTGTTACTAAAATTAACCTTATTATTGGAGCAGATATGTATGAGAAAAAATATATAATTTATGAAAATAATATAATGGGATAAAAATATTGGTGGTATTGTTTTATATTTAATATTTACTTTTGTATGTATTATAAATATTATAGGGCTAAAGCTATTGGTGGACTTTATATTTTTTAAATTTTTATAAGAATAATTTTTGAAATTGTATATTAAATAGAACCTGATATATTAAAAAGGAAAAAATCTGAATATAAAGAAATCGAAAAATCAAAAGAATAAGATGAATTAATGGAAAGGTTAAATAATAATGGTATTTTTATTTAGTAAATTTAAATTAATTATTTTTATTTAAGTTCCCATCCATGAAATTAACAAAGAATTTCCAAATCTCTTGTATTTAATTTTAGGAAAAAGTGTATATGATGTTACTGAAATTTAGCATCCAGGAGGATAGTTTATTTTGAAACACTTAAAAGGTGATAAAATTATTATTTTTTTTATTTTTATATTATTAAAAGGCAAAGAAATAAGCCGTTATTTTTACGGAGGATACTAATGTGAATAAACTAAAATGCAGCCTTATAGGCATTCACTTTATGCTAATAATTTTATCTAAAATTTCTATATTGGTGATATAAAAATTGATTTTAATCCTTTTATTTAAATAGAAAATGTATCTTAACTGTAAATGTTTAAATAATATGTTTTTTTTTTATCTAAAAAATAAAATATTTAATATTAAAAATAGGGAAAATTCTTTACCAAAAGAGTGTTGGATATTGGAAGAATCAAGAGAAATAACATAATAATATAAAGTACTTTTATTCCATAACAGACATTATAAAATAAAAAATTATATTCCTGGAGTTAGATGGTTTGGAAAAAGTGCTACTGTATATAGTTTTTTTTTATTAAAAAATAATTATAATATTTTATTTCATATAAATAAATAATAGATATAACCATATATTGATTCCTTTAAAATAAGCCCTAGAAATTATTCAATAGTAATTGCATATACTGATGATAATATAGCTTACAGGATAGAATTAATGCGTTATTTTTAGTATAAAATGATGGAAATTTCGAATATTAGTTAATTATCGGTTAACGGAGTATAAAATGTTCCTTAACTTAGTAATGAATATTCGACCTTGATTCCTTTTTTGATTAAAAAATATACAAAAAATACACTTAATGGCTTATCCAAATTCTTGCATATAGGATGTCATAAATTATATAATATAGATGGTCCAATTGTATTTTTTATTTATTTGAAAATAAAATAATTTTTAATTAAAATTATATAGGGGTAAGGTTTACAAATAAATGAATTTAGTGATGGAGATCATATTATATTTGTTGCAGGGACTGGAGTTTTACCTTTTATAGATTTACTTGATTATTTATTAAAGAAAGTTATTTATACAGTAATAAAAGCTAACTTTGGTTAATAAGAAGCTAATTTAATAAATCCTTATGGAGAAAAGTATGAATAAACTTTATAGAATAACTTCAGAATAAAGTTTTATGGATGTTTTGAAAGCAAAAGTATGTTCTATGGTTATTAAATTGTATCAGATCTTTATATGTATTGTAATTAATTTTAGTTACATTGGTTTGATTCTTTAGTTAGATTTGCTAATAATGATAATGATAATATATAACCTATTACCAAATCTTATTTTAATTTTGAGTTTATTGAATAAGTTATTTAATAAAGCAATTAAACCAACTTTTTGTCAAAAGTATTTATTTGTGGACCTCCTGAATTTAATAAAAATATTAATAAAATTCTGATTAAACTTGGGTTACCAAATGAAAAAATATAGATTCTTTGATTTTTTTATTATTTCTATAATATTAAAATTTGAAAATTTTTTTATATAAATATTATATATATTTTTTTATTTTTCTTTATTGTTTATTATTTATAAAAATAATTTTATATATTTATATAGTATACATATAAAATTATTTTATTAATTTTTTTAAAAATTTTTTATTTCTTTATTTATTTAAATTTTTGTTTTATTAAATATATATTTATTCTTAACAAATATAAATTTGATTTATATTTAACTATCATAAATCAATTATTTATTTTTAAATTAATTTTAATTGAAAACAACTAGAAAGACTATTTAAAAAATATGGATTAATAAGATTAATAAAATAATATAGACTAATATTAATATTAAAGCTAAGACTAAAGTACTTTAGCAAATATTAATTACGAATTTAAAAATCTATAAACTCGTTTAGAAGAAGTAGAAAAGAAAAACGTATCAATTTTAAGTTAGCTAAACTTCATTTAAAATAATCCATCTTAAAACTATTAATAAAATATTAATTATATGGCAAAATAATATTAATCACATTCCCCTAAAATTAAGAAATTAAATATAAAATGTTAAATTTAAAGAACATAACCTAAATGTTATATTCAAAAGTATTTAAAATAAAAAAATATACATATAAATTTATAATTAATATATATAAAAGCAATTAATAAAGTTTACAAAAAAGGAATTAGCAAAAAAAAATCGAATTACATAAAAACAGTTTCATTGAATAAAAAAATATGAATAGTGAAATATTAGTTAAAACTCCAAATACTTCAAAAAATGCTTAAGAAAATAATAGGAATCATCAAGTAAGCAATTCCATGTCGAAAAAAAAAAATTCTGACTAAATTTAAAATACTAATATTATGAATTCTTCTGTTTGTATAAATCAATTAAAAAAGGAAATTAAATTCTTAAAAAGTTAAATTATAAATGCTGAATAATCTTTAGAAAAATAAATTAAATAAAATTAAGAGTTGCATAAAATTTTAACCGAAAATGAATAATATTATCAAAATTCTATTTAAGAAAAAATGCATGATTATAATTTAGAAATAGAACAAAATATATAATTATAATAATAAAAGTCTAATATTGAATATAAATATTAAAAGCAAAAAAAGAATTTATAAAAACTTTATAAAATAATTACTGAAAAAGAAAACGAAAATAAATAAATTAACTAATAAATAGAATTGTAAATTTCAAATATAAAAGAAAATGCAGAAAATTAAATTATTTAATTAGAAGAATAAACGAATTAGAAAATTCAGAAAATTTTTGAATGTTTAAATAATAAAGAGAATGAAATTAAAATATTATAAGTATATAAAATAAATAAATAAATATATTATTAATATTTATTAAATTTTTAAAGAATAAAATTTAGTTTTTCTCATCTCTAAAATAAAATTCTTTAGTTGATTGCATATATTAAATATATAATAATTTAAATTAATTATAAACTAATTTATAATATAGTAAAAGTAATTTACTTGAATAAAATTAAATTAATTTTTTAGATAATATATTAGAATTGAAAGAAAAAAAAGAATATATTTTAAATGATTTAAAATAAAATAAAAATTAAAAAAATTAACAATAACTTTTAGAAATGATTTAATTTTTAGATTAATAAATAAATTAAATATAAAATAATAATATCGATAAAAAATAACTTATTATTAAAATTGATTAATTATAATAAGAAAAATAAAATCAATCATAAGAATTTAATAATTATTTTAAAAATAAAATAAGTATTTTATTAAATCAAAATATTGATAATTTAAATGAAGGATTTAAACTATTGGAATAAAAAATATAAGAAAATTCTACTCCAAAAACATTTAAATAAGTAGAATGCTAGTATTAAGAAGGGATATAAATAAATAAGTGTAATGAACTTTTGCCAGAATTATAAAATAATAATTCTAATTTATAATAACAAATTTATAATTCTTAACAATAAAATTAAGAGACGATAAATTAAATTTAAAATTATGAATAAACTATAGAAAAATTAAATATTTAGAATCAAAAAAATTTAGAAAATATAGAAATTTTATAAATATAAATATAAGAATATAAAAATATTAATGAAATAATTTAAAACAAAAATGAATGCTAAAAAAACAACGAAAACTTATCTAAAATTTTAATCTTAAAAGAATAATAAATTGAATAATTAATTTTATAAATAAATAAATACTAAAATGAAGGAAATGCAACTTTAAATTAAAAGATATTAAATTTATAATAAATAATATAAGAATAATAACATATAAATCAAGAAACAAATAAATAAAATTAATCATTAAAAGAAGAAAATATTAAATTAAATAATTAATATTAGACAATATAAGAACAATTAAATAAATAAAATAATTTAATAATTGATAAAGAAACAGATTATAATTTGATAAAATAAAAACAAGATATAGATAATAATTAAAAAGAAATATTATCATAATAATAAAAATAGTTTATAAATAATCGAAATTCGGATTAAGACTAATTAAAAAATGAATTTGAAAATTTCAAATAATAGTATTATTTTATAGAAGGGTAAAACTTAAAGCTTTCAGAAAAAAATAATAATTTAGAGTAAAAAATAATTAGGTTAAATGATTAAATACAAGATAAATAATTAAAAATAGAAGATTACAATTAATAAAATGAATAATTATAATAAAAAATACAAAATTAAAATATTTTATATTAAAAAACATAAAATGAATTTTAGGTATTATTAAAAGAAAACAAAAATTTGATTGAATAAATAGGATAAAAATAAAATATTATTTTTGAATAAGAAAAGTTAATTAAATAATTATATGATGTTTAGAAACAATAAAATGATTAAAAATAAAATGCCGATAAAAATATTTAACAAGTTTAATAAATGAATAGTTTAATAGAATAATTAAAATAAGAAATTAAATAAAAAATTGAAAATATTTAATAAAACGAAAGAAGTTTATAAAAAAATTAAGAAATTAATTAATAATAATTATAATATATTAATGAAATGGAATTAGAAATTATTAATTTAAAAGATTAAATGAATAATTAAAATAAATTTGTTTATGAATTGTAAAATAATTAGGAAAAAAATTATTATGAAAATATTTAATTAAAAGATGATATTAATAAAAAGAATTTAATTATTGAAAATTTATAAAAAAAAAATTAGGATTAATTTATTAAATATAATGATGAAATTTAACGAGAACTTAATAAACAAGAAGAAGAAGAAGATTAAATTAAATAATCTTAATAAAGAAATAAAGAAGATTTATAAAATGAATTAAACAATAAAATTAAAGATTTAATATAGTAATTAAACTAATAAAATGTCGAATAAAAATAATATTATTCGCAAAACAAATAACTCAATATATAATTATAAGAACTGTAGAAAGAAAATACATAATTATAAAATTAAATGAATGAATATAATATAAAAAATATAAATAATATATAAAAATAAAATAATTTAGAATAATAAATATAATAAGACTTGGAATTAATTTCTGAATTATAATTGAAAATCGAATAATTAAAAGAATAAAATTAAGAATAAGAAAATTAAATTTAATAATAAAATTAGTTATAAGAATATTATAATCAAAATATATAATTATTTCTAGATATTTAAAAATAATACTAATAATAAATAAATTAAATATAATCTTTAAATTGTTAAAATTTAATTCTAAATGACTAAATTAATGAATTAAAATAAATTAATTTAAATTAAAGTTAGTAATTAATTTAAATAAATAAATTAAATGAACAACTATTATTAGAAAAAGATAATATTATAAAAAATTATAATACTTAAATAGCAGAATATAAATAAGAAATTTAAACTTTATTAAATTAATATGATAAATTCGAATAAGAAATAATTATAAAAAATGATAAAATTTAAATTTTAAAATAATAAATATATGATATTAATATAATTAACTAAAAATTAAATTAAGAAAAAGCTTAAATCAGAATAGAATTTCAAAAGTAAATTGATATTTTAGAAAAATAATTATATGAAAAACCTTAAATATAAACTAATTTATGTGAAGAGAAAGCTACGTAAGATATATAATTTGTGAATTAAAATAATGAATTTATTAATTAATAATAATAATAATAATATGAAGAGAAAATATAATAATTAAATGAATAAATTTAAAACTTAAAATACAAAAATGAATAAAAAATAGAAAAATAAAATATATTAATTTAAGAATAGGAATAATTAAAGGAATTACTTTAAAAATAAATGAAAGAATAAATAAAAGATAATAATTAACAAATAGAAAATATAAAACAATAAAATAAATAAAAAATAGATGAATAATTAAAAGAATTTGAAATTTTAAAATAAGAAAATGAAGAATTGCAAAATTAAAAAGATTAATTAGTTAAATTAATTGAATAGGTTAAATAAGGATATTTATAATAAATTTAATTACAAAAAAATGAAAATTTACAATATTCTTTATAAATTTAAGAATAAGAGACAATTAAAAATAATCTATAATAAAAAATTGATGATTTTTAATACGAAAAAATACAGTTTTTACAAGAAATTAATGCCCTCAAAAATCGAAGTTGCGAATATTTTAATTAACTCATTGAATAAAATAAAGGATTTAATGAATAAAATTAAAATTATAAAAATTAAGATACAATTAATATATTAAAATAAGATAATTTGAATTTGCATATAGAAAATAAATAAATAAATAATGAATAGAATTAATAAATATAAAATTTAATAAAAGAAAAAAATTAGTTATAATAAGATAATGAGTAAATTTAATAATTAAATAATCGTTTAAAAAATGATATTGATAATTTATAAAAAGAAATAGATGATTTAAAAGATAATCTATATATTGAAAACATATAGAATGAATAAAATATTAAAAAACTAAGTATAGAATATTAAAACTAAATAAATTAATTTAAAAATTAAATTAATTTACATTTAGAAACTATTTAAATGCAATAATAACAAATTTAAAAATTTGAAGAGAAAAATTTAAGTTATCTATCAAATTTAGATAATAAAAATGATGTAAATAATTAAATAGAAAATTTAGAGCAATAAATTTAATAAAAAAATACACTAATTTAAGAAAAGAATTAATAATTATAAAAATAAAATGAAAAAATTGAAAATTAAAATATTGAAAATCAAAATCAATAAATCGAAATATAAAATTTAAATGAAAAAAATAAAATATTTAAAGAAGACTATTAAAAATAAATATAATTTATAAAAAATTTATTATTAAAAAACGAATAATTAAGAGAAAATTATAATGAAAATTTATAAAATACAATCGAAAATTAATAATAATAAGATGATATATAATTATTAATAAATTAATTTAATATATATATATTATAATTGTAAGATATAATAATAAACTAAGAAGTTAAATTAAAATAAAATATTGAAAATTTATAAGAATAGGAACATACAATATATGATTTAAATTAAAAATATATTGATGAGGTTAACAATAAAGAATAGGAAATAAAAAATTTAAATTAAAAGTTGTAAAATAAAATTGTTTAAATAAGCCGTTTAGATGAATAAAATAATAAATTTTAACAAGAATTAAATTAAAAGGAAACCAGTTAGAAATAATTTTAAGAAAAATACAATGAAAAATTAAAATAAATTTAATAAAAATTCATTTTATGTGAGAAAAGATTATTAGAAAATGAAAATAATAATTTATCTTAATTATAAAAGGAAAAATTATAAAATGAAAATCTTAAATAAGAAACAGAATTTTTAAAACTTACAATTTAAAATTTATTATAATAAAATGAGAAAACACCTTTAGATAAAAATAAATTAATTGAACAATTTTAATTATAATTAAATCAATTGCATATAATTATTGATTAATTAAAGGATGAAAATTAATAAATTTAAAATTAAAATGAAAAAACATAATAAGAAAATTAAATATTAATTAAAGAAATCAAAAAAATGAATGAATAAATTATAATAATACAACAAGAAAATCAAATAATGAAATAATAAAATAAAAATACAGTTTAAGAAGTTATTTAAAGAGAAGAAGAAAATAATTTAAATGAAATAATAGTTTAAAAGACTTCATAATAATAAGTAGAAAACGAAGAAATAATAGACGAAAATCAAAAAGTAAAAGAATAAGATGAAAAAATAAAAGAAGAATACAATAAAATAATTATTTAATAATAAATAAATAATGCAGAAAATTAAAAAAAAGAAAGCCTTATTAATTAAATGGAATAGTAAAACTAAAAATAAAATTTATAATCACAAATATTACTCCAGTAAGAAATTTTAAAACTTAATAAAATACTTGAATAGTAAAGTCAGAAAATAGAAGCTTTAAATGATCAAATAAAATACTTAGATTAAATAAATATTAATATAAAAAATTTTTACTAAGAGTAAATATTAAATCTATAGGAAGAAAAGAAAAATAATTTGCTTTAAAATTAACTAGAATAATTTGAAGATTCTTATTAATAAATAAAAGATCTAAATAAAAGTGAAACTAATTAATTATAAAATTAAAGTATTTAATGTGATGATGAATATTTTAATGATATTTAAGATAAATATTTGAAATCTAAATAACTTTTGGAAGAGAAATACGAAAGTGAAGTTATTATTGGAAATATACTAGAGAATATTATTGATGGTAATAAAGTTAATTTCACTAGTTTAAATAATGATAGGATTAAAAATTATTTTATTTAATTATAATAATTAATAAAATAAAATGAAGAGTATTTTGTTTTTTTAATATAATTTTATTTTAATATATTATGTATTAATTAATAGAAGTTAAAATACTTACAAAATTTAAATTTAATAATATTAGAATTTAAAAAAAACAGAAGTAAAATATAAATAGATGGATAGAAATAGTTATGAAAAATACAGTTAACATGATTTAAGTAAAGATTCTTAAAGTCTTTCAAAATCTAAAGTTAGAGATCAGGAAATTAATTAAGATCATAATTCTATAGTAAAACATATAATTAATAAAAAATTATTTTATTTTATTTTAAAAATAAAGAGTTATAGTTAAATGAATGATATAAGCAAATAAAGTTAATTTTAACTATATTAAGATGATTTGAATTCTTACAAAAATGAAATAGTAATGTTGCAATAATAAGTTAACGATTTAACTTAAGAATTACTTGATAATGAACATGATCAAAATAAATAAATGCTAGAACAAAAAAGAAAGAACTTATAAATTAATGATTTAGAGCATAAAATAGATGAATTATAGAATTAGATAAAGTATTTACAAATAGAAAATTAATAACTTAAAGACTTAAATATAGTGCCTTAAAAATCAAAAGAACAAAAAGATACTAAAACTGCATAAAGTTTTGACTAAGTTGATTATGAATACTCTTTAAAACATTAACTTAAAAATATATTGCCTTAATATATTTAATCTTTTATTGATACAAAGTAATATTTCATATAAAGTTTATTTTTTAAAATTATTTTAATTATAGAGATAATAAACAAAAAATTGAAAACGAAAACTATTTTAACCTTCTAACAAATATGCTTGAATTTACTGACTAAGAAAAACAAAATTTTAGAAATAAAATCGGAAAACCTAAGCATAAAGAAAATACAAGTATATTAGGTTTTTTTAAATAATGAATGAAATTGTATATATAAATAAAACTTATATATATATTTTTTTTAATAAAATATTTAAATATACACAAACATTTAACTATTTTATATGTAAATAATAGTTATATCCGAATGATAACAAAAGTATTAAATACATTATAAATATATATAAAAAAAAATGTTATATAAAACAAAATATCAACTATTAAAAAAACTATATTAAACTTTTGAATAATTTTTAGTATAAAATCTATTATTAAGCTTTCCAAATTTTGTAGTTGTTTTATTATGTATATAAGTTTTTCTTTTCTTTTTTTTAGATTTTAGAATACTTAACAGTACCTATTTTAAATTTCCATTCGGAAAATAAATTCTAAAATTTTTCTAAGCATCAAAATCTAGAGCATAAATTTCCTCATTAAATTAATCAAAAATATTAAATTGTATTTTATTTAAATTATTATTTATTTATTGTAAAATCAAATTACTAATTTTTTCTTCTATTGAGTTATTATTACTTGTGTATTCTTTTTTGTTTATTTTATCTTAAACAAATAATTGTATTTCTTTTATGGATTTTCTTGTTTCAGATTCTTTTTTTGGAGGAATTTCTTTTTTTTTTTTTAAATACTTTAGTTTTTAAAAATTTATTTTTTTTAAATACGAATTTAAATCTATGCTTATTTTTTTAGTTATTAATCTGTCTATCTTTTTATTTATATATTAATAAAAATAATACAAGTTAATAAATTGATATTTTATAACTCTTTTTTGATTTCTAATTAGTTTTTGTTTCCTTAGGAATGTTTAAAATTATCATTAGAATTTATTTATTCCGAATTAATTATAATACTATTTTTAAAATTCTTTAAAGTTTACTTGCAAATATCATTTACATTATTTTCAATACTAGTAGAAGAAAGAGAAGAGTTAGAATTATCTCTATTTTTAATTACCTTATCTTATATATAATTATCAGATAAACTTTAATCTAAATCCATACTATTATTATTGATATCAATATATTTAATTAAATTAAACAATTCTTAATTATTTTTGATTTAATTTACACATAATTCACATGATTTTATTAATTGAATGGTCTTTATAAAATAAAAACATTTCCTAAAAAATGGCTTTCTTGATATTTAGATTTAGTTTCTTAGATGCTTTAATATAGTAAGTTATTTATTTTTGTTTATATGTATCTGTTCACATTCGTTTTCTCTATGATATCTACTTTTGCATATTAAACATTATATATTTGTATATATAGATCCATTTCTAAATATAAGTTAATCTTTTATCATATTGAAATATTCATAATCGTCAGCATATTTTTGAATTGTTTATATAAATTTATCTCTCTGTATTTTGTATATTGTTGTAAAATCTGCTGAACGAGTTTAATATTCGTGTTATTTTCCTGTAAAAAATTAATATTCACTAAAGCAATCACCTTTTTCTAATACTTTTACTAATACTATTTTTGCATTTTCTTATTAATGTTCTATTTATACTTAATTTTTTTAAAAATAAAATAAAATAAATATTATTTTTTATTTATTTATTTTAAACAAACAAAAAACCTTTTCCTTTAGAAATCCAATAAATAGCTAAATTATCATATTAATAATGTTTATAAATAATTTCATTGGGAAGAAAACATTCTTCTTAAATAAAAGGAATGACTTCCTAAATAATTTTCTGAGAAAAATTAGTAGAAATCAACTTAAACTTTTAAATAATTTTGGAATTAATTTCCACATTAATATCATCTTTTAAATTTTAAGGCAATTTATTAAGAACTTCAATAGAGTTTTTATTAACTTAAATATCTCCTTTTTCTTAATATAAGTATTCTAGAAAATTAGATACTTTCTATTATAAACTTTTTTTTAGGTTATTTTTCCTCATATAAATATTAATAATTTCAAGATCTCTTTTATATTCTTTTTGCTTTCTATTTTATTCATCTAAAATAACCCCTATGCAATTCATTGTATATGCAAAAGTTCCCATAGTAGCAAACATAATAACTGATTAGAAAATTATTTCTATATTATTTGAACCTTTAGGTCCAGCCAAAATAATAATGGTAGTAGTTGACCAGTAAAAAGATTCAATATATCTAGAATACCATTATGAGTCTACTAAATTAAGATCATGTAACCATGTATTATTTTTTTCGAAATAATTGGTTTCTATCTAAGCAAGTAAGTGCCAAGCCACAGCTACTATATGGCAAATAATAATAAGTTTAAAAATCAATTTTAAAAGTTAATAGATATAATCTGCTTTGGCAGTTATATATAATAATTAATCAACTTTATTTAGTATTTTATTAACAGAAATAGCTTTCAAAAAATAAATTAAATTTAAAAAATATACTACCAAATTACTGCTATTTTTCTAATTATACATTATTATTTATGATAAAATAAGAGTTGCTAAATAAAAAAGATCATAAAAAAAATTAAAATTTAAAGTATTTAATAAAATTAATTATTTGTCTTATATTATTTCTCCTTTATCGTAATAACCAACGAAAAATCTCAAAAGAATTTCTTAAAAATTAACTATTATGCCTATTATTTATAAACTTATAGATATTTCATTTTCTTAAAAAGAATAGAAAATTTTAAATGTATAAAGATAGAATAATGAAATATTAATTAATATGCAAAATAAATTTGATAATATATTTATTATACTTGTAGGCAATATAACAGGCATTAAATAATATAATTTAACAATATATTTTTTTATTTTTTAGAATATTAAACTTTATTAACATAAATTTAGTATATGTTACTTTTTTTGAAGATTTTATGTATATTTATATTAAAAACTTAAATCATTTATCAGTTAAATTTACTTTTCTGTAATGTTTTTGAATTTTTAAAAATTCGTTTTTTATATCCAATGTAAGAAATAATTCTTTATTTTTTATTTTGTTTGTTAGTTTTGAAGTGTATTTACTATTTCTGTATACTTTTGCTTTGCTATATTTGAATTTTATCTTATATTATTAGAGTTTCTTGTTAAAACTCTAAATGTATTCAAATCAATATCTTCTATATTAATTTTTTGGTTTATTTGTAATATATCAATATTAGTATTTTCTTTAGTTCTATATAATAAATTATTATTTAGTAAATTTTCATCTTCTTAAATTTTTCTTGACAATTTTAAATCTGTTATGTTTATTTGAAATAATTAACTCAATAATTTAGAATTTTAATTTAAAGAAGATTAATTTATTGCATTTTCTATTGAATTTGATGCATCTATTAATTGAGTTGGCTATTCAAATTTATTTGATATATTTTTCAAATCTTAATGTTAATTCTTATCAAATAGTTATTAAGCTAAACAAAACTTTTACATTCGTTTTATTTTGTTTTAAATTAGTATATATTTTTTTAATTAATTAGTAAGCTTTAATATATATAAGATGCAATTAATTTAATAATTTATTGTTAATTATAATATTAATATAAAATTTAATTTTTATTTGTACATTTATAATGTGTCAATATATTTATATGAATATTTTATAATTATTAGTTTTTATTTTATTATAACTCTAAACACGAAAAAATTCATAATGATTTTTTTTTTTTTGATTTAAAATTAAATATAGAAAAAAAATAAACAAATTAATTATATATAATTTATATTTTATTTTATTTTTATCTTATCTAAATAAATATGTTTAAAATTAAATAAAAAACTATTTATTAAAAATAAAACAAATTATATATAATAAATTTCATAATATTAAAAATATATTTTTTATTTATTTTGAATGATTTTTATTATAATACTGTTTTTTTATTAAAATTATATCTTAAATATATTTTTTTTCTAAGTTTTTATAAAATATATTTTATTTATATTTATTTATTTTCATATTTTATTTAATAATTAACTATTTCCTGAAATTATTTAAAAAATTATAATTAATATTTAATCATTGATATAATTACTAAAATTAAAATAAAAAATAAAAAAAACATATATACTATATATAATAAAAAAAACTAAAAGAATGGAAAATAGTGATTGGGTATCAAAGAAAATAGATAAATATGTAATAGTAAACAAAATACTCGGAAAAGGTGCTTTTGGCACTGTATACAGAGGTTTTTTCGAAGAAGATTAAAACAGGCTAGTCGCAGTAAAATTAATAGCTGTAAAAAGCATATCAGAATCTGAATAAATGCTAAAATTAATTAAACGTGAAATAAGTATCTTATAAAAGCTTGATAATAAAAGTAAAAATATATTTTATTTATTTTAATTAATATATTTTATTTAATTAAAAATTAAAAGATATTGTAAAGCTATACGATGTTGCACGTACGCCTAATAATTTATATATGTTTTTGGAATATTGTATGGATGGTGATTTAAAAGATTATTTAAAAACTAAAAAAAATAATACTTTATCAGAACCTGAAGCTACAATGTTTTTCAAACATATAGTAGAAGGATTTAAAGATTTGCACTAAAACAACATAATCCATCGTGATATAAAACCAGCTAATATTATGCTCCATTAAGGGAGAGCTAAAATTTCTGATTTTGGTTTTTCGAGAACTGTAGAAAATGAAAATTAAGCTGCTTTAATGACTAGATTAGGATCACCTTTATATATGGCTCCTCAAATATTAGAAGGATAACTTTTTTCTTCAAAATGTGATGTATGGAGTGTTGGAATTTTATTTTATGAAATGCTTTACGGAAGAAGCCCTTGGACAGGTACATCATAAGTAAATTTGCTTTAAAATATAAAAAATAAGCCTTTAGTATTTCCTAGTGAACCTGTGCGTTCTGAGAAGGTAAAATTTTTGATAAAAAATATGATTTAACTTAGTGAAAATGATAGATATGGATGGCCTTAAGTATTCTAAAATGAAGTTGTTGTTGGAGATAGGAATAAATTAGAGGCAAGTTTGAAATTAAGTGAGAAATAATAAGATTAATTATAGAAATCTATTACTTTAAATGATGCTTATATCTAGACTAATTTAGTTGCAAATTATTTGAAAAATATTGACGAAAATATCGCTGAGGAACAATAAAATACCCAATAATAAAAAGAGACTAGTGGAAACGTAGTTAATGAAAATTAATCAAATGAGGGTCAATTTGATAATTAGAAAGCTGAATAATTAATTAAAAATTAAATTGATGCGGAAAAAATTCATAAAAATATAATGAAAGTAAATGAATATATTCTTTATGAAAGAAATATAAGCTTCTTTTATAATTATGTTATTCAAAAAATTATTAGAGCTTTCAATGCTAATATTTTATAAACCTAAGGAAATCTTTATTTTAGAGTACTTTTTGCTATATGTAAATGTTAAAATGCTAATTTGGAAAAAGTTTATAATTTATTAAAATCTAAATAAAATACTTTTAATGAAACACTATGGAAATATTATTAATAATCAAAAGAATATATTAAAAGCTTGAAATTATTAGAATAAGATCTTTATCATTCTAAAAAATTTTTTACAGAATTGTTAAAAAAAACCAAAGAAGTTATTGAGCATTCGATTAAAAAAGAACCTAATAATGAACATTTAATAAACTATATGGAAATCTTAAATGAGAAAATTGTTCAAGATAATACTTTCAAATCTAGCTATCAATAGACTATTAATGAATTCTTTAACTATCTAAAGCCTCTTATTTCTAATACTAATTAAAAAGATATTGTTGTTATTGCTAGGTATATTATTATATGTATGAATCCTTATAATGAATTCACTAATGCTGATTATGACTTTAATAAATTTTATGAAGAATTAGAAACTATTGAAATTTAGGCATTAAAAGAATAAGTTAAATAAAAAATTAATTGAAGATAATTTATTTTAGATATTATTTTTTATTTTTATTGATATTTTTTAAATAAATATAATTTTTTTATTTATAATCTATGAAGTTTTTTAAATTTAATGAATATTTATTTTGGTTAATAATATATTTAATTTTATTTAATAAAAATATTAAAAAAATATATTTAAAAGCTTATAAATAAATCTATTTAGTAATAAAAAAAATGTATATAAATAATTTATTTTATTTATACAAAAATAAAATAAAAATAAAAATAAAATAAAAATAAAAATAAAAATAAAAATAAAAATAAAAATTAGTAATAGAAATAATAAATATATAATAATAAATTATATCATAATTGAGAAATATTAAAAAAAAATTAATTAATCATAAAAAAAACAATAATTTATATTATTGATAAATAATTAGATAAAAATAATATTTTATAAATAGATATATCTTTATTTAATTATAAATGTAAATATAATCAATTAAATTTTTTTTTACTATAGTTATTGTATTATTTTTAGTTTAATAAACTTGTAATTTTTTAATTAAAAATCAAATAAAAATGGATGAGAATAAAAAGTAAATCTAATTTGATTATGAAGTTTTTGGAAAAGTTTAAGGTTTATCAATATTTATTTATATTTAAATTAAATATGCTTTAAAACTCATTAAAATCAGGTGTATATTTCAGAAAATATACTAAAGATTAAGCAGATAAATTAGGTTTTTACTATTCATATATATGTTTTAATTTTCTTTTATTTAGGTTTAAAAGGTTGGGTAATGAATACCCCCTAAAATACTGTTGTTGGAACTGTAAGATATCATTTTTAAAATTATAGAGAATAAATACATATTCTATTATAAAAAGGTATAAGGAGATGAGATGAAAGCAAAAGAAATGTTTTTTTTATTATAAAATAAAAAATAATAAATAAAAATTAGAAATTAATAAATATTTAAAATTTTTATTAGGGAAAATTGGCTAAGAAACGTAGGAAGTCCTCAATCAAAAATAACCAAATTAGAAATATAAAATAAAAAATATATTGATTAAATAGAATTTTCTATATTCGAAATTAAAAGGTGAGAATATATTTTTTTATTTTTTATTTTTTTCAAAAACAAAAACTTTAAAAAAATAAATAAATAAACATATAAATCAAAAAATAATTATTTAAAAAAATTATAAATGTAAAAAAATATATATTAAAAAAATTATTTTAAATTTATTATAAATTATAATTTTTTTTATGTTTATAGTCTATTTCAAAATAATAAAATTAATTTATTTATAAGAATAATATATTTATTATATAATGGCGTAGAACCTTAATAGAATACTCCCCTATAAAATAAAATAACTAGATAATTAATAATCTAATTATTATTAAAAATCTAAAATAATTAATATAAATTAAAGTAAAATCGAAAATGAAAGTGATTTAAATTAATAAAATTGTCAATTTTTTTCTACAAGAAATTCAAATCATTAAATATTATCAAATAAATATATATAGTAAACATAAAAAAAATAGTTATAAGAAATTAAATTTAAAAATTTCATTTCTTACCTGAATCAATCGCCAAATTAATTTTAAACATCTTAATAATCTTTTGAATTATTAACATAGCAATTAAAAAAAACTAACTAATTTCAAAGTCTACGAAAAAAAATAAAAGAAATGAATAATTAGCCATCTAATTTTAATAAATATTATAATGAAAAGATTCCTTAAAATTTATAAGTAACACCCGAATCAGAAGAATTTTTAAGAAAAAAATTAATAAAAATGAATATTGCTAAAAAAAATAAAAGTTAATTAATATAACTTAAAAGTAAAAAAAATTAAATTTTTTTATATAATTTATAGATGATTAATAAAAAATGAACGTTAAAATGATATTTTTTTAGAAAAATAATAACAATATCTTTAATTAAACAAAATAACCAAATCATTTATAAAACTTTAATAAACCTGAAAGTTAGATTAAAATTTAAAAGTTTTTAATTTAAAAAAATAAAGATAATAAAGTAACTTAAGAAATAATTTGTAATTATATAAATAAGAACCGAAAATTTTTAAACGGAATTAATAATAGAATAGATGAAGAAAAAGCTAATACCCCTTTTCCTCATTAGTATTTTTAAGCCACTTTTAATTGTATAAAGAATATTAAATATGCACAGAAGTTATATGGATATAATGAACATAATATGTAAAAAAATAATTTATTACTTGAATAAGTTATACTTAATAGGATAAACTTAAAATGAATGAAGTAAAGTTATTAAAAGCATAAATATATATATATATTTTCTTTTTTATTAATTTTTTGTTTGAAATTTTTTTTTCAAAATTATATGAGTTTTTATTTATGTTACATATATATTTAATCGGCTTTTTAAATTAATTTTTCAGTTAATAGTTCGAATTGCTTATGAATTTCTTTTATAAAAAAACTATCATTCAAAATTTCTATTAACTTATTTCTATTACACAATCCTGTAGCAATTCCTTCAGTTTCAGTTTATTATTAAATTTCCTTTTATTAATTTTTCATATGTTTTAAACTTATGGGAGTTTCTAAATTTAAAGGTAAATATTTTTTTAATGTATTATTATTTTATATTTATATGCTTTTATTTTTTAGAAATTCGAATAAAATATAAAATATTAGGCTTGATAAAATAGCTGAGTTTTTATTTAAGATTGGTGTATTTTAAATTAAAAAACATTACCAAGGTTTAATAATTATATTAAATAATCCATATATAATCAAAAAATGTAAAATAATCATTTATTTTTATACAAAAGTTATGTTTACTAACTATCCTATTTTATTAAGTTCTAATCTTTATAATATAAATTTTGGCCAAAATTCATTTAGAGGAAATTCATATTAATTAATTAATTTAGATATGAATATGATAAAAAATGAATTATCATTAACTTTATTTATATTTATTTATAATTATTATATTAAAAAAAATATATGATATTTAATCAATTTTTAATATTATTATGATATTTTTTAGTCCTATATTTTATAAAATTCCAATGCTTTTTGTTCTTAAAATAAATTGGTTAGTTCTTATTAGGAAGAATCAATTACAAATTACATGCAATCTAAAATTGCAATTTATAAATTATCTTGTAAGCTTTCATTGAAAGCATTTCTTTTATTTTTTATTGCTTAATCTATTCTTAACCAGAAATTTTATACAAAAGTTATTTTTTTAATTAGTTATTTTAATTTTTGACTATTTTTTTAATTATTATTTTATTTCTCCTAGTCATCAATTATTTTATTTTATTTCTCCTAGTCATCAATTATTTTATTTTATTTCTCCTAATCATCAATTATTTTATTTTATTTCTCCTAGTCATCAACTGTTTTATTTTATTTCTCCTAGTCATTAATTGCTTTATTTTATTTCTCCTAGTCATTAATTGCTTTATTTTATTTCTTCTAGTTATCTATTGTTTTATTTTATTTTTCCTAGTTATTAATTGTTTTATTTTATTTCTCCTTTTTATCAATTATTATATTTTATTTCTCATAGTTATTAATTGTTTAATTTTATTTCTACTTGTTATCAATTGTTTTATTTTATTTCTCTTAGTTATTAATTGTTTTATTTTATTTCTCTTTGTTATTAATTTTTTTATTTTATTTCTCCTTGTTATCAATTGTTTTATTTTATTTCTCCTTGTTATCAATTGTTATATCTTATTATAAGTTTATATATTATTTATTTCTATGATCATATAATTATGCTATTTTAACATTAAATTTAATTTTGCTTGAGGGAGAATTTAAATTTGAATGAGAAAGGTTTTTAATTTTTTCTTCTTTTACATTAACTTTTACCTTAAATTCGTTTAAATAAATCTTTGAGGCTTAGTAAACTGAATAATTTTACATTTAAACTCTATTAAATTTTTTTTATTAGATAATAATTTTATTTTGAGGATCAAACATATTTCTTTGTTAGATTAACGCGTCTTTTTAATTTAATAATTTTTTTGAAATAAAACTATATGAAATTTTTTTTTTTTAGGTGTTAATATTTAATTTAATTAAGGAAATTTGTAGTTAATAGATTCTTATTATTAATTATTTTAATTAATATATTATTAATTCTTAAGAATTATGTTATTTATTGATTCTAATTTTTAAATATGTCTACTTTTTTATCTTTTATAAATTAAATTATTCATTTTTAATAAATCATCATTCATCTTTTTTTTTATAAAAATTTGTTAAAATAAAATTTGTTAAAAATTTTCTAATTAATAATGAAATAAAAAAAAAATTGATATTTTATTTAAAAATAGACAATTATTTTATAAGAAAAAAAGATATCCGAAAATACAGTAATCAACATAAAACAGCTAAAATTTTAAGAAACAGAACTCATATAGCAAAAGCAGCTCAAATCATTAGAAATCCTACGACTCCAAATCATATGAAAAAAAAATGAACTTTGCTATGAAAAGGCAAGATGACATACTGGAAATATATTAGAGATTAATAAAATACGAGTAAAGCTTACTCAAAAGTACTATTTGAATATTGAATAATTACGCGAACTGTTTCTGGAAAATATAGAGTATGACACTAACCCATTGAGATATTTCAAGTGAAAAAACGTACGAAGCACAATCTTTAAAATCTTAGAGCCCTTTATGAAAAAACTATTAATTTTATTTAAATGAATAACAAAAATTCTCTATAATATTTAGTTAAATTATTGAAAAATAGGTAGTCTGGAGATATAATCTTATTAAAGACAAAAATTCTTAAAAAAATAAGAAGATTATGAAACACTAAACTTTTAAAAGCTAATATAAATAACATTTAGTAACAGCTTAAAAATACAATATATGAAGGACTAAATCAAAGAAAAAATTAAACAAATAAATGACTTAATAAACTTAAATATTAAAATAATATAGAAATAAACTCAATGTTCCGAAAAAATAAAATATGATGTATGTTTTTTATAAAGATATGGAAACAAATCTAATTAATCAGAAATAAAATGTTAAAAAACATATTTTACGTAAATTAAATATCCTTGAATAAGACTGAAAAGATAGTGTAAAAATTTATATGCAGATAAGTTAATTTAATTGTAAATATGATATGATTAAAAATTGGTGAATACACTTATTTGGAAAAAAAAAATTAATTATAATTAAATAAAATCTATAATAGGTAATATATTAACATTTAAAAATAAAACTGTGTAAAAAATATCTAAAGAAATAAATATATTACAAGCTTAATTAGAAATATAATTTTAAAAAACACAAAAAAATAGAAATTAAATACGAAAAAATTAAAAATAAAATGTATAATATATAAATCAAATGAATTAAAAAATATAATAAGAGATTAGAATTAAAAAAAAATTTTATTTCAAAAAAAATATTAAATAAAATAAAAAAATAAAAATGAATTAGATTTTGTATAAAAAAATACTAAAATATAATATATAAAAGATTAGTATGTAATTAGAAAAAATATTAAATATATATATATATATATATATATATATATATATATATATATTTATATAAAAAAAATAATTTTTTTAAATATTTATTTTATTATTATTATTATTATTATTATTATTATTATTATTATTATTATTATTATTATTTTTATTATTATTATTATTTTTATTGTTATTGTTATTGTTATTGTTATTGTTATTGTTATTGTTATTGTTATTGTTATTGTTATTGTTATTGTTATTGTTATTGTTATTGTTATTGTTATTGTTATTGTTATTGTTATTGTTATTGTTATTGTTATTGTTATTGTTATTGTTATTGTTATTGTTATTGTTATTGTTATTGTTATTGTTATTGTTATTGTTATTGTTATTGTTATTGTTATTGTTATTGTTATTGTTATTGTTATTGTTATTGTTATTGTTATTGTTATTGTTATTGTTATTGTTATTGTTATTGTTATTGTTATTGTTATTGTTATTGTTATTGTTATTGTTATTGTTATTGTTATTGTTATTGTTATTGTTATTGTTATTGTTATTGTTATTGTTATTGTTATTGTTATTGTTATTATTTTTTAATTTAAAATAATCAAATTTAATTTGATATAAAATCCTTTTTATTATTATATTAATTATTAATGAAATTATTTTTCATCTTTAATTTTAAATCATTAATATTATAATTTCTAAATAAATTATATTATAATAATCACATTTATAAAAATTTTAAATTATTTACTATTCATATTTTTATTATCTTCCTTTTTCATATATATAGATTAACAAATCACATTATTTTTATTATTTATTTTTATAATATTTATTTAAAAGTATATTATAATAAATTTTATTTAAAAAAAATCATTAAATTTGACTAATTTTATTTGAAATTATTATTTATATCTTTATTAGCAATTAAATTATTATTATATATTTATAATTTTGATATAAATTTTTCTTAAAAATATTTTTTTATGATATCTCTTAATTGCCATTATATATGAATATTTTAACAATAAACAATTTTTCTTATATCTATTTTTTTTTATATTATTCAATTTTAAAGCACAAAATATACTTGCATTTATCCTAAATTTGTTAACAGAGAAACAAAATTTAATTTTTTTTGTTTAATTATCAGCTTTTTTACTATATCTTATTAAAAAAACTAACATATAAAAATATATGATCAATTTTATAAAATATATAATTAATTTTTGATTAATATTTCTTAAAAAAATTATAAAAAATATATTTTTAGAATATAATAATAATTAATATTTATTTAATTTTTTTTATAATTTATATAAATCTTATAATAATCATAAGCTATACTTCGATTAAATAATAAGAACTATTGTAATCTGGTTCCATAGTATAGTGGTTAGTACTGGGGACTTTAAATCCCTTGACCTGGGTTCGAATCCCAGTGGGACCTTATTTTTTTTAATATTTTATAAAAATAAAATATTTAAGAAAATATAAAATAAAATTTTTTGATTTAATTTTATTATTAATACTTAAAATAAAAAAATATATATACTTTTTAATAAAATTTTAACATAAATTTATTTTATTTTTAAATAATTTTTATGTTTATAATTTTTTAATCACTAAAAGTTTTTATCCATTTAATTAACTTTGTATTCAATTTCAGAAAGAGGAGGTTCGTTATTAGATTTTGACTTTAAATTATATAAATGCCATTCAGTTTTAAAATGTTGTCTATATTCTTCGTTTGTATAAAAGTAAGCATCTTTACAAAAAGTGCATTTTTTGCTTCCTTTAATATCTTTTTGTTCATTATGAATAATATTAGCTTCTATTTATTATTAATCTTTAACTATGTTTAATTCTTCTAGTTTCTATTGTAGATTTTTGAATTCTTTTTCTTTTTCCTATTAAGCTTTTAAGTCGATTTAAGGATTTTTTTTTTTTTTTTTTTTTTTTAGTTTATGCTCATTATGTTCACTTTCAGAACTTTAATCTTCTTTATCTTTATCATTTTTTTTATTTTTTTATTTTTTTTTATCATCAATATCATGTTCTTCATGTTTTTTATTTTTATTTTTATTTTTACAATCACCTTTTTCATCAATTTTTTTTTCTTCTTCAGTATTTTATCTTAATTCCAGATTTACAGTTTATACATTCTCAATTTATTAAGTTTAATCATTTTTAACTGTAGTGTCTATTTCTTCTACAAAACAACCTTCTATTTATTCTTTTGCCAAAAGAAGAATATCTCTTAGTTTATTCGACTCAATAATTACTGAAATTTCGATTTTATTTTATGTCTAAATAGTTTTTTAAATTTTAGTTTCTAATATATTTATTGCCTATAACTTTTACAATAGTTCTTCATGTTTTTCTTTTGGGACTGAAACACTCACTAATATATCTGCTCTTTTCATATAATATTTCTTTGTGAGTATTTTTATACATTCTAAGGCTTATTTTTTAGCCGGCTAATCGTTTTTTACTACAAAATTTATACTTTTCATAGCTTATTGAATCTAATTTACTGGAAATTTTCTATTACTGTCTGGATGAACGCATTTTTCTGTTATTATATTCACTATATCATTATATATGTTTGATTGTTAGACTGCTCGCTCTTTTTCACCCATTTATAATTCACCTTTTTCCAATATCAATTTTATTATTTCCATTTTTTTCATGTTCTCGAAATATTTCTATAAATCAGCTTTTTTAGCTATTGTGCCATGGGATGCACTTGTATATATTTCATCAACTTATAAAACTTCAGAAATGTCTTTTTCTACACCGTTTCGCCAATTTATAGCTTTATTTTTGTAACATACTATTTCGAAACTCATTTTGTTTATTTTATATTTTATAAATGCTACATTTGTTAATTGAATTATACCTGTTGGTTGTTTTATCATATTATTTTTTTTATTTTTCTAAATTTATAATTACTTCTATTTTTATTCTAATTAATAAATATATTTAATTAATTATATATCAATATAATTTTTTTTCTTAATATTTTTATATACTAAGAATTTGTTTTTATAATAAATTCTTTTAATTTTTAGTTCCTTTATTTTTAATTTTTACAAATAAATATTTTTATAAATAATTTAACAAAAATAAATATTATAAATCTTAATAATTTTATATTATCAATTTTAATAAAATAGTTTAAAAATAATGCAATCAACATTTTATTTATCATCATCTTAAGCAAACACCATAACTTCCAAAATTTAAGGAATTTCTCTTTTTAAAAGTTTTATTTTAACTTATCCACTTTCTCCTTCTTTTATATTTATTTCTTCATTTAAAATCTACAGTAAATTTTAAATTAAATAATAATAACAAATATATATTTAATACTTATAATATCTAATCATTTTATGATGAAAAGATGTATTTTTTATTAATTTTTTCTTTATTTTTATAAAAAAAGGTTTAAATTAGGTCTTTATTCAAAGGAATATTTATAGAGAATATTTTAGAGACAAAAGGTTTTTCAGTATAAATTCTCACAATCCAAGACTTAATTAACTCATTAGTATACTAATCAACGCAATTTACTCTAATTTTTTAATCTTCAATTTATGAGCTTTAAACTTCCATATTAATAACATTTATTTTCCCCTAAATGAGTTGAAATTCACTATTGTAAGGTTCTTTAAAATAAATAATAGATAGATTTGAAGAAAACAATTTTGCAGTTTTGGCAGAATCAGAATTAATTGTTAATTTTATTTATGACTTTTATTTTATTTAAACTTATAAATCAATACTATTTTTTTAAAAAATTTTTGTGAGTTTTATATTATATTTTACCCTTCTAATGAATATACTTATATTTCCCAATTATTTTACAGTTTTTGGAAAAATATGTCTTCATAGGCTAATACATTAAATTTTATTAATCTTCCTACTTAAGGAACTTTTAATAATAAGTTTATTTATTCTTAATCAATCCATTCATATTAAATATTCCTATTAGGTATAAATATTAAAGGCCTTTTTTTATTTTTAAATAAAATAATATTTGTCGTATGTATTTATATTATAAATTACTTTTTTTATTATGGATTTAGAATATTTTTAATAGACATAGGAATGGAAATTTATTTATTTTCGATTTCATAAAATCTTTATACATTATCAACAATTTTTTCTAAATGTTAAACTTATAATTTAAAACCTAAATTACAGCTAGGAGTATTTTGGCAAGTAATATTAATGTTAATAGTCCTATCATGAGTGTTTTCTTAAAGATATTTACTTTTTAATGAACAATTTTCGGCAATTTAATTACTTTTAAAATCTCTAAAAGTCAAGAACTTAAAAATTAAAATAATTCTTTATTTAGTTGGTAAAAAAAAACTTAATTTTTCTTAATCAATAATTTTTAAGCTTAAAATATTCTCCTTTTCCTAGCCATATTCAAATTCTTCAATCATTGAAATTAATTCATCACTTCTTTAAACTAAGTTAAATTCATTAAATCCAGTAACACTATAGTCTTAGTCATCTATATTAATAAAAAAAAGATCATCTTCATCATTTTAATTAACCAAAATATGCATTACATATTAAGCAATACCAAATTATACAGAAATACATTTATTTTCTTATAAAAGAGTGGATAGAAGTTATCTTATATAATTGTTTTTTTAATCATCTTTGTACATTTGGATTTCTTAAATATTCTTAAGAATTTAATCGACTTTCTTTATTTATTTATATTCTTCATTTTATTAATCTTTTAAATTAATCATTTTATATCTTCTTATTCTTTCCTTAATTCTTGATTCAGGAAAATCTATAAAAAGCTTTGTAAAATTAAAAGATTGAGTACTAAATCCTATTCTAGATACATCTAAAGGTGCATTTGATTTTATGGATTTTTTATTTCTTTCTTGTATTTATAATTGTGTGTTTTTTAATTATTCATCATGTTAGTTTTTTTATCCTTAATTACATAAATATACTAGTAATTAGCCTTTTAGCTTTTCTCCATTCATATCCATAATAGGAACTGAGTATTCCTTTTCTACTATAGCTCTTCCTTATCTTATTAAATATTTCAAAATTATCTTAGAAGAACCATATAACATTAAACTTTCGGCATCCCAAATATATATTTAAACATATTTTGTGAATAGATATTTTATAAAAGACATGTTTTGATCATCGCTTATAAAAAATGAATCGATTACAAATTTATATAAAGGTTATTAATTTTTTGTTGTTTTTTTTATAGTTTATAAGAATTATTGGGTTTCCTGTTTGAATTTTTTCGTAGTAAAATTAATCTGTTTTAAATTCTTCGAAATTAAAAAAATTAAATGTAAAAAATATTTTTTTAGGCAGATCTATTGGTTAAGATTCTTCTTATATTTTTAAAGCATAAAACCTAAATAATATTATCTAAGATTTGTAAATATCTTCTTTTCTATTTTTTTTTTTTTAATTTTTCGAATTTTTTATTTATTTACTCTTTTTCTAAATCTTCTTCGCATATTTAATCCATATCATCAGGTTAAGGATATTATTTTATTCCTTTTACATCATTTTAGATCATATACATTCTATCACTTTATAAGATGTTATCAAGATTTTAATTCACTACATTTTATCTTACTTTTTTTTCTATATAATTTATTTATGAGTTTTATTATAAATCCATAATTTATTTTTATCTATTTTTTAGTATTTTTTTAAAAAATAAAAATAAAAATTGTTTGATTTATATTATATTTTTATTTTTAAAAACTAACTTCTATTAGCTATTTTTTTTTTATATTTCTTTTAAATAAGATTAGTTATTTAAAAAATTCTTTTAATTAGAATAGATATCATTTAAAATTTATTTTATGTCAGTAAACTCTTTTGATGTTTAGCCTTTTATTTAATCATTTTCATCTTTTAGAAGTATTACATTTTTATTTAGTTAATCTATTTTATCTTCATAATCCATTAATAAAGCTTATAAATTTTTATAATATTAATCATTTAAATTTTAGTTTTTTTATGAATTGAGTTAGTTAATTTATTCTTACTATAATAGCTTTAATTTTTATTCTAAATCTTCTAAATTTTCTATTTTATCTTCCTATTTATTTAATTCTGGTAATAATTCTTAAATATCTTCTTTTTTATCTTCTTCTGTTTTTTCATTTTCTTAGATTTTATTAGGAACAATTTAAGGTTATTTTTAAATTTCTTATTTATTTAAATCTTCTTCGTCTTCATTAAGTAAAGGATTTTTAGTGTTTTTTAAATTAATACTTGCCTTTAAAATAATTTAATCTTCTTAATTTATCTTAATCATTTTTTTATTATCATAGTTTTTTCCTCCTGTCATTAGAAAATCTTAAAACTTTTTTATATTAAATATAAAAACTATATGTTTTTTTTAATAAATACTTCATAATTATCCGTTCCAAACTTATCACTTATATATAATGGCAAAAAACCTAAAATATACATTTAATTAAAAGATTCACATTAAATTTCGTATTAAAGTTAAAATACTAACATACTTTCTTTTTAAGCAAAAACTTTATCAATTTAATGCATTCCATTAAATTCTAATTAATTAATGTATTCTGAAGTTTATTTTTAATCTAATTTAATATTTTAACTTTAAAAACTATTAATTAAATTCCATGTATTATGGTAACCAACAATTAAATATTTGTTTCTTATTATTAAAAATTAAAATATATATAAATTTATATAAAAATAAATTTATATTTTTATATATATTTGTACATTTATATTTTATATTTTTTTTTACTTTATTATTAAATTTTAGTCATTTTTTAATTTTTATAATTAATTTCCCATGTTTTTTGCATATTCAAGTATATATTAATCTATTTTAACTGGAATTTCTATTATTATTTTTTCTATATATATAGAATATTAAGGAAGTAAATTTATTTTATTTATTCCTAAAGGACCATTTACTCCTTATATTTCCCATTGGTTATCTACAAAAACTAAAGGAGGAATTAAATGTTTTGCTTTGTTAAATTCACTTGAAAGATCAATATCAATTTAAAAGATTATATTATTATCCTCATTTTTTGCTGCTGATGGATTTAATAAATACTAATTTGCCAAACATTTAAATATTTAAGGAGAAAAATTTCCTTCTTTTGTGATATCTATTTCTGAAATTCCAATTTATTATTCATTTAATATTATTTAATCATGTCCGATTTCTAAATTTTTTGTTTTAATATCTTTTTAGTTTTTAAATACTTTACCTTAAACATAGAATTCTATAATAGAATTTATTTAATTAGTTGAATTAAGCTATGTATGAAAATACAATACTATTGGAACTGCTTATAAATAAAAAATATTTTCTGAAATTCCATTATTTTATAAAGGATATTAAATACTACTAAATGTATTTCCAACAAACGAATTAGTTTTTTTACAAAATAAATTTATAAAAAATCTTAAATAAAAAAATTGTGTATTTTTCTTATTTATATATAAAAATAAATTAAACGCGCCTATTTTTTTATTTTTCTTTTTAAAAAAAAATACATTTTGTTATTCTAATGTAATTTTATCCAATCTTATTATTTTTAATTAATAAGGTGAAGATTTTTGGCCTTCTATTTGCAGTATTTCTTTTTAATAATGATTTTTTGATCTTTACATCCATCTTTCAATTCTTTATTTTTCAAGCTAAATTTTTTATATTTATTTTTATTAATCCATTTTAGTTTTGTTTGTATTTTTTGTTAAATTCAAAATAATATAGACAGTATGTAATTATTAAAAAAAAAAATGAAATTTAAAGTTTATTTTAAAATAATATTTTAAAAAAAGTTATCTAAAATATATTTTTTCTTTTATAAATTTTAATTAAATTGAAAAAAAAATAAAAATAAAATATAAATAAAAACTAAATAAAAGTATAAAAAAAAATATATATATATATAATGGGCTGTATTACTTCAAAAAAAAACTAAAAAAATAATAATAACAATAATATAATTATAGTAATAATATAAATAAAAATAATGATATTTTTCAGAATTAATAAAATTAACCTGATAACTCTCATGATTAAAGAGTTCAAAAAGTTATTGAATAAAAAATAAATCCATAATTATAATAATATTAATAATCTTCAATTATGTAAAAAAGAATAATAATTGATAAAAATAACAATGGATGAAAACATTATATACTTCTAATCATATTAAAATAATTTTTTTAAAAGTAAATATTCGTAATTTTTAATTTTTCAAATAAATATTTGTATTAAAGCTTTTTATTCTTTTATATAAAAACGCACAAGAATTTTTTTTTAATAAAAACGAAAAGGATTATTTATTCAAAATATATATAATATATATTAGTCTATTAAATTATTTATATTTTTGAATATTTATAAATTATTAATATCTTAATTTAGAAATACATATTTAAACAAAAAACATATGTTTAAATTAATTAAATAATATTCTCTTAAGGATATTTTTTATTTCACATCATGCCATTTTTTTCATAATTTATGTTTTCTAATTATTTAAATTTCCTTATTGTATAAAGTTTAAATTTTAACTAATTTCATCCCAAATTATTTAAATCTATATAATATTTAATTTTAAATAAATATAATAATTTTGAAAATTTATTGGTTTATTTATTATTTAATAAATAATCGTTAATTTATTATATTTATATTCTTTTTACTTCGTTTATTATTGATTTTTATAATTAGCAATATATATTAAAATTATTTGAATATGTTTTACATTTATTTTTTAAATATATCTTCATTTAGTCTATTACTTATTAATTGTAATATCCTACTTATTCTTCTAATTCCAATAAGTTCTTTTTATTTATCCATTTTTTATATATTAAATTAATATATATTAATACTTTTGAAGGATAGTTAATTTATTCTTTACTGAATCTAAAAATACCACTAAGTATCCCTTATCCAGATTCTTAATAATTTTTATTTAAAATAAATAAACAAAATAATTTAAAAATTTACATCCTTTTTGTAAAAAATTATCTAATTCATTTCTTGTTTTTAATATTTCTTTAAATCCTAAAGAATTATCTTTGTGAAATTTAAAGAAGTTAAAAAAATGATTTTCAAACATTTTTATTTAATTAGTTATATAATTTCCTTCCAAAACACTAATGTTATTCATTAATTTGTAAGTATCTTCTAATTCTATAACCTAAATATATAAATTTTACTTTATTTTTTTAGAAAAATATTTTTTTTACCTATTCTGAATTTAATACTGATTTATTATATTCTTCTACATTTTGATTTAATAAATCAAAAGTGTCTCCCATTTAAAATAATGTTTATCTAACTTATTCGTAACCATTTATTAATTATTTTGATAAAGTCTAAAGTCTTTCATAAAATACATCATTTTAGGAAAAATATTATTCAATTATTTAAGCATTAGTATCGCTTTTATTATCTTTATTTATAAAGTACTTTTTTTATTAATTTTTTTTAAAAAAAATTGCAATTTTTAAAAAATATTTATTTAATATGATTAATACTTTTCCTTCTGTGTTTTCTAATTCATTCAATTTTTTAGGTTTATTAATTTTCTCAGAATCTTTTACAATTTATTTAAAAAGAGCATTATCTTAAATTTATAAGAATTCACAAAAATACTTAGAGTTTTTTAATTAAGGTTAATTTGTAATTTCTTATAAAAATCTTTCATAATAGGCTTTTCTTTTATTAGCAAGTTTATCATCCATAAATTGAATAACTGTTTCAGGTAATTAAGGAACAGAAATTCCTGGATAAATTTTAATTAAAATGTTTTATAACCAAATAAAATCATTATATGTTCTTTTAACATTCCAATTTAAAGGATATGTTTTAATATGATAAATTGCATAAGCTCCTCCTCTCAAAATTGATCCTTGTATAATTTCATGGTCTATAATTTAAATTCTTATATCGATTTAATTAAAAAGAACAGTTTAAGGAGATTTCTTACATAATTTTTCTATTTTTTATGATTTTTAAATATTATCTTATTTTTGTTATTTTTCTAAACTAAAATTTTATTATTATTATATTCTTTATTAGTTATTACTTACTATTATTATTATTTAATATTATTAACTTGCTATGTTTATTATTATTACTATTATTATTTTTATATTTATTATTATTATTATTATTATTATTATTTTTGTTATTTTTGTTATTATTATTATTATTTTATTTAAATCTATTATTGTTAACTTTCTTATAACATTTTTTCTTAATCTGGCTTATTTTATTTATTTTATATTTATTTTTTTTCTGTTGCTTTTCCATTTATTCTATTTAAGAAAATATCTAATTCTAATAAATCATATTATTATTAATTTTCTTAATTTTGAATTTGATTTTATTATTCATTTTTTTAATTTTATAGAGTATATAATATATCTTATTATTATCCTTTATTATTTTATCTTTATTATTATTAATATTAGTTCGGCTATTATTATTATTAAGATGTATATATTTCCCATAATTTTTATTATTGATTTGCTTTTTAAATTACTTAAACATTTGGTATATTCCATATATCATTATTCTAAAATTAAGCATTTTAAACATAATTAAAGTCAAAATCTATATCTTATTTTTAATTTTAATTATTTTCTTAAATTTTAAAAATATCTTAAATCTAATCTTCTTATTATTTCTTTATATTTTTTAAATTTTATATTTCCTTATTTTCAAAAAAAAATATTTTTACTTAAGTATTTTAAATTTATTCATTTTTTTTTTAATCAGTTTACATATTTTAATGAATCTATACTGTTTATAAATTATTATCTAAACCAACATCATTTTATTTTATATTTTAATCTTAATGTTTTTGAATAATATTATATTTATTTTTAAATTGATCTACAATCTTTTTTATTTTTTTTTAAAATACTTATTATATAATTTGCTTTTTTTATTTATTAATAATAATACTTATATAAGTTCTTTAAATGACCATATTTCTATATTAGAACCTTCTATTTATAATATTACAATAAAAATTATATGAAATTTAATATAGATATTTTAACTTTCTTTATATTCGGACATGTAAACCATAAATTATTCAGCATCGTATCCTCCTTCAACTATTTCTTAAAATAGATAATTTTGTTTTAATTCTGTTTCGTTTGACATATTCGTTTTTAAATTAATTTTATTTCTTTTAAATTACAGAATGAAAATATATTTATTTTAAAGAGTTTAAAAATTTATTAAATAAAAATTTTTGAAATTTATAAAATATGATAATATTTAATTTTAAATTATATTAAAAGTACAATATATATATATAACTTATTTTTAAGTTATTTTTTTATTTTTTCTTCATTTTTAAAAAAAAACTTAATGAAAAAAATGGATACCTTATTATTGATTTCTTCTCATACATTTTTTTTCTTTATTAATTAAATTAAAAAATAAAATAAACAATGATAATTATATATAAAATAATATTAATTAAACTAAAAAATATAAATTAAATAGAGAAATTAGTTATTAATATTTTATAATATTATAATTGATTTTTTTAAATTTTCATTTTACATAATATATTGAGCTCATTAAATTAAAATTAATAATATATTATTTAAATAAAAATATTAATATTAATTCAATAAATAAGATTAAAATATATAAAATATTTATTTATATATTCAATGATGAATATTATGATCACATTTTATATAATTTTTACTCCCTTTATCTTAATAATCCTCTACTTAAATAGTAGTATGATAAATTCCATAATATCTACATAATCTAGTAGCTTTTTTTAATACTTCTTTTGGATTATCTTTACAAAATATATGACAACTTAAAGATGGCTTTCCTTTTGATAAAGACCAAATGTGTAAATCGTGTATTTCTTCAATATCTTTAATTGCATTTAACTCTGCTTCGAATTATTTAATATTTATATCAGTAGGAGTTCCTTCCATTAATACTTTAATGCATTCTTTTGCAACTGGGAATGTAGTGAATAAAACTAGAACTGAGAATAAATATGTGCAAATAGGATCTGCTAAATGAATATACTTAGTTTTTTCATCCAAAAAATATATTAATAAAGCTGCAATTAATACACCAATAGATTAAATTATATCACCTTATTTTTTAATTTATTATATATTAATTTATATTTTTTAGTTTACCTATTACATGAATCATTGCAGCTCTTAAATTATAATTATCTTTTGCGGATATTTAGGAAAGATTTTTTCTTTTATTTTTTTATTAAATTTATTGATTTTAATTTTAATCAATTGGTTATAAACTTACAGCTATATCCTTTTTTTTTTATAAAATTTAATTAATATAATTGTATATTTTTTATGAAAAAAATAAATATGTTTATATTAACCTATTTATTAGCTCCATATTACTTTGCCGAAAACTCAGAGCAATTACTTCCTGATTTTTTATTATTAATTATTTAATTTTTTTATTTTTCATTATTATGTTCATGACCGTGATTATTATTATGGCCTTAATTATGCTCATGATTATGATTATGGCTATGATTATGCTCATGATCATGATTATGGTCGCTATTATGACTATGGTCGTGATTATGTTTATGTTTATGTTTGTGATTATGATTATGATCATGATTGTGATTATGCTCATGATTTTTCTTATGCTCATGATCTTTCTCATGCTCATGATCATGATCGTGATCATGAGAATGCCCATGAGAGCATCCATGATGTGAATGTCCTGGTGCACTATGCAAAACTTTAGCCATAATAATATTGCAAAAAAGTCCGAAACCAGCAGTTATAAGCATATAGAGAGGTTCTTCCACCTTTTCTTATTTAATAATTCTATGTGTTGCTTCATATAATAATAAAATTGTAAGTCCCCATATTATAAAAATACTAGCCATAGCACCTATTACTTCAGATCTATGATATCCGTATGACAACTATGTAGATGCTGGTTTAGTTCCTATCCAAACTGAAAAAATCGAAATAAAAAAACCACTTATGTCAGAAAACATGTGAGCTGCATCACTCAAAATAGCTAGCGAAGCTGCTAATATCCCACCTGTTACTTCTGCTATTAAGAATAAAAAGGCTATTATCGATGCTGTTATTAATTTTATTAATACTTTTTTTGTTATATTTCCCATATTTGGAACATTATATATATGATCCCAGTTTTCGTCTTAAACATTTTCATCATCTTCGCTTGAGTTATATGTTTATAATGAATTTTTTTGGATTTCTGGTGAAATTTACTGTTTGAGTAAGGTTTATTATTTACTATTTTCTTCTTATAAAAGTTGAAAATCCATAATCACTAAAATAATTTATTTAAATTATAATTAATTTATTATAAAATTAATAATAAAAAGTAAATAAATGTATATATTTAAAGTAAATTTAATATATTAAGCTATAATCTATTTTATTTGCTTTTAATGTAATTATTTATTTTGATACTTTTATTTTAATAATGCATATTTTATATATATTGTTTTATACTATATCATATAAATATAAAAGTTTCAATGTATTTTCATTTTATTTATTATTTTTTTATTTATAAATATAATTTATATATAATAATTTTAAAAAAAAATATTATTAAAAAAGTAAATATATATATATATATTTATAGTAAATTAGATATTTTTAATTTATTTTCTATTTTAATTTTTTTTTAATGTAAAAAATTATTTGATAATTTTGTTTAAATTTTTATTTTTTATTACAAGAATAATTTATACATATTCATTTTTTACTATATTATATAAAGTATTAAAATTAAAAACAAATTATCTATTTATATTTATGCATTTATTTATTAAATTATATATTTATTAATTTATAATAATATTACATTAAATTTATATTAAAAAGTAAAAAATATATTTATTTTATATAAATTAGATATTTTTATCAAAAATTTTATTTTATTTTTATTTTGTTTTTTGATAAAAATTTTGATATTATTGTTTAAATTTAATTTTTAGTTTTAATGTAAATTTCATTTATTATTATACTATATAAAAATTAAAAGTTTAAATGTATTTTTACTATATTTAATATTTTTGTATATATAATTTTAATAATTAAATAATATATATATATATATATATATATATATATATATACATATATATTTATTTTAATTTTGATATTTTTATATTATTTCTATTTTTTATTTTTTTTAAATTAAATAATTATTAGTTTTTTTTATTTTATTTTATTTTTATTTTATAAATATTTTATATTTATTATTTATTACAATATCATTTAAAATATTTATTTTTTTTTTTTTAATTAATATTTTTTTACAAATTATTATTTTTTTCAAACTATTATTATTTATTATTATTTATTTATTTATTTTTTTATAAAAAAGTAAGAAAAAAAAAGAAAGAAAAAAATGAAATTTTTTTAAAAATTTTCTGATATAAATTTGACCGAATTTGAAGAAGAAACAATAAATTTAATTTTAATTAAAATACAAGAAGAACAGCAATAAAATACAGAAGAAAAATTAAAAATTTAAATATAAATAATTGAAAATATGGATATACCAATTTCAATGAAAATCTTATTAATTTAAGGATTTTAATAAAAAGTCGAATAAAATATTGAAAATCAAAAATAAGATTAATAAAAGCTTAATTTTATTCGCTAAATGTAATAATTGGAAATTAATATTGAATAAGATACCAAAAATTAAAATTAAACCAAAGATTAATAGTTATAAATTTAAGAAGAAATAATTAATTAAAAAACGATTTGTAAGAAATTGAAACACTTTTGGTTAGTTTTAAAGCAGAAAGAAATTAACTTTCCGAAAATTTGGAAGATATTAAATTTGATGTTATTGATATTAAATAAGAATTATAGAAATATGCTGAATAAGAAAAGAATGTTGATCACTATATGTCTAAATTAAAATATAAAATCACACAAATGACTTAAAAAGGTTAATCTACTGCAAGAGAATATATTAATAACGTAAATACATCTAGAGTTAATATTACTAGAACTAATGTCAATTAATCACTTATTTAAGATGTTAAATATTAACTTTCAAGTATTAAGGATTTTTTTAAAGATAGATATTCTCTTTTTGCTCAAAAAAATAATAATTAATAATAATCAAAATCCACTAATATGCTTGCTGATCTAGATATGTGATTTACTTTACTATTTTAGCTAATTAAATATATTTTTAGTATATATATATATATTTTATTATTATTTTTATTTTTTTGTATAGTTTATATTTTTTTATTATTATATATATATTTATTTTTTAAGAATTTTTTAACTTTATTTCTTTATTTTTTTTATTTACATGGATTTATTTTCATAATATTATCTTTTTTTTATTTTTTTAGCATAAATATTTTTTTATATTAAAATAACAAAAAAATATTAATTATGTTTTGTTGTAGTTCAAAAAAATAAAAAAATGTTCATAAAAATCTAATTTTTAAAGAAAATTTACGCTTTACAGATAATTAAATATAAGAACTTTAATAATAGTAATAAATAAAATATATTTTTTTTTTTTTTTTAAATAACATAGTTTTATAGATTTTAAAGAATGAGTAATTTTACTAATTATTTAACTAAAGATTAATTCAGATTTAGCATGGGAATTTTAGGTTTAGAAAGTGTTTAGTTTTTAGCCGATAGAATATTTCATTTAATGGCAAATAAAAAAGGATTAGTAAATTATATATATTTATAGATTTTTGAACTTTAAAAAAGATTGATTTTTAAAATTTTATTACTTATATTGATATTATAATTAATGGAAACGACAAAGAAAAAACTATTTTATCATTTAAATTAACTGATAATTTAAATAAAGGTTATATTATAAAAGAAGACTTATCTTAATTTATTAGAGAAATGATATTATCTTGGGCAAATATAACTTAAACATAAATAAGTAAATATAAAATACATAATTTATTAAAATTAATCAAAAGCAAAAGATATACTGAATAAAATGAATATTTAAATTGATAATATTTATAATAAAATGAATTTTAATAAAAAGGGCAAAATCTATTGTCAAGATTATGAATAAGCAATGATTAAGAATCCTGATTTACTTGAAATTTTTGAGTTTTTAAATATGAGTGTTGAAGAAAATATATTTTAACAAAAAAACAAATTAAAAATTAAATATTTAGAATTAATTGAATATCAGTTGTTTGAAATATAAAACTTAATAAAAAATGATAATAATAATTAAAAAGATAAAAATAGGAAAAAATCAGTAAATAATAAGAACAATATAAATAGTTAAAATAATAATGATAATATATTTTATTAACAATAAAACTTAAAATAATTATAAATTAATTATAATAATATTGATAAATATAAAATAGATTAAAATAAAAGTTTAATTATTTTTGAAGATTGCACTTAAAATGAATAAATATCTATTGATTCTAGTAATTATTGTATAAGTGAAAATTAAAATTATAATTACAATAATCTAAATTTAAACAAGAAAATAAGTATTTAAGAAAAAAATAAAGAAGATTAATAAATAAATTTAATTTTCAATAATAATAATATAGAAAAAAGTAAAAACGATAAATTTAATTTTGGTTTTAAAAGTTACCCATAAAAAAAAATCCTTAACAAAAGTTTATTTTATTAGTAAAAATAAAAATTTTAAGAAAATGAAGAACATTAATTCTTATATAAAAGCTGCTAAAAAAGCAACTAAAATGAAGATTTAGAATAAAACTTAATTTAAAGATTTATGTAAATGGATAAAAACGAAATGAAAAAAACATTAATAAAAGTATGTTTGTAGATAGAATAAGTATAGTAAACGTTTTAAAATTTAAAAAAAGTATTATTAAAGAAATAATAATAGAATATATAAAAATAAGAATTTTTAAGTGATATTAATTTATAAAAAATAAAATTGAGTCTTAAATTATAAATGATAATAAAATAAAAAATAATTCAATTAATAATAGTTTCCATATTTTTAAGAAAAATGAATCTTTAGGAATTTTTAAATAAAGTTTTTCTAATAAATTGAAAATATTAAAAACTTTAAAAAGAAAATATTCATCTGATTTATAATATTCATAAAAAGTTAAATAAAATAGCTTTATTGAAAATAGTAATTAAGAATAGAAAATAAATGGTCTTATTATTTTTGGACATTAAGATTGGAATTTAGTACTTAATATGATGATAGGTATTCGAACTAGTGTTTTTTAGAATTCATATATAATAAAATAAGAAATTTAATAAAAAGATTTCAAAGATAAATTTATTTATGAATTATTACCAAAAAAGCTCCCTATTTAAAAATAATAATTATATAAAGCTTATATTTTTTATGATTATTATCCTTGTATATTTTAATATATTAGATTCTTATATAATATTTCTGATGAATAATATCTAAAATCTATTGGATTAGATTAACTTTTTATTAGCCTTGCTAAAGGAGATTTTAATGGTTTTAGATAATTAACAAGCTAAGGTAAAAGTGGGTCTTTTTTTTATTATACATCAGATGGGAAAATTACTATAAAAACAATTAGTAAGAGTGAATTTAAATATTTAAAGGCTATAATATAGAATTATTTTAATCATTTAAAAACTAATAAATAAAGTCTCATAATTAAGTTTTTTGGATTACATAAAATTAAAGTGAGAATGAAAAAAAATCTTTATTAACAGGCTATTTTCTTTGTTGTTATGGGTAATATTTTTGATAATTGTAAAGATTTTATTTCTAAATATGATTTAAAAGGATCAATATATGGAAGAAAAACTAATAATAAAAATAAAATGTAAATAATAATACTTTTTTTTTTATCTTTATATGTTTCTATTTTTTTAAGTAAAGATATAACTTTAAAAGATCTCGATTTTATTGAAAATAAATAAAAAATTTTAATTAATTATGAAAAATATATTTAGTTTATGGATATTATTTAAAAAGATGCTGAGTTTTTTGCTTAAAATAATATTATGGATTATAGTTTATTAGTTGGTATTCATTAAAAAAATTTATAAAAATAATATAGTATTAAATAAAATATGTCTTAAATTATAAGTAGTGATAATAAATTTATTTATTATTTTGGAATTATAGATATTTTGACATGTTTTAAGTTTATATTTATTTATTTTTTTAATATAAAAAAATATTTTTTAGTAATCTTAAAAAGATAGAATATTTCACAAAAAAAATTATTTATGGTAATACTATTTCTTCTGTTCCTCCATAATAATATAAAGATAGGTTTATAAATTTTATAAAAAAAATTTTTGTTTTTAAATAAGATGAAATAAATAATAATATTTAAATTGATTAATTTAATATTTTTATAAAAGATTAATTGAAAAATAATAATGGTACAGTAGTTAAAAAAAATTGAAAATACTCCTTGTAATATTATACAATAAATATTAAATAATAAAAATATCACATCTAGCATTATTTAGGTTTTATATAGATTATAATTGCTATAAATAAAACATATTAAAAATTAATATATATATATTAATTCATATGTTTAAAACTAAAATATAATTAATTAATATTCTTTTATTATAATATATTTTTTATTTTTTATTTTGATATTTTATTTTATTATTTATTTATATCTAAAATTATTAAATTAATTAAATATTATTACAAGCAAATAAAATTGTTTTTAATTATATAATAAAGTAAATCAAATTTAATAAATATTTTTAAATATTATAAAGGATATTAATAACTTTAAAATATATTTTTAATAAATATAAATTAATTTATTAAAAAAACTAAAAAAATGCATTTAATGAATATTTTTTTATATAAATAATAATTTTTATATTTAAATATATATTAAGAATAAAATGTTTTATATAAAACACTATAATAATTAAACTTTTTTATAATAGATATCATATTTATAAAAAGATATTTAAATTTATAAATTGTAACAAACAAATTCTACATAATTAAATATATTATTAAATATCTAAATTTTATTTAAATATTTTTTTATAAAATATCAATAATAATAATAATATTTTTTTGTTATATATTAATATATTAAAATATATAAATAATATAAAATAACAAAAAAAAATGCAAGAATCATAAGAGCAATTAAGCAATAATTTTTAAATATCTAATGGAACAAAAGAAAGAGTTGAAGCTGCTAAATCATTTATAGAATAAAAATATTCTAAATATATTTAAAAAGAAAAAGATAAAAAAGAAAATTGGAATTTATTAATTTAGAAAATGTAAATTCTAAATTTTACAGAAGATGAAAAAGAGGCAATAAAGAAAGAAATATTAATGAGAGAAGCTGAATAAATGAGATAAGCGAGATAAAAATTAACTCCAAGTGATTTCGAGCCTATAAAGGTTATTGGAAAAGGTGCATTTGGAGAAGTTAGACTATGTCGTTGGAAAGAAAATAGTAAAAAAATAAATAAAAATAGACATAAATAATAAACATAAAAAAAAAAAAGATAAAGTTGTAGCCATAAAAAAAATGATAAAAAAAGAAATGGTAAATAAAAATTAAGTAGGACATGTAAGAGCAGAAAGAGATATTATGGCAAGTGCAGATAAGACTTGGATAGTAGATTTGGAATGCTCTTTTTAAGATGAAAATTATCTTTATTTAGTAATGGAGTATTTACCAGGAGGTGATTTAATGTCGCTTTTAATGAAAAAAGATATACTTTTAGAAGATGAAGCTAAATTTTATACTGCGGAAACTTTGCTAGCACTTGACGCCGTACATAAAATGAATTACATACATAGAGATTTAAAACCTGATAATATTTTAATTGGAAATGATGGGCATATTAAATTAACTGATTTTGGGTTTTTTTTTTTTTTAATAAAAAAAAATATATAATTAGTCTTTGCAAACATACAGAAATAAGGCCAAAAAGGCTTGATATAGAAAAAAAGAAAGATGAACCTGAAAAACCTAGTTTATAATTATAAATAGGAAAAAGATCAGGTTATAGAAGAAATAGAATATTAGCATATTCAACTGTTGGTACTCCAGATTATATAGCTCCAGAAGTATTCGGGAAAACGGGATATACTGAAACTGTTGATTGGTGGAGCTTAGGAGTTATTTTATATGAAATGTTAGTTGGTTATCCTCCTTTTTTTTCGGATAATCCTTCAAGTACATGCTCAAAGATATTAAATTGGAGATAAACTTTTTAAATTCCTTAGGAAGCAAATTTATCAGCTGCAGCAATTGATTTATTAAGAAGACTTATTGCAGATCCTAATGAAAGATTAGGTGTAAATGGAGTTGAAGAAATAAAGGTATTTTATATGATTTTATATTAAATAATAACTTTTTAATAAAGGTACATCCATTTTTTGCTAAAATTGATTGGAAAAATATTAAAAAAACAAAACCAACATTTATACCAGAATTAAATAGTGATGTAGATACAAAATATTGCGAAAACTTTGAAAATGAAGAACCTTGGATATCTTAAGGAGAAAATTCAAGTTAAAAAAAATAAAAGTAAAGAAAAGATGTAAACTTTATTGGATATACGTATAAAAAAAATAATGATGATTAAACAAACATTGTATAAGAAGTACTTATAAATTTAGATTATAAATAAAAAGTTAATACTTAAGAAGATAAAAATGAAGAATAAGAAGATTTATAATAAGAACAAGATAAAGAAATATATAAAAAAGTAAATAATATTAATTCAAATTATAATATAAATAATAATATAAATAATAATATAAATAATATAAATAATATTAATAATATTAATAATATTAATAATATAATAATAATAATAATAATATAAATAATGATGGTCTTATATATTAATAATAATAAATGAAATAATTTATTGAATATTAATTATAGAATAATTAATAATTTGGAACTATTAAAGTTAATAAGTAACTTAATATGAACGATAATTTTATTAATTAAATTTAAAATAATTCTGTATAATTATAAAGTTAGTAAATTAATTAAAATATTTAAAAAAAATAAACTAATTTAAAGCAAAACCCTATAAATAGTGCTCCATAAAATAAAATACTATAATAATAAAAATTAATCAAACTAATTTAAAGTTTAATATTGGAGCTACTTAACAAACTTAAATAAAGACTTAAATTGACTAATATTAGTATAAAAAAAATTGAGCTATTTGTTTTTTATTTTTAATTTTGATTAAATTTTTATGTTTAATTATATATTTTAAATTATGAAATAAATAATCATTAATAATATAATAATAAATAAATAATGCATATCTATTAATAAGAGGATAATTAAAAATATTATAAAAAGTAAAATTTTAGTAATTTTTTTTGTAATATTTTTAATAATATATGATTTTTTTTATTTAATTAATATTTATATAAATATTAATAAAAATATATTTATATAATTTTTATAAATATATTACTAGAAAATTTGACAATATAAGTAAATTAATTTTTAAATAATTTTAAATTAAAATACATAATTTTATTAAAAAAATACAATATCTTTCAAAAATAAATTAAAATATATAATTAGGTTATTAATTCTCAAATTTCGAATTTAATAAATCATATAATACAGAAATTTTAGTTGAAATTATTAACTAATTTATAAATTAATTTTGGAAATTAAGAGCTGATGTAGATTCTCGATTAACAAGAATTGAAAATCAATTAACATTAATTGAAAATAAACTAAAAAGAAATAAAAACGTACTAATAAACATAGAAAATCAAATAAAAACTAACGAAAACTCACCTAAAATTGTTGAAAATAGAAATTTAATTGTTTAAAATAATACTATTAAATTTGAATTTATGCTCAATAGAATTAAAAGAAAATTAAAGAAGCTTTAAAGAAATCTAATAAGAAAAAACGCTCGAAGTTAAAAATAAATTAAAAAAATCTATAAACATAATCCAGAAATTTCATAAGATTATACTTAAATATTGAAATATAATAATTACTATTTATGCTCGTATAAATTATAAATAATTTAATTAAAATTTTAATATTTTTGAAAAAAAGAACTTAATTAGATTAAAATATATAACAAAAATAATATACTTAACTAAACTTTTTAAAAGAAAATTTAAATTATGTTAATATAAATAAATATTAAAAATATTAAATAGAAAAAAAAATACCAAATAAGAAATGAAAAATAATAAAAAAAGTGAGAAGAAATAATAAAAAAAAACATATTTTTTTAAATATTATAAATTAAATAAAATATTATATATTTTATTATAGTATAAAACTTATAATAAAAAAAAAAATAATTAAAAAATAATGATATTTTTAATATATCTAAAAATATAAACATTAGCATATTAATTTTTATTTAAATAATATAATTAATTATATATATAATAAAAAAAGTATAAATATACATAAAAATAAATATAAATATAAATATAAATATATATATATATATATATATTTATATATATTTATATATTTATAAATTTTTCATTTTTTTTTTATATAAATAAATCATTAATTATTTTTTTTTATTTCTTATTCTTTATATTCTATATTTATATTTTTTAAATACCATAATAAATCATTATTATTTTCTTTATCCTCTATAAAAATTACATTATTATTTTATTATTATTAAGATATAAGTTGTTCTTCAAAACTTATTTAATGAATAGATTTTGGAGGTCCGAATATAAATCCAAAGTTAGATTTATTATCTGAACATTCTTATGTATTATTTTATTCTAAATTACAACTATTTTAATTTTCTAAATTTTATTTTTATAATTGTTATTAATTATTTTATTTTTTTTCACTTTCTTCCCTAATCTCTTTTATTTCATCGCATATTTTATATTTCTATGAAAAATTACTAGTATTAGCCTATACTTTTTTAAATGCACTTTTATCTGAATATGAAGTGTTTAAATAAGATTATTTTTATTAACTTATTTCGAAACTTATTGATTCTGTTCCTTTTTATTTTTCAATTTCTAATTTTAAAAGCATGTTTTTTAATATTTGTTCTAAATATTCTTTTTCGTTCATTAATTCTGTTATTTTTTCTGATAAATTTTTAATTATTTTATCTTTTGTATTTTAATTATTTTAATCATCTTTTGATTATTGCCATTTTTTTAAATTTTACTAAATATTTAATTTTTCTTCTTTTAATTATAATTCTAATTTTTTAACATATTAATTTTCCTTTTTAATTTAAATAAATTATTTCATTTAAAAAAAATTAAAATACAATTGTTCTTAATTTTCTATATCGTTAAATCTCTTCTTCTAAGACTCTATTAACAGTTTTCAAAGCTGCATTTTCAGTTTATAGAGTATGTATTTCTTATCTTAATATAGCATCCCTTAAATGATATTTAGTCTTAATTTCTCTTATATTAGATGAATAAATCATTTCTTCATCAGTATTTATATAATTATTATTAGTATCAAGCATTTATTAATTATTTTCTTTATTAATATTTTATTATTAGTTTTGTTTATCATCTTTTGATAATAATGAACATTCTTATTCTCTTGAAGGATAGTCTGGCATTATATTACTTATCATACTTTAATATTATTTGCTTTTATTATTTCCTATAGAATTTTTATGTGCATTAATTGATTTATTTAAGAAAATAGAATTATCATCTATATTTTTATTTTATTTATATTTAGATGTTTTAGCTTATTTTTTATTGTTTGATGTAAAATTGAATATAAAGTTAGAGTATTTAACTGTATTTGAACGCAATTCTTCTATTTTTGTCGAATTATTTGGAGTTGTACTTATTTTTATTTTAAGTTGCTTTTAGTCTTAAGAAAAATTGTTATTACCTTTTTGTTTAAACTTTTAAATAAGTTATTTTGATTTAACATATTTTTTTTTATATTTATTATTTTTTTATTCCTTTTATTTACAAAAAATAAAATAAAGTACATTGTTTGTGTTTATTTCTGATGATTTATTTTTATTTTTTTTATTATATTATTTTTATATATCAATGTTATAACGCTTATTTTATAGTATTTTGTCAATTTATACTTTTAATGATTATTTGCTATATGTTGTTTGCAACATTTAAATAGTTTTTTTTTTTTAACAATTATATATGTATATATATATATTTGTATTTTTAAATATATATTTTTTTTATTTTTAATTATTTTATCTAATAATTTTTTTTTTTTTTTTATTTATTATGTCATCTATAAAAATAATTTTTTTTTTCTTTTATTTTTAAACTATTAAAACATTGCATTTTATTTAATTTATTTTTAATTTTATATACAAATAAAAATTAATATTTAAAAAAAAATGTTTTTGATTTTTTAGTTGTTGTAGTTTTTTTTTTTTAATAAAAAGTATTAAATTTTATCAAAAATAAAATAAAATAATTTAAATTATTTATGAAATTTGTTTTTTTATTAGAAAAAAGAAAAAAATTTAGAAAAAATTATAATATTAATGAAATTTTATTAGATATAATAAATATTTTTTAAGAATTTATATTTTTATATTTTTTTCGAATTTATGTATTTATTCTTTAAAAATAATATTAATTTTCTAGAAATATTATTAATAAAATAAAATTAGAAGAATAGAATCATTCTTTTGTTAAATTTGTTTTAAATTTCAAAACAAAAATAATTTAATAAAAAATTAGTGTTTCAAAAAATACAAATGCTAAATAAAATTACTTAAAAAAAATACACATGTAAAATAAATAATAAAAATAAAAGAATTAGTAAAATTAAATATATATAAATATTAATAATATAAAAAAAAATCTATTTAAAAAAAAACATAAATAATTTAATAAATATAAAAAATGTCTCAATAGTAAAACTTAACCCAAGGAGCCATCGGTATAGATTTCGGTTCATCAAGATCAGTTATAGCTGTAGCTAAAAGAGGAGGTGTAGATATCTTAACAAACGAAGCATCTTTAAGAGAAACCCGTAATATAGTCGGATATGGACCTAAACAACGATTTATGGGCGAAGCAGGAAATGCTTAAGTAAAAAAAAAAAAAAAATTAAAAAATAAAAATAAAAAAAGGCTAAAAGTAACTTTAAAAATACTGTATCTAATTTCAATAGATTATTAGGATTACCCCCTACCCACCCAAAACTAAGAAATGAAACAAAATGGATAACATCTAAAATAGCCACAAATCAAGATGGTAAACTAGTCCATGAAGTCTAATATAAAAATGAAACAGTCTAATTTTTGCCTGAATAAGTGACAGGGGCTATGCTTGGGGCTTTAAGAAATATTGTTTCTTCACATAATTTACCAAATCATGAAGCTGTAATTTCTGTACCTTCATATTATACAGAATAAGAGAGAAAAGCTTTAAGAGATGCATGTTTGATTGCTGGTTTAAATCCTACTAGGTTATTTAATGAAAGCTCTGCTATTTCTATTTCTTATGGTTTATTTAGAAAAGCTGAATTGGATTCTACTGTTACTAGAAATGTAGCTTTTATCGATTTAGGACATTCCAAATTTTCTGCTTTTGTATCGAGCTTTAATAAAGAAAAATCAGCTGTTTTGGCTTAAGTACATGATAGATAATTAGGTGCTAGAGATATGGATTGGCTTATATTTTAAAAATATGCAAAAAGCTTTGAATAAAAAACTGGACTTTCACCTTATGAATCCAAAAAGGCTATGTTGAGACTTTTTGATGCCATTGGAAAGCAAAGAACAATCCTTTCGGCTAATATGGAATCTGAATGTAATTGTGAGTATTTAATGGAAGATTGTGACTTAAGTGAATCTTTGACTAGATCCGAATTCGAAAGTATAATTTAACCTGTTCTTGCTTAAATTTAATAGTGTTTATAAACACTTATTTAAGAATTAAGTAAATATTTATCATTTAATTATTTTTTAATTAAATTATATATTAATAATATAAAAAGAAAACAAAAAAATTGAATTACACAGTGTTGAAATTATCGGAGGAGCAACAAGAATACCTATAGTATAAGAAATGATAAAGAAATCATTCGGAATAGATACATTAAACAAGACTTTAAATGCTTCAGAATGTATAGCAAGAGGTTGTGCAATGATGGCAGCAATGATGTCTCCATTATTTAAAGTAGCTGAATATAACCTTGAGGAATCGAACTATTACGCAATAAAGACTAGTTGGGATTTCTTTAATTTAAATGAAAAAGGTTAAAAAGTTGATTTAGAAGGAGGCAAAAGTTCCGTAATATTCGAAAAAGGATGCACTATTCCAAATGTAAAATCTATAACTTTTACTAAAAGTGATGGAATTAATATTAATTTATTTTATGATAATCCATCAGAAGGATTTGATGGTTTATTGGCTAATTATGTTATTTAACCATGTAAACCTAAAGAATAGACTTATAGTGTTAAAGTTAGAATTAAATTAGATAAAAATGGACTTGTATCAATCGATGAGGTGTAATTAATAGAAGATTATTAAGTTGAGGAAAAAATTCCCATCAAAAAAGATAATAAACCAACTGTTCCTGCTGCTTAATAACCTTAATAATAATAAAATTAAGCTGATAATAGTTAATAATAATAACCTGCAAATAATGTAGATAATTAATAATAATAATAATAAGAAGAAGTTTAATAAGAATATGAAATCAAAATGAGAAAAAAAACTAGATATACTAACTTATAATTCGATTAACCTAAAATCTTATATAGCTTATTAAAAGAATAAATTGATATGTTCATTAATTTGTAAATCTCTCATATTAATTTTGATAATGTCACTATTAATACTTTATTCAAAAAAAATGAACTCGAATCTTTCATTTATGCTTGGAGAGCTCATTTAGATGGAGGTAGTTATCAATAATATGCTTTACCTAATTTAGTTCATAGTGTTCTACATGAATTAAGAACTTATGAATAATGGCTTTATGAACATGGATAGGAAGCACCTTTAAATGATTATGGTTAAAGATTAGAAAAAGTTTAATAAATGTGTGCTCCTATTTAAAGAAGATATAATGAATATTCAAATCTACCTGATTCTATAAATTAATTATAAAAAATTATTTAAGAATCTGAAGGATTTGTTATTTCTGGAGTAACTTTCTTTCTTTTATCTATATTTTTATTTATATATATATATAGGCTGAATAATATGCACATATTAGTAAAGAAGAAAGAAAACCTATTGCTGATGAAGTTGATAGAATTAGAATTTTTTTAAATAATGCTGAAATTGCTTAAAAAAGACTCTAACTTCATCAAGATCCTGTTATTACTTGTGAAGAAGTTTAGAAATAAATCAATTCTTTAATTAATGTATGTTTTATTATGTTATTTTTATTTAATCTTTTTATATTTTTAATAGATTTGTAAACCTATTATGAGTAAATCAAAACCTGAACCAAAGAAAGAAGAAAAAATGTAAACAGAAAATGATGCTAATAACTAAAATAATAATGCAAATTAAAAACCTGATGAAAAAATGGATATTGAAAAATGAAAAAATTAATTATTTTTTATTTTTATTTTTTTTTTATTGAAAAAAAAGATATTTTATAAAATCATATGTTTTTATTTTATTTTTAAAAATGTATTTTTTTTAAATAAAAAAAACAATTTATTAAATTCTTTTAATTTTATCATTAATTTATATTTATATTACTTATATAATTTTTTTTGTGTTTTTCAACAAAAATTATAATTACATATTTAAATATAAAAATAATAGAATATTCTGAAAAAGGTTAATTTATAATGAATTATAAAAAGAAATCTTCTAAAATAATTTTTTAAATATTAATTTTTTTTTTTTAAATTTGTTTATTTTTTTAAAAAAAAGAGTAAATATAAATATAATTTTAAATATGATATGGTATAAATATATATATATATATAATATAATTTATAAATATAACATTAAATAATAAATTTTATTATCGAAATTAATTCAAAAAAATAAATGGCAGATTAATTAAAGAAATGTAAAAGAGGTGGATGTAACAAAAAATACACTGAATAAGAAAATCTTCCAAATTCATGCCGCTTTCATCCAGGAAAACCTATTTTCCATGATACAAAAAAAGGATGGACATGTTGCAATAAAATAGTTTATGATTGGGATGAATTTTAAAATATAGAAACTTGTGCAGAAGGAATGCATACTGATGTTGATTCTAATCAATAAACAGTTGGATAGGATTAGTTTTACAAATCTAGTACAGTGGCTAATGCATAAAAAGCATTAGATAAAGAAGAAAAAAAAATAGTGATTTAAAAAATATCAGATTTTAATAAATAAGAAGATAATAAATAAAAAAATAATTAATAATAAACGCAATAACAATAAACATAATAATAAGAAAATGAAAAGAAAAAAAAATTTATTACTAAAAATGGAAATTATAAATGTACAAATAAATCATGTCAAAAAGAATATAAAGAAGAGGATAATATAGAAAATGCTTGCAATTATCATTCTGGAGAACCAGTTTTTCATGACTTAAAAAAATACTGGACTTGTTGCTAAAATGTATATAATTATTAAATTAATAATATATATATATTTATATAAAAAATAAAAAATAAAAAATAAATATATATATATATATTTACATATATATTTTTTTTTATTTATTTATTTTTATTTTTTTTTAATTTTTTTTTTAAATTAATTTTTATAGAAAATTTGTTATGATTGGGATGAATTTATGAAAGTATAACCTTGTACATATGGTAAACATAATCCTAAATACGAATGATTTTAATTTTTATATATATTTTTATTATTATTTTTAAATATTTTTATTTTTGCAATTTGTAATTTTTTATATTCTCTATCTCTTTTTTTTTTTATATATATTTTAAATTTTTATTATTTTAATTTTTATTTCTATTTTTAATATTTATAATCATCTATAAATAATTATATATATATTATTTCTTTTTATTATTATTAATTATATATTACCAATAACAAATTAATTGTTTCATTTTATTTTTATAAAATTTTAAGAAAAATATTATAATTGATTTAATATATTCCAAATTTAAATGTTTATAAAAAAAAAAATAACCAATTATTAATATTATTTATTTATATCTAGAAAAAATATTTATTATATATTTTATTTATATATTTTTTACATTTTTTATAATATATATTATTTTATATCTGTATTAAAAAAAATAGACTAAAATTATATAAAAAAAATAAAATAAAATTTTCCTATATAATTTAAAGTTTATTATTTTATCATCTACTGTTACATAATTTAAAAAATTTATTTAATAATTATTGCATTTCTTTGTCAAAATTAAATTAAGAAGATTATTTGCAAATTTCACATTTACTACAATCAATACAAGTCAAAGCTAATAAATTTCTTGAAAAACTATAGCTATTCAATTAAATAAGTAGAGGCATTAAATCATTAAGTATAAATTTAAACTTTTTTATTTGTTTAAAATATATAAAATTAATATAAAATATACTTCTTAAGGTTAAATTTAATTCAGATGAGGCAAAATATATTTTTATATAGTATTTCTTAAGCTAACTATTTAATTTTAATTTTCTATATTATGTTAGTAAGAAATTTATTTTTATATATTTTAAGAAGTTTCTTTTTTATCAATAATAATATAATTGCCATCAATTATTGTAAAATCTTTTGAGAAATCTAAAAATTGCTATATACATTCCATACTAAAACTATTTTTAATATATAATAAATATTTTTTAATACAAAATAAATATATTTTAAATATCTACTATAAATATTTTTTTAAATAATAGTTTTCTTAAGTATTATTTATTTAGTTCAATTATTTTTCTCTTATATAGAATTCAAATTTTATCAATATTATAATTGCTCTACTATCTCTTTATTATATATATAAACTAGGAAATCCATAATCATTCATTATTCCTTTTTTAAATAAAATAAAGAAAATTATTAGCTTATTTGTATTTTATTTTTATTAAAAAAAAAAAACCTTTTTTATAAAGTAAGTATCTATAGAATATTTTTTCATTAAATTAAATTGCGAAAATATATGATTTTTCTAATTCTTTTTGTAATTCTTCCATTTACTTTATTTATATATTAATTATGAAAAAAAATTAAAAAAATATTACTTATAAATTGAAATTTTGAATATAGTTTAAATATAATTCTTTGATTGTTGCTATTGTATTTAATTACATAATAAACTAAGTTTATATTTGATTTTTATCAATATTTTATTCAAAATTAATCTATGTAATATCAATTTATTCACTTTTCTACAAAAAGTCAGTATAATTTAATTATAGTATTTCTTTATTTTATTAATCTTCATATAATTATAATTAAGAAGGTAAAGTTTAATTAATTATTTTTTTCAAATGATTAAGAATCAAAGCAAAGCAGTTTTCATCAATTAAATCTTTCTGAACATCTTTTAAGAATTTTTTTAATTACTCAGTTGCAATTTTAGATAAGCTCTATTTATTTATTTATTTAAAAAATAAAAGTAAAATTTACATCAATAAATAAACCAATTAATTTTTCTAAAACTTCCAAATATTAATAAAAATGACAACTAGTTTTCTAAAAATTGTTACTAAAAATATCTGTTATAGATTCGAATACAATTTAACAAGAAACTTTCATAAAGCCACTTAAATTAATATCAAAATCTTTGCTATTTTTCTAAAAATAATTAATCATATTATCTAACAATTCCAAAATTACTGAATTCCAGATTTCATTAAATTATTAATCTGTAAAAACAAAGCAATTTTTTTTTATTAATCTAAACATCGTTTCGAGTCCTTTCCTTTAAATATTAATAGCTTCTCCCGTAAATTATTTCCCTAGAACCTAAAAAACCTAAATAATAATAAGATCAATTATTTTCCTTTATTATTATTATTAATGATTATCAAAAAGATAATCTAAAAGTCTATTAATGTAGACAATAGAATTTAAAGCTATATTTTCTTAAGAAAAATTAACTAATTTACATAAAGCTGTAGATAAAGAAACCATTTCTTCATGCAAAAATTCAAGCGATCTCTCATCTTATATAAAAATTTCGTCAATTATTTTAAATGAAAGAATAACTAGTGACATATTATTAATATCTTTGTAATTATCTATTGTCTAGTTAATCAATCCTATAATAACGTTCCAGCCTGATTTTATTGTTGAGAAATTAATACTTGTAATCATTCTGATACAACTTAGAATAAGTTCATAAATAACAATTGGGTTTGTGGCTTTAGTGTAATTATAAATAAACGAAAAGGGACTTAGAAAAGCCTTTTGGAAAGAATAGTGTGATAGTTCTTATTTTTTTAAAAACTTCATACTTAATTATTTTAATAAATCAATAGCTAAACATGCGCATTATAGATTCTGACTAGTTCCTGCATAATTAAAATGCTAAGAAAGTACAATCCATATATTATTCCATTCAAATCTTACTCTGTCCATATTAAATTCAGCAACTTCGCTAATCCTTTACATACAAAATAATCTTGCTTTATTTTAATTATTAATTTCTTGTTTACTTAATTCACATAAACATTATATGAAATCATATATTTCTAAACTTTCGAATTTACAGGTATTTGCAAATATCTTATCGATTATATTTTCATTGAATGTATTTATTAATAATTCTGCATTATGAATTTCTGTTTCTAAATTCTAAGGATTTTATAATAAGATTTCTTTACTCATATGTGCTTTAGAAAAATAATAATCTAATTTAGATATACATTCTATTATATCTTTCCAGGAAGTTCTAAATGTATTACCACAAAATAAAGATGAGTCTAATAATATTTATATTGCTTTTATATTTTTTTAATTTAATCTGTTGTTTGTTTGTAGTAAGCCTGTAGCTTTTGTCAATGTTACTATAAATGTTTATTATTAGACGTTTAATTCATTTTTGCCAAGTAAATAAAGACAATAATATATTCCTTTTAGAGAAAAATCAATAAATTAGCTTTCAGGCTTTTCTAATTCTATGGAAAAAGTGACAAATAAAGGGCTCCATATAACTTCTAACAAATGTTTAGTAAAATTTAAATTAAATACTTATATAAAATTTTAATCTTCATTTTAATTTTCAGCGTTTTAAATTATTTTCTAATAAAAAATAAAAATAAACAAAAATATATAAAAAAAAAAATATACTTATCCTTATAATAGCATTTTTCTTTATTCTTCTTTAAAAATTTTATTTTAAATTACCATATCTTGATTTTTAATATCATTATTTTTATTTTTCTATTCATATGTCTCTCCATGGATAGCAATATCATTTTATTTTAAACTATTATAAATGGCTTCAATTTATTATTAAGGTAAATCTTCTCCATCAGAAATACCTTTAACTAAATTTTTAAAAGCTTACAAACTCATCCTATCTTTTTCACTAATTTATTTATTATAAAGACTTGTCTAAAGCATCATAATAGCATAAGCTAAAGTATAGGCAATGCTAGCATTTTTAAATATTCCTTAATTATCTTTTACATATTTTTCCCCAAACATTTACAAAATTCTATCCAATTATTCAGCTTAACCTGTTGGATAAATATATTTAAATAGTAAACGTAAGCCTTAGTCTATAGAGATATTTTTAAATGAAATAAATTCAAGGTAATTACTAAAAACACTTTAATTATAAGAACTTTCATTACCGAAAAATTCTCCTAAAGTAGTTCTTTTGATATTTTCTTAATTATATAAAAATTCTGATAATTATTTTATTGATTTTTCAAGGTCTATTTATGGGTCTTAGACTAATTTTTATAAGTATAAAAAATTAAGTCCTTCTTTTATTTTATAGTTTAGTTTTTAAATTGCTTTCTGTATTTAAATTTTAGCTTTTAACTATTCTTCAATTTATCCTTAATCATTACTTATTCCAAATTAATAATATTCATCTATTGTTTTTGACATAGAGTTATTTTCATTTTCTTCTTCATATTATTATGATGATTATTATAATGATTATTATAATGATTATTATAATGATTATTATAATGATTATTATTATGATTATTATTATTATTATTATTATTATTATTATTATTAATATTATTATTATTATTATTATTATTATTATTTTTGATAAATTAATTGCTATTATTTATAATTATTTTTGAATTATTACTATTGTTTTTTAAAATTCGTCTAGATTTTTACTATATTCTGATAATTATTATACTATTTATACTAAAGATGATAAAGACAATTAACGTAAATGTAATTCATGAATATATAAAATTGAGTTTTAAAATTCTTATTTAGAATATTTTCCTTGCGATATTCTTGATATTTACTCTATTATTTTTTCTGTTAAATTAGCTTAGTTTAATGCACAATCATAATTTACAAATAATTCTAATAAAACTCTAGGAACTTTAAACAGTTCATGAAAAAATTCTAATATTAAAACTCTATGATGAAGTGATGAATTTACACTTTCTAACATTTATAAAAGAATATCATTTATAAACATCTTTTTTTTAAATATATATATAAATATATATATATATATTTATATATATATATATATGTATTTATATATAAATATATATAATCTATATATTTGAATATTTCTACTTTTATTTCTTTTTTTAAATTATCTCGAAAATCTATAAAAACATTTATTAGAATATTCATAGATATTTAAACAACTTTTTTTTCTTAAGAAAGTAAATTTCTTAATAGAGAATCTATTAAATGTTCTTTTACTGTTTATTAGAAATTAGATAGAAACACTATATTTGCATTATCCATTATTAAATATAATAGATCTAATGAAATGATTTTCGTTTTAAGATTTTGTGGGTTAGAAGCACTATTTAAACTTATTTCTAAATATAAAAAAAATCCAAATATATATATTACTTAGCTCCATCTTTTTTAGAAATATCGCACAGCATCTTGAAAATATTAATTCCATCCTCAATATATTAAGTTTAGCTGATTACGTTTTGTTTATTTTCTTACATATAGTCGATTTTATTTATTTATTATATATGAATATTTTTGCACTCTTTTGAACATATGCTTACTCTTGTATCTTTGCAATAATTATGTGCCGTTTTTCGACATATGAAGCACCTTTTTTTGTTTTATTATAACATTTATATGGTTTTTTTTTAAAAAAAAATTACCATCCGAATTTTCCTGAAATTTAATTAGTTTCATTCTATATGCCTGCTTTAACTATTTCTTAATATACTGGGTCATTTTCTTAATTTAAAGGAGGAACTGATAAATAAGGAATGTGGATATTTTAATTCTATTTATCAGCAATCTCTTTCCTTTTGTTAAATATACATACTTAATCAACAATATTTAGTATCTATTATTAACAATATTCACCAATTTAAACATTTAAGTGATCACTAGAAAAATTTAAAGGATATTCATGAATTTTAGGTTAAGGCAAATTCTAATTTGAGGTTAACTTTGTTAAAATATAATCACCTTCTTTAGTTATAGAAATGGAACGTTTATTACAGTAAATTTCATAATTTTCTTCTGAAACTTTTGTGAATCTTTCCATTTTTTAATATATTTTTTAGACTATTTCACTTAGTACTTTTTTCGCTATTGCCTATAAAGAAGAATCTGTATTATTTTAATTTTCGTAAGTTGTTCTATTTTTTTATGTGCTTGAATAAATATTTAATAATGCACTTATTATATATTCTAAATTTTCACTTTTTTAAAAAAATAATAATAATTTTTTTAGGGGAAAATAAAAAAAAAAAAAAACCCAAAAATTTAGGATGAATTTGTACTTTCTATTGTTTATAAACATTTAATTACTAATAATTATATTTGCTCTTCTTTTAAACCTATTTGTTCTATTGTTATTTCTATAATTTCATCTATTAGTTTTTTGTTTTTTTCCATGTTTATTATTTATTGAACTGGTAGAATATTTTTTGATATTATTTACTATTTTTATGGTAAATATAAAAAATGTATTTTTGTTTTTTGTTAAAAAAAATAAATTGTTATTTTTATTTAAATGTGGAAGTAATTTTTATTACTTCAAGATAGTATAAACATATTTCAGTTAATTTTATTTATTTTAAATCGAAAATTTCTTTGATAAACGGAACAAAACTGTTTTATTTAATTTCATTTATATTTTTATATTTCTTGTTGTTTTTTGGTAATAGCTTTATTATTTTTGAATTGAACTCCTCTAAAATATTTTTGTATAATTATTCTTATTATTACATTTTATTAAAAGATAAAATTATATTCTTAGATATTTTATTTATATAATATTTTTATATGTTTTGATAATATTTTTTGTTTTTATTAAAAAAATAAATAACTATTTGTCATATATCACCTTTTTATATATATTTTAAAAAAATTGTATTCAAAATTTATTGCTTTTTATTAATAATATTAAAAAAAAAAAAAAAAAAAAAAGGAAGATATAGTAATTATTAAATAAAAGAAACTATTTTTAAAATAAAATTTAAATTAATTTTAAACAAAAAAATAAAAAATGTTATCATTACCAAGTGCAAATACACCAATAGTATATCAAAATCCTTTATCTAAATTAGTTACTAGTCTTCCTTATATAGATGAAGATTTAGATAAGATATAAAAAAATTAAATTGAAAGAATGATTCGAAAGGAAATGGCTTAAATGTCCCAAAATGATTATTTGGAAAATTTACCTGCTCCGAAATCGACATTGTTATAAAGTTAATTTATTTAAGTAGAGTTTGAAAGGGTTACAAATAAAAAATTACTTGAACCGCCAAAATAACGTAATTTACCTTTAATTAATATTAGTTCGGCTGATAATGAAGTTTTAAAGTCATTTATTGAAGAGGTGAAGATAATTTCTTAACATAATTGTATGAAATTAATTAATTTGGAATTATTTAATAAATTCGGATAAGATTAACATAAAATCTTTATTGAATATTTAAATAATAGAAAAAAAAATTTAGAAGAAGAGAATTAAAAGCTAATACAAGAAAAAGAAGATATTAATGCTAAAAGGAAATTTTAATAAAGTTTGCTTTTGGATAAAATTAGCAATTTAAAATATAAAATAAATTATTTAATTAATACGAATGAATTTTTAGAGACTGATTGTTAAAAATTAGAAAACGAAATAATTTAGATTAGAAGAAAATAACTAAAATTAATATGAAAATATTTTTTTATTTTATCTTTATCAAAATATATATATATTAATATAAAAAATCAAATCGTGTATATTTTTTTTTTTTTATTACAAATGAAAATAAATAAAAGTAAATAGAAACAATAAAATATTTTTTATATTTATATATATATAAATATGATGAAATTTTGTTAAATATTTTTTTATTAAAAAAAAAAATAAAAAGTCTTAAAAATTAAATTATTTTAATTTATTTTTTTATATTATTATTATTTTATCAAAAATAAGTTTCTATATTTGTTTTAAATTATAGATATTATTATTCAAAATCTATTTATGGGAACTTAAAGCCTTATTAATAATATTATTCTAAAAATAATTATAAGTTACTTAAATTATCAAATTAGTAATTTTTTAATACATCAATAGTTTATTTTTTAAACCCTTAATTAATAGAATCTTCAAAATTTAAAGTTTCCGAACTAAACTAAATCTCAATGCAATCTTAAATTCCAAAACCATTTTTTTTGAATTTAAAATTTTTATAAAGATTAAAAAAACTCATTATAATATTTAATTTATCAATTGGATTTCCAATTAAAGTTTAATGCTCATCTCTATTAATAACTCTATCAATACAAGTAAATAAATATTCTAAAGAAAATGGATATTCGAAATTTCCAAATTTCAATTTTTATTTAGTTTAAGGGACCATTCCAATAAACTTACAACTAATATTATTTTCAAGATTTTCGTTAATAAAATTTAATGAATTAGCTAATGCATTTGGGGGATGATTCTTATCCAAAAATAAAATATGCTTAAAAATCAAGCTTTTATTTTAAGATATTTTTTCTATAATTTTCTTTATTTTACTATTAAATAAGACTAAAGATGCCTTTTAAGTTTTTTAATATAATTCATTATGACTTAATTATTTTTAAGTATTTCTTTTTTAATATCCTTACATGCATTGTTATCGACATTCATCACTTGATACATAATGTAAATTTACTTCAGATATTTTTCTATTTAATAGTTATTATAAGAAAGTTGTCTTTCCAGTTGCTGGTATAGAAAATGGGATAATTACAATTAAGCTTTACATTTATTAATTAGTTTTACTTTCTTCTTATTATTAATTTTCTTATTTTTCAATATCATCATTATCTTCTGAATTTATGTTTATTTTTATTTCCTTTTATAATATATCTTCATCATTTTAAATACATTGAATAAAATCTACAAAATTGCAAGTAATAATCTACTATAAATAAGTTTTTTAATTAAAGTTATTCTTTAAATAATCAAAGCTTTTTATTGCAAAATCAAAATAAAATTTCTTTCCTTTATAAGGTTGGCAGTTTTCACATAATTCCTCAGATTGTTAAACAAATAAATTATAAATATTAATATAATTATCATTAAAACTTCTTAAATATTTTTTACATTTTTCTCTTAATTTTCTATATAATCTATATTCCAAAGTTTTTAATTTGGCTAAAGAAACACATTTTTATTCTCCATTATCTATATTTTCCTTCACAAAATATAATACACTACCTTCTCCATCATTATCTAATGAAGACTAGGCTACTTCTACGTATAAATTATGTATTATTTCATTAAATTCAGATAAGGTGTTTGATGTATATTTTTTCATAATACATGATGTAAGACCATATTTATTAAAAAAATCATATGAGAAATCTACAGGAAGACATGTTTCTTCACTATTATTATCTACAATAGCGTAAAAATGCAAATCAATAGAAGAATATTTTATTAAATGCTAATACTCATTATTTCCACAATATTCACAAACTATAGTTTTACCATTTAGAAAATGCTTCATTTCAATTAATTTTTAAGGATTTTGTTTTTCGATTTTATTTATAATAGTAAACCATTAATAAGCTATTAAAGTAGAAAAATTATATCTAATATCTTTTAAATACATATCTATTTCTTATATATCTTTTATTAAAATGCAAACATTTTTTGAAGAAATTGCCCAACTATCTAATTCTTGGAAATAACTTATTTGTCCGTTTTCTCCGTTCGCCTTTTCAGTTTTATATACATGAAACTTTACTGGATTTTTGATTTAGTTAAATTCTTTGTATACAGAATCTATAGTTAGTTTATAAAGTCTATATTATTCTGAAAAATCATTTGGAATTTTAACATACTATTATTCTTAGTTTTAGTCCTTATTTATGTACTAAAGATATAAATCAAAAAACTTTTTAAATCCTTTTCTTAAAATTTATACTTTATTTGTTTTTGTAGATAATATAATTGTGTTTCCTCTTCTTATATTATTGTGAATAAACTAATCTTCGGAATAAATAGTATCTTCATTTAATTTTTTGGACTTTATTTTTATGTCATATAGTACATAATCAGGATCATTTAATACTTAGTGCTTTATTGCACTTATTTTATCTTTTTAATTGATAGCAAAATCTAGAAGCTCCTAGGCATCAAGTTTATCTTTGTTCATTTGTATTTTTTATTTAATTTATTGATTTATTTTTTTAATAAGTATTTTATATATTAAAAAGATTTAGTATATTTTTTTTTAAATTGAATAATATTTATTGCAAAAATTATTTAGAAATAATTCTTTTATAAAAAACAACATAAAATTAAAAAATAAGTTATTTGTAAAATGGCAATAAAATTTTGATAATATATTTATTTATTTTTTTAATGAAAAAATTATTTTTATTATTTAAAATAGACAATTATAAACAAAAATAAATAAAAAATTTGATAAAATATTATGAAGAATTTATTATTAAAAATAAAAAAATAAATTAAGTATAAACAACTTATTTGAGAAATAGAATTTAATTTGAACATAATTTAATAATTTATATTATATTTAATACAATATAGTTTTTTATTTTTATATTAAATCACTCTCTCTCTCTCTTAAATATATATATTACTATTTAAAATTATTTTTATAAGTTTTTTTGAAAAATCACAATTCAAAAACTATAATAAAAATGGTATTTTTGTTTGTTTGAAATTTTATAGAAAAAATAAAAAAAAAAACGATGCTAAAAAATAATATATATATTACTTTTTAGCATATTTTGATTTTATTTTATTTAAAAAACATAAATTAAAATTAAATAATCTATTTTGTTTCACTTATTTTTAATGTCAATTATATTTTTTATTTTTTTAATTAAAAAACAAAATAAATATATTATTATAAATTAAATAAAAGTATTTTATAAAACATTTAATATTTGCATTTAGAATAAATTATTTCTTATATAAATTTTATTAGAATAATTTATAATTAAAATTTTTTATTGATATTTCTAACATTTAAATTATTTTTAATATTTACGAATTGATACATATTGTAATTTTATATTAGAATTTGTTTTATTAATAATTATTAGAAAAAAGTAGTTGAATTTAAAATTTAATATAAAAAATTGACTATAACTTTTATTTTTATTGCTAAGTTTTTTCGTATTTAATGTATTCTTTTACTTCTTAATCTTTTGTTAATTATTTCATTTATACTTAATTTTTCTTCCGAATTTGTGTTTTGATTAATTTTTATATCTATTTTTAAATATATACTCACCATTCTTGCTTGAAAAATTAATCTAAATAATTATTATTAACAAATTTAAGCAAATAAGAACCTAAAGTATATTATATTTTTTAAATAAAATTTAAACAGTCTCTTGCAAAATTATAATAGATATTTGAATCTTTAAAAAATCACATAATTTTTTCGATTATTATAGATATGAGTAATAATAGAAGTATTATTACTAAAAGAATCACACTTTAATTTATCATTATCTATATTTTCCTTTATAAAATATATACGCTGCCTTGCATACATTTTTCGATAATATTACCCAAATATCGAATTCTTAAAAATAATTTATCTGTTTGCTTTTGTCGTTTACTTTTTCAGTTTTATATTATGCATTTTTACTAATATTTTTTTAATTAAATGGCTTGTAGGACGATTCCATTGTTAAGTTAATTTCCATTATTTTAAAACTTTTTTTTTTACAAATAATTTTATTTCAGGTTCGAAAATCTGTTTTTCATCGATATATCTGAAATTAAATCCTAAAATTTCTTAAAAAATTGAATAAAGATTTCTTATATTGATAGAATTATATATTTCCTCTTCTTATATTATTAAATGACGAATTAATTTTTTAACATATAAGATAGTAATTTTGATGCTTTGATTGTAATTGAAAATCTTATAATATGTAGTTATGTGACTTGATTTTGCAAATATTTAACATTATACTATTTTTACTTTTTTTAATTTGATTTTGTATTTTTTGGCTTATTTCAAAAGCTGATGAAAGATTAAAAGAATATTTTTGTTATTTTAGTATTAAAATTTTTATTAGATTTAATATGTATTAATATATAATTTTTTTTTAGACTTTGTATTTTTTGAAAGTATATTTTTTTATTCGCTAAAAAAATTATTATTATTAGAACCTTTTTTATAATTAATTTTATCCTTAATATATAAGTAATTTAATAATTTTCTAATATTTCTTAGAGATAAAAATTAAAAAAAGTTGTATGAAAGTAATTTAAGAATATATTAAATTTTTTAATTTAATAAAGAAATTAAATATTAAATGCAAAAATTAATAATTAATAATTATTAATATATTTATTTTTTTCTAAAAAGTACAATTATTATTATCAATATGTATCGAATATAAAATTAAAAAACTAATTAATATAAATATATTTTATTTCTTATTTATTTTTAAATAAATAATTAAATTAATTTTATTTTTTTCTATCGAAAAAACATTATATATATTATTTATTCGTATAAATTTCATTAATTAATTGAAAGAAATAAAGTTAATTTAATAAGTAATTTAATTACATTAAAAAAATTAATAAAATTAATAATGAAATAATAAGGAAGTATATATTCAAATATTAATTTTAATAAAAAAATAAAAAAAATAATATATATTTACTAATTTTTAATTTTCTGCTATAAATTAATTAATTTAAAAAAATAAAAACATATATATATATAAAAAAAAATTAATAAAAAAAAAAAACTAAAAAATTTAAGTGTTCAACAAAAAATGTATTTTGAAAATAATTAAATATAAGATGCTTAACCTTAAAGTTAAAATAAGCTTTAATTCTTACAATATAATTAAAGAATAGTTAATACAAGTAGAAATTTAATAACAATTAATGAAAGAAACAACGATAGACATTTTTATCCTTAATATCCTATCCCTTTAAATGAAAAAGATGAAATTATTTTTTCACACTTAATGAACACATTAACCAGCTAAAACTTTCTTCCTGAATTTTCTAGTCTTTTTTTCTTCGATTAAATATAAAAAATGTATATTTACATATCGCCTTAAATATATACATTTGTACCTTTATAATAGTTTGAAGACTAAATAATAATAAAATATATATCTAAAATAAACTAAAATAATAATGATAATTAATAATAATATTTATATTAAAATAATGAATCTGATCATGTTTAATTTAATAAAAACAACTATATTCCTTATGAATATTAAGATATACCAAGAGAAAAGAGAGTAAAAGAAAGATAAATTGAATATGTACTTAGTAAAGTTAAAGATTGGAGGGAATATTACGAATAAGGTATCTATGATCGAGAATAGAAAAAATGTATAAAATTAAACCTTAATTAGTCTGCAAAAGTAGTTGGCATTTCAAGGAAAACTTTAAACGATTATTTTAAAATTATCGAATAAGGGAAAAAATATAGATTTGATTTTGAAAAATAAAAGGATTAAAAAGTAGGAGTTTTGAGAAATTTCGTGAAAACAAAAATATTGGAAAATTAAAATAATGATATTTGTAATGAAGGAGAAGAAGAAGATTATGAAGAAAAAAATAACAATTTTGATTAAGAAATTAAATAAGAAATTACTAATCTTAATGACTAGCAATAAGATTAAATGGAAGTTATTGTAGATGAGAAATACTAATAAGTAACGTAATTTAATAATAATAATAATAATAATTTTAATGATTAAAATAATAATAATATTTATAATTAATTTTATTTGAAAAATGAAAAGAATAATTTTATTTAAGAAAATTATGATTTTTATGATTATTTTGAAAATTATGAAAATCTAGAGTTGTAATTAAATGACTTAGAACTCTAAAAAACAATACTAGAAAGTATTGATTGTTAAAATAATTAATCTTTTTATAATAATTAATTGGATTAAAATTTTTCAATTTAAGAAGATTTTTTTGGCGTTTATAATTTACAAAGATGAAAAAAAAAAGAATTATTATAATAAAATATATAAAAAACCAAAATTATAATAAGAAATAATAATAAAAATATAAATTACTAAATATTTATTTTATACTAATAATATTTTATATTAGTATTTTTTTTAAATAAAAAAATAAATAATTTAAATACTAAAATTTATACTATTTATATTATCGTTAAAATATTCATTTTTATATTATAAATTTGTTATTATTAATTTGATAATATATATATATATATATATATATATATATATATATATATATATATATATATATAATAATAATAAACATCATATAGCTTTTAATTTAAAAGGATTAAATCTACTACCTAAACCATGCCCCATAGTTTATCCTATACTTGGAGGACTTAAACGGATATATTAAGTAGAAATTTTATTAATTTTAGAAAGTTTAAATTTTCTATATTAAATATGATTTTTAGTGTATTCGAATTAGCCTTTATTGAATAATTGAAGTGGAGGAAAATTAAATTTTTCTTCATCGTTTTTTAAAGTATTAAATTAATGTTATAAAATTTTTCGATTAAACTAATCTATAGGATTATATAAATATTTATATTAAACTTATTAAGCATAATGTTTTAAAGAGAAATCTGTATTATCAACAAAAAGAGATTTTTAAAGTTCAAAAGATTTCACTAATATTTAATCTTTGAAATGTTGTATTTTTTCTTCTTGTTATTATTGTATTTTTAAGTTATCATATTTGATAATTTCAGGTGAGATTTTCCTTTTTTTAATTAAAATCTATTCTTATTTTTCACTTTTTAAACCTATGAGTTATTTATATTAATCTTTGGTCAATCTTAAATTATTATTGGAAAATAAAAGAAGTTTTTCATCTATTTTATTTGAATTTGTGAGTTCAAAAATTGGTCCTTTGTTACTATTTCCATTATCTTGTACTAAAGTAACACCTTTTTATGGTTCGAATTTTTCAAAGAAATTTTAATTATTGAATTCTTAGTTTTCATTTTGTATAGATGGAGGAAAGTTATTTTTATTTACTTCTTCTTAATTTCCAAATGATTAAAATGGGTTTGAGAAAATTTTACTTTTAGGTTTTTTAATTTCTTTTATTTAATAAGGTAGCTGATTTTCTATTTATGGGAGATTGCTTAATTCTGGGTATTTTAATATCAGTAATTCTCCGTTATAATCGTAAGCAATTTACTTTGCGTTTATTTTCTTTTGTTTACTTTATTATTAAAATGATAAACTTTTTAATTTTTATTCTTTTTTAACAAATTCTCTTTCCTTTAAAATACGTAAATGTTCTTCGTATTTATCTAAAGGAATTTTTTGTTAAATTATTTCTTTTATTTAATATTTAAAATCGAATAATCTAATACTTTCAGTGTTTGTTTTAGATGATTATTGCGTACTTTTAAATTCATCAGTATGTTATTCATCTTTTTGCTTTAGTTACTTTTATTGTGTTATTTTTTCTAAATTTTATGAATTATGCATTTTTTTAGGCTATATATCTACTTTTTATTATATTTAAACCCTAAAATTTTATAAATTATCAGGCATTATTTAAGGAGGTTCATCATCTTAGTTTATTTTAATAGTTTATTTATCATAAGATATTATTTCTTGAAAATACTGAGTTTCGGATTGGTGAAAAACATATTATATAGAATGTACTATTTGCTTTTTTTATAAATAATTTTCATATAGTATTTCGCTTAATTTTTCAATGATTTCCTCCATTGTTTCTTTAGCATTATTTTGACTTTGTAATGTTTAATCTATTTCGCCAAATATTTAGTCCATTTTATTTATTGTGTATAATAATGTATTAGTATAAATATTATTTTTTTATTGGTTATTAAGTATTTTTTTTAATTATTATAAATACTTTCATCTAAAAAAAAATAAACGAAAAAATTATATTTACGGCTAATAATTTATTGTTAAATTAAAATATTTAAGAATGATAAATTAAAAAAAATATATATTTTAAAATAAGGTAATATTATAGATATATAATAAAAATCAAATATTTTCATTATTTATAAATATTTTTTTATTCTTTATTTAATATAGTGTTTACGCTATATTTATTATTATATAAATTAATTTAAATCAATAAAACTATAAAACATTTAAGCAAATAATATTAATATAATTTTAAATTATTTATATTAGTTTATTTATCATAACTATTATAATATATATTAGTTAAATTATATATTAACATATTTTTATTCATAAAAAAATATTTATTATGAATTCTTAAAATTATATATATATATATTGATTATATTTTTTTTATTTTTATTTTTTAACCATAATTAAAATTGAATAATTATAAAATTATTAATATTGCAATCATTATATGCTTAACTAATTTTTCTTTAAATATTTATATATAATTTTTTTTTTATTTATTAAAATATTAGATAAAATTACATAAATACAATATAAAAAATTAATTCATTAATGTATATTATATAATTTTATTTATATATATATATATATAAAGATTATATATAAAATATATAATTATTTTTAATTTATATATATTATAATATATATATTTTTTATTGTCTAATAAAATAATAATATATTTAATTATCACAGAAAATGTTTTTATGAAAATTATTCATATAAAAACTAAATAAATTATAAAAAGTAAATAATTTTAAAAACCTAACAAAGATTTAATCAACAAAAAAAATAAAAAATATTAATAATTTTTTTTAAATAAATAATGTCAGAAATATAAAATAACAAAAAATACCATATAGTATAGGGAATAGTAGAAAAATCAGCTGATTTTTCTTTAAAAATATACAATAAAGTTGGTTTACATAACATCTATATAGAAGATATGGTTAAATTATTAAATCAATTTTCTGCCCCTTTTATATTTAGAATAACCTGCCTTTTAGATTCTTAAATAAACTAAACTATATATAATGCCTAATAGACCCAAAAGACTATAATATATTAAACAAATAAGAAGAAATAAGAACTAATCGAAAAGACTTAATAAACTAAAGATAAATTGTTATAAAAACACTACTCTATTTTGGAAAAGACAAAATAAACTCAATAATAATTAATTGAAAAAAACGAAAACATAAAACATCATTTTTTATAATTAACCCACAATACTAAAAAAGATATTATAGATAGAGCTTTTAGAACTAAAAACTAATTAATAGTAAAGGTAAAGAATTCCAAAATAGCCCAAAAAGCAGATGATTATGGAAATATTATTATTGATGAAATCGAATAATAGCTAGTATAACTTAAAAAATAACTCGCAAAAACACTAAACAATTAATATCTAGAAGAAGAGAAATCCGAATTAGAAGATTAATGTAAGCTTGATTTATACTTAAGAGCTAACAAACTAGGACATAATTTGAATTCTTTAGGAAAATAGGTTATTGTTTCTTACATGAATTACCTATAATCTTTACCAGTTATTTAATTAGCTCATAAATAATACACAGCTGCTGATGCTAAATTCTTGGTTGCTAGGGCAAATATTGAATCTTTTATTGATGTTGTTTTTTGCACTGTGCTTACTTAGAATATTATAAATCCAATATTGAGTGTTTTATAGGTATAATATAATAAATCAAAAGAAAGTGTAATTATTATTATTTAAAATATTAAAAATTGCAATATTAAATAAATTTTGGCTCTGGCTAAATATAAATATGAGACATTATATTAAACTCTTTGTATTTCTTTAAAATAAAATAAACTTTCACTTATTTTTACTAAAGATTTCTATATTAAGAAAAAATCATTTATCTAGAATGATATTAAGTAATTGATGTTCGATGTTAATAGTATTAGAATTAAGGCTATTGAAAAAGGAATAGATTTATACAAATAATCTCTTGAATAATTTAAAATTAAATTAGAATTAGATTTATATAAATAATCTATTTAATAATTTAAAATTAAAAAAATAATAAACTTTGGTGCTTATAAAATGGTTAATGATTTTTTTTTATAAAATAATAGAAAAATCTAAAGAAAAAATTATTATAAATATATATATATATATTATTTATTTAAGGAATTTATATATATATATATATATATTTTTATTTATAATCATATTTTTTTAATATTAGCTATTTATTTATATATATGAGTTTTATAAAAAAGTATTATATTTTTTATATTTTATTTAATAAAAAAAATTCATAATACTATTTATTTTAAAATAAAATAGATAAATCAAATTTCTAATTAAAATAATTATTTTATTTTAAAAAATAAATAAAAAAAAATAATAAATAAATTGATTAAAAATAAAAAAAATTAAAAAAAAAAATGATTATGGAAACACCTACAATATTAAGATCAGAAAATAAAAAAATTGAATATATAGGAAGATTTAAAGTATTACAAGTATTAGGATCTGGTTCATTTGGGACTGTGTATAAAGTAGTTACATATAAAGGTTTAGAATTTGCTTTAAAATAAATACACAACAAGAAATTAAAAAAACTAATGTTAGCTGAAATTAATGCTTTAAAAAGTGTATAGTCGAAATACATAGTAGGATATCATGAATATTTTTATGATAAATAAAATATACCATGCATTGTAATGGAGTTATGTGAAGGAGGTACATTAAATGATTATATGAAAAAGTTTCCATATAATTGTATCCCCGAGAAATAAGCAATGATGATTTTTGTAAAAATATTAATAGGTATGAAGGCTATTTAGAGGGCTAAATTAATACATAGAGATATAAAATTATAAAACATAATGATGGATAAATATAATTAACCAAAAATAGGAGATTTTGGACTTGCAACTCACACAGATAAAAAATAAGAATAAAATGCAGGAACTCCAATATATATGGCTCCGGAAATTTTAATGGGAGCAACTTATGATTAATAAGTAGATATTTGGAGTTTAGGTGTTCTTTTATTTATTATGCTATTTAATGATTTCCCTTTTGCAGAAAATAATGATTATTCTTAATTATAAAAGATAAATAAATTATGTGAACCTTGTTTTAGTTTTAATTCATTAAAAAAGACAAAGTACTAAAATATATAGAAATAATTAGAAGATATTTTTGAGTAAATATTTGTTATAAACCCTGAGAAAAGAATTCGTTTGGAATAGCTTATAGAAATGGAGTTTGTGAAAAAATACGATGTTAATAATGAATTGTGTGAAAAAGAAGAATAACAAAAATAAGATACTTAATAAAAATAGAAAATATTTAAAACTTTAGAAAGTTATCAACTAGAATCACCTAGCAATAAATTGATGTTTTAAAGAGTTTCAAATTCTCAAATTTCTAATGAAAATAATAATAAAAAAAAATAAAAAGATAATAATATATATGAAATTCATCTTTTGCCCTATAATTAATTTCTTAATAGAGCAAATCTACTTATTGATCTCTATTAAATATTATAAAACAAAGAGGAGTTCATTTCTTGGCTTAATTTTAATGAATATCAATTATAAATTGTGTAATATTATATAGCTTCCGCTATTTTTTTCAGTTTTTAAGCTTTGAATAAAATTCTTGATGAAAGAGAAAATATTAATGGTTTTGAAAATTGGTCTTCTTTTGTTTTCAGTAAATCTTATTTAAGTCTTTTTGGATAAGTTTAAATTGGTTAAGAAATTTGGTTTGAAAAAGTAGACTTTCATTACCAGGAATATTCAAAAATAACTTCTTAAACTGAATTCAAGATTATGAATGACATAAATATCAATATTGATAAAAATTGTAATGAAATCCCAGGAATTACAGATGTAAAATAGGGTGTAGTTCCACCTCAATAGATTATAGTCCCATAAGAATTCTCTCTTTGTGAACCTAAATTAACAAAAGGGTTAAAAATATATTTAAGGGCAGTACTTTTGACTGTTTATTCAAAATTATAAGCCTCTTCAAATTAAAAATAATCATCTGTTTCTTCAATGTCAAGCTTTAATAATATAAGAGAAAATAATTAGATAAGTATTTCTAACATTTAATAATAACAAAATAAAACTATTAAAAATGAACTTAACATGAGTAGAAATAATTTCAATAGGAAAAATTCTCCTACAAAAAATATTAATAATAATAATAATTTAAGTAATAGTGTTTTTATAAATAATTTATAATAATTATAATAGTAAAGTTCTAAATAAAATACAAATAATTTATATTAGAAATCAAAAGAAAAAAATAATTATAATGAATAATTGAATTAAATTGAAAATTAAATTAATCTAAAAAAATAAAGATATTCATTCAAATTTTTACTTTGTAGTGTTGTTAGTCATATAATATCTTTAAAAACTAGTTGTGTGGAATTAGATGAATTTAAAAAATATTTATAAACAAATAAATATAATGAAGAAGAAAAAATATTTAATATTTTTTTAAAATGGCTTGATGAAATTTAATAAGATAGTATTAAAAATTAAATTTAAATTATATTTAATAAATATTTGCCTAAAATAGACTAAAATAATATGGAGTTTTTTTGATATATGAAAAAATATTTAAAAAATAAAATAACTAAAAAATATTATATTAAAACAAAATTTATAATTATTTAAAAAAAAAGTATATATGTAAAGATTTTAATGTTTTTTCAAATAATAAATTTTATAATTAATTGTAAGAAAATATAATAAAATAATGCAAATATAAATAATTCATTTTAATGCATTTAGATGTCTTAATTAATTTTTAATATTTGATATATCTTATTAATAATTATTAAATTAATTTTCTAAATCTTGTTTTTTAGCTATTAAAATACTGCTCTTTTTTTTAATTTCTTCAACTTTTCTTAATTCACTTTCAACCTTATAATAAAAAAAATATAAATATAATAAAATTAATAATAATAATAATAAATTATATTATAATAATAATAATAAAAATATTAAAAAATAATAAAATATATTAATTTATATCATATATAATTTTAATTATAGTAAGTTACAATTTGTTTATTTTATAGTAATTAATTAAGTTGTTAATCCAATTATTTTATAGTTTATTAATTTGCAAGATAATTATATTAGTTTCGTGATGTAACACATAAGGGTATATGTTCTTAATTTTGTAATTTTCTTTTACCTTCTTCTAAATTATTGCAAAATTTATCATATAAGTCAGCAACATTACTTTAATTATATTAATTAGTTTATTTTATGCTTTATGATGACATAAATCTATTTTAAACATTGTTTTAAGATAATTCATTTTTTTTTTTTTTATTTTCTGGAGTATATAAATTCTAAAGTTTTTAAACACTATTATTATCTTTTAATTTATTTTTAAGTTCTTAATTTTCAATTAATAATTATTTAGTTTATATTGCTTATAAATTATATTAATTATTTTAATAATTTTACTATTTAGTAATAGAATTATATTCTGATTATTAATTTTATTAAATTGTTGATATTTATTCCCTTAAAATATTATTTTTTTCAATTTCATTCTAATAATAAAAATAAAAAATTATATATTATATATATATATATATATATTATTTATATTTTATATTTTCAAAATTTTTATAATTTTTTTTATATTTTTAATATATATTATATTATATTATTTTTAATCTTTTTTTAAATTACATTTAATTAATTTTATATCTATTTAAGTAAAATTTTTAAATCATTTATTTCATTACATTATTTAAAATTTATTTATTAATTTTTTTTTTTGAATTTTTACTAACATTATTATTATTTTTATCATCAGAATTTATATTTATTTTATCATTGTTTTTTATTTCATTATTATATTAAAATTATATTTATAATTTATCTATTTTTTATTTATGGATTTAAATTTCTTAGAATAATACTTAATTGTCTTTATTTAAACCATTAATTTTATTATTTAAAGACTTTATTATTATATTTTATCTATCTTAATCTTATTCTAAATTTATCTTATTATTATTTACTTCATCGAAATTATTTTATAACTTTCTAAATTTATTTTATATATTTTATATTTCAAGTCTGTAATTTTCATTTTATTATATTAATTATTTAATTTCATTATTTTTATCTTATATTTCTTATATCTTACTATTTAATTCTTCCTAATACTATTATATAAATTATTAATATTATTAGTTTTGCATTTTTTATTAATTTTCGCAATTTATTTCTTATATTAATCTACTTCTTAATATTTCTAAATCTTGTCTTAAATTATGATTTTTTATTTTTTCTTATTCAAGTAAATCTTATAAATAAAAATTATTTTAAGTTTAAGATGATTACAATCCAATATTATTTCCATATAGATTTTCGTTAGTTTTTTATAATTTGTTTTAACTTTGTTATTAACTAATGAATGTACCATGAAATTCTTTACAAAAATCATTAGATTATTATAATAAAACTTAATAATCTTTTTATTGTAAAGAAAGAAATTATTATTTTTGTTCTATTTATTATTTTTATTCTTCTTATTTTTATTGTTATTGATATTTTTAATGTTATTCTAATTCTTATTCTTATTCCAATTCATGATCTTAATCTTAATCTTAATATTAATCCTAATCTTATTCTTAATCTTATTCTTATTCTTATTCTTATTCTTATTCTTATTCTTATTCTTATTCTTAATCTTATACTTATTCATACTCTTAATCTTAATCTTAATATTAATCTTAATCTTAATCTTATTCTTAATCTTATTATAATTATAATTATTATTCGTATTTTTATTCTTATTATTATTATACTTATTATTATTATATATATTATTATTATTTTTATTGTTTTAAAAATTTCTAATTTTATTGATTAAAATATATATTGTTATTATATTTAGCGCTTTAACTTATTTCTTTTTTTATTTTAAAGTTAATATCTTATGATTTTTAAAATTTTTATATTACTTCTTAATTATTATTAATTTAACTTTTATTTAATTTATTTAATATTTATTATTAAAATTGATTTTATTAATTAAAAATATGATTGCTAATTAAAGAATCATTGTTTTATGTTTTTAATTCTTAATCTTATTAATATTAGAAAGAACTTTCATTTAAATTCTCTCCATTTAAGTATTTTTAGAAATAATCAGAATATTTTATAAATTCAATATTTTATTTAAATTCTTTACTTATTTCATCTAATGCGTCTTAATTTGAATATAAAAAAATAATAAATAAATATAATAATATAAATATATATATATATATATTTATATATAAATATATATTTTTTTATTTTTTATTTTTACTATCACTTATTGTTGAAGATTATTTAGATATTAAATAATCATTATTATTTATAACTTTTTGCTTGTTTTCTTATATGCTATTTTTAATACTGTTAAGAAATAATTATTTTTAATTATTATATATTTATTAATATTTTATATCTATTGAATCTTCTTGATTTGATAATGAAAATTCATCTTAATACTAATAGTGTTTTTTTTAATTATCATTTTATGCTAGATAATGTTGTTAAATTAATATATTATTATTCTATTAATCCATATAGTATATTTAAAAAAATTATTTTTTTATTTTTATTTAAAATATTCAAAACTATTTTAATTTAAATATTAAATAATATAATTTTAATTTATTATTCAATAAATAAATTTTTCATTATATTTAGATAATTTATAAACTAAAAATATAATCTAATAATTTATTTTATAATTATATCATAACTAAAATTTAAATAATAAATAAATTATTTTTATTTTCTTTTAGTTTTTTATTAATAATTTAATTTATTTTTAAAATTTAATCTTATTTTATTTTTTTTATAAATATATAAATAATATATTAATACTTCATAAATTTAAATAATTATATATATTTTATATATAAAAGGACAAATAAAAAATACTTTATATTTATTTATAAATATAGATTTATTAAAAAAAATCAAAAATCTTAATATTTTTTATATATTAAAAATATTCAATGGCCATTATAATTATTTATTATATATTTAAAACTCTCATTTTTTTTCAGCAACTTAACTTTAACATAAACTATCTCTTGAAGCCTAAGTGTTATTTAGTGTTTTGTTTCCTTATAAATTAGTCATTTTTTGAGAATTAATAAAATTCTAATTATTATTTTAATTTAAAATATTATTTTATAATTATAATTATATTAAATTGTTGTCCATAATATTATTATTTAATTCTGAATATTTTCTTTCTATTTAAGAATATTTACTTTCTCTACTTAATTTATTATTTTACGAATCTAAGTAATTAACCTAATCAAATTTTTATTTAATATTATTTATCAACTGTTAGTTATTTCTTTCTTAAGCAAACATATAATCCTATTTATTTTTTTGAGCTTCTATAATTTATTTTTATCTAAAATACCTTGCACTTTCGACTTCTTATACTCTTTGTTTTTCCGAATTAGCATATTTACACTACTAATCTTAAACTTCTATTTATTTTCTTTTTCTATTGAAGCTAAATAATCTGCTTCAGTATTATATTTAACTGCTGTATGATTTGCAGCTACAATTTCAGCATTTTTAGAACGGAGAATTTTCTCTAATACTTAGCTATTATTTTCGAGCAATTCTTATTCTTTATAATACGATAATTTCAAGGTTTTTAAAGCATTAATAATTTCTTAATCTTTTTTTTATTCATATATGGAATTAAAGCTTTATTTTATATTTATATAGTTTTATTATTTTTCTAGACTTTTAGATAGATAGATTTTTGCTTCTTATGCTTTCTAAACTTCTAATTTTTATTTCTAAACGAATTATTCAGCTAAGGATAATTAATATTCTTTTTAAAGTAATAAAGAATTTATTTCATTTATATTTTGTTAATATTTATCACTTATATTCTTATGGGATCTTTTAATAATATCTATTTAATCATTATATTCATCGTCTATTTGAGGTAATTCTTATTCTTTTAAAATTTAAGTAGTTTCACATTATTAACGTTAGCTTTCTGCTTATTCTTTTAGATCTTTTCTTTGTATTTCTATTTCTTATGTTGCTTGAGCTATGTTTTACGTCAATTAATTTTATTAATTATTTATTATTTCTTACTGTAACTTATTTTTTTTATTTTTTTTTATGTTTTTTAAATTTGATAAATTAATAACTTCTTTATGCTAGTTTGTAGTTTATATTGTATTTTAGTATTTATTTTGTAAGCCTTAAGTTTCTTTTTAATTTATTTATATATCTTGTATTTGTTACAAATTTTTTTCTTTGATCTTTTAATCGATTGATTAATTAAGATATTATGTGTTAAGTTTTAATTAACTTTCTTAAAGAAAAGGAAAAGATCCGTTCTTTTGGTTTTCTTATTCTTCATTGGTATAATTAAGAAAATCGGTTTTAAATTTAGAAAAATCAAATTCTTACTATGTTTACTAGCTTTAAATAGATTATAAATTGTAAATATGATTAGGAATTTCTTTTAAAAAAAAAATAAAGGAAATTTATTTTTTATAAAATTTTAGTATATATAAATATATAAATATATATATATTTATATTCATATTTATTGTTTATTTACTTAAATTTTTATTAATTTTTTCCAATTCATTTACTTCGTATTATTTATTATCTATATCAGACATTAAAAGTAAAATTTAAGTCTCATAATTTTTTAGTTATTAATTTTATACTGTTTAAATTGTTGGTATCTCTAGTTTTAAATTATTTAATTAAATTTACCATTCTTAAGTTTCTATTTTTTTTTATTAATATTAGTTATTTAAAGATTATATTTCTAAAGCTAATAAATCAATGTCGTCATATTTTTTTGCTTAATAGTAAGTGCTTAATAATTCTGTACATCTTTTGTTTTTATTTTATTATATTTTTTCATTAACTTCAGTTTAAAGTGCTTAAGATTTTAATATTTATAGGTCTGCTAAATATTAATTATCAATATAATTATTAAGAACTTTATTACAATCTGTTATTTACATTTTAATTTTAATTTTTTATTTATTTTTTAAATTATTTCTGTTTTATTTATTTTTGTTTTATTTAATAACCACATAAATATTTTTTTTATACAATATAAATGAAATTTATTTATTGTAATTTTTTATATAAAAATATTTTAATATTAATTTACAAAATTTATTTAATAATTTATAATATAAACTAAAATCTCTTTAATTATTTAAATATAAAAAATTAATTAATTAATTAATTTTTTAAAATATTATAAATGATATTTTTATTTTAATAAATATTTTTAAACAAGTGTTATTTTAATATAAAGTATAATAAAATATATAACTATTATTAAATATATAAATGAAATTTTAAAAATTTGCCTTCATTATTGTTAAGTTCAAATAATAAATAAAAAAAATATATTTTAAATTAAAAATAAATTACAAATATTCAAAAATGAAAATTAAAACAAAATAAATAATTTAAAAAGATTGAATAAATATAATTAAAAAATATGCAAAAAAATTTAATCTATATTTAAAATAAATTAATTTTTATAAAAAAATGTTCGAAAATAGTTTTATTATTTATATATATAAAAATTATTAAAATTAAATTAAAAATTATTAAAATTTTAATATTGAATTAAAAAAAATTTTATATTTAAAAATATCTAAAATATAATTATTAAAAATAAAATTAATTAGATATATATAAATATAAAACAATTTTTAAAAATAACATTAAAATAAAAATTATATTTGATTTTAAAAATTTATATAAAAAAAAAATATGTTTTATTTTAAAAAAATATAAATATATATTAAAATATAAAAATATTTATTAATATTTTTTTAACATATATATAATTAAATATATATATTAATATTCACCAATTTTTTTAAATTATTATAAATAAAAACAAAAAATATATATTATATAAATTATTTTTATTTCATATAAAAATTTTACACGCAATATAATTTATTTAAATTTGTTTTATATATTTTTATAATTATTAAATTTTTTTTATTATTTATATAACAAATATTAATTTCTTTTTTTTTTAATTATAATTTAATAATAACGCTTAATATTTTAAAATATATCCCTAATTACTATTATGTATGTTCTATATGATATTTTAATCTTGAAGTCAGAAATAATATTCAAAAAATAAAAAAAAAAAACCTTTTTAGAAATTGCAACAATTTAATGAAAATTATCATAACTAAAAATTTTTAATAACTTGAAAGTATAAGATACTATATAAAAATTTAAAAATATAAATTAATAGATGAAAGATGAAATTAATGTAAAATTTTATAAAAAAAATATATTATTCCATATGAAATTAAATAAAAAAGGTAATTTTAATGTATTAGAGTAACAATAATTAAAATCTAGAATGAAAATTAAATTTCAAAATATAATTGTTCATTTAAAAATAAATTTAATCAAATTTTAAATTAAAATATATTAGAATTCATTAAAAACTTTAAAACATATAGGTTTAATAAAATATTTTATATTATGTGAAAAGAAAATTTTTTATAATAGAATAAATATTTATATATATATATATATAATAAAAATATATATATTATTATATATAATTACATATATTTTTTATTTTTTATTAGTTTTAATCATTTTATTTTTATTTTTCCTTTTAAAAATTATTTATATTTTATACTTTATTTATTAATACTTTTTATATATCTTTTTAATTATATCATCTACATAAATTTATATTCAATATCTTTAATATTGTTTATTTTAAAATTTATATTAAAATATCTTAAATATCTTTTATATAATTAAAATAATATAAATTTTATTTAAAATAAATATCCTATTATTTTTTAATAAATATATAAATCAATATTTTATAAATTTTTAAATTATTTTCTTATTTTTTAATATTTTTTTTTTTATTATTCTGTTAAAAATTTCTATATTATTTTCTATTTTAAAAAAAGAAAATTTTTTATTTTATGTTTATATTTTTAAAATAATAAGAAAAATATTTTTCTTAAAAAAGTAAATAACTTATTTTCATATATTATAGTTTAAATTTTTAAACGCTAATAATATATTTAAAACTCTGTATATAAGAATTAATAGTAGATTATTTTTAATTATACAAAATAAATAGAAAAACGAAAACTAATAGAAATGAAAAATAAAATGTAAATGAAAATGTAAATTTAAATGTAAACGAAAATGATAGTTTAAATTTATAATTCTTTATAACTTCAATAAATATATAAAATATACTTCTAATTAATAAAAATTATTTTTATAAACAAAATATTTCGTAAAATACATAATAATAAAATATTAAACACACAATCTAAGCCTAAAAAAATACTAAACTTTAATATTTAGAATTGTGCATACGAATATTAGTTTAAAGTAAAATTAAATAAATTTATATAATAAAATTAAAGCTAAAACTACTTTCTATTTAGTAACTTATAGTATTCTGTATTATAAAAAGAAATTAAAAAAAATCTAAAAGTTTGCATTACGTATGGAACTTTTGATTTTAGAGTTCTAAACTTATAATACAATTATTAGTACCATTTACTTTATTTTTTATTCTGAAAAACTTACAAAATAATGAAAAAGTTTTATTTCTTCAATACTTATGAATAGGATTTACCTTATTCGAACTAAACATATAAACTATTTGATTATTTTCTTAACTAAAATAAACCAAAAAACATTAAGGCATTCATATTTAATTTCTTGAGATTTTAAAGTATCTTTTTCTTACTATAAACATTATAACTTTAAACTAGATAATTATTTATAAAGCATAAATAAATACGTGTAAGAATAAATGTTAACCAGGTGTAATGACTTAATTCTATTTTAGGATTTAAGCCTTCTCTTCTAGAAATTTATTCTTATTTATGTTTATAATTGAAATAGAAAATATTTAAGTGATCCAAATATCTAAAATGGAAATGTTCGCGGATTATACTATAAAGTTCTTATATCTGCAAAAAGTTATATTAAGGAAAATAAAATATGATTAATAATAAATAAAATAAGGCATTTTTAACAATTTAATTAACGAATATGAATTTAATGACTATATATTTTACTTTTACTTATTTTCTTAATAAATTTAATAATTAAAGTGCTAAAAACTATTTTAAAAAAACTGATTATATATTTTTAATAGCTAGATATATGGTGTTTTTAAGAAATAAAACTTGATTCTGGAAGAATTCTCCTTCAAAATGAGGACATTGTAACTTTTAAGTTAATACAAATATATTCTTCTGAAGCCTTAGTACGAGACATTAATGGAAATTTACTTGCATTAATTTATGGAAATTATAATCCTATTTTTCCTAAAGGCATTTTCTTAGACGCTTAGGATAAATTATTAATTAATATAAAAATTAAAGATAATCTTAAATAAGAAGATAATGATACTTAAGATATAATATTAAAAATACTCATTCTTAATTATCTTAATTAAGAAACAAATAAAAATGTAAAATAATAAGCAAAAAAGCAATAGTAGATTCGAAGATAGATGATAATTAAGATCTTATATAAGGAAAAAATAGCTGAATTACAGGAAAATATAATGAAAAATCAAAAAAATATATGAAAAATTAAAAAAAAAGAATTTGTAAAGATTAAATAATCCTTAATAAAAGGCCAAAAGTATAAACAAAAATAATAAATTTTTAAGAATTAAATAAAACAATATAAATTGGTATACCTTATCTTAAATAAGCATACAAATATATATAAAAATATATTAATGATATATTTATTAAAATCAAAAATATTTTTTTTTAAATAATATATCTATTTCATTAAAAAAAAATCTATAATTCAACATAAAAGAATTTACAAAAAAAGCATAAAAATATATGTAGGTAAAACTAATATAAAACAAGCATAAATCATCTCTAAAAGTAACATTTCAAGTATTAAATAGTTGTTTAGGATCTTTGTTTTTCGGATACTCATTAGGTGTTTTTTCACTTTCCGAAAAAACTTTATTTAATGTATTACAGGTATAACAATCTTAATATGATTTATACAAAGCTTTAGTTTGTGCATTAGTTCCTTTTGGAGCAATTTTCGGTTCTTTTTTTTCCGCTAATTTATTAGGAGTAGTGTCTAGAAAAAACTCTCTTTTGCTACTTGATGGATTAGGAATAGTAGCAACATGTTTAACTTAAGTAAAAAATGTACATGTTTTATTGGTTTCCAGAACATTAACAGGAGTTGCAACAGGTTTAAATAGTAGTATAGTCCCTTAGTACATATCCGAGATTTCTCCGAATGAATTAAGAGGGAAAATGGGAACTATATTTAATACAACAATTGCTATGGGAATAATTTTAAGCTCGATTTTAGGTTAATTTTTTAATGAAAAAGGAGAAGATAGTCCATAAAATTATTGGAGGTTAGTTTATTTATTTCCTTTGATTTTTTTTGTTTTGAGATCTATGGTTTTAATTTTGTTTTTTAATTACGAAACTCCTTTATATTATTTTATTTATGATAAATAAGAATAAGGACAATAAGTAATTTAAAATATGTATAAGGAAGAATATTAAGAATCAATAATTTAAGAAATTCAAAAATAGGCATTTGAAAAAAGTAAATAACAACAAAGCTATGGAGATATGTTTTCAATTAAATATAGAAAAAAATTATTAGTAGGTTGCTTACTTTAATTTTTCTAATAGTTTTCTGGAATAAATGCTGTAGTTATGTATTCTGGAACTATTTTTTAACAAATGATTAGTAGTTTTGTACTTTAGAATTTAATATCTTTGATATCTAATGTAACTTTGCTATTTGCTTCTATTTTAAGTAGTTTTTTTGTGAATTCTCTTGGGAGGAAAAAAATACTTATTTATGGGTCATTCTTTTGTGCTATTTTTTAAGTTGCTTTATGTATTTTGTCTTCTATTGATAAATGTTAACTTGTCTAGGTTATACTTATTTTCCTTTATTATTTAGCTTTCAATTTCTCGTTAGGACCAATTGTTTGGCTTTATAATTCTGAAATTCTTCCAGAAAAAGGAATTTCTATTGCTACTATGGTTAATTGGATAGGAGCTACTATTATTGTTGTCGCATTACCTTTTTTAAGCTTGGTATATTTATTTGGATTTTATGGTATTATTTGCATTTTAGCGGGTACTTTTTCACATTTCGTAATTAGAGAAACAAAAGGATTAAGTTAATAATAAATTAGTACTTTTTATGAGACATAAGTAAAATATTAAACAGCTACTAGTGAAGAATGATTTTATGTTTATTTTTATTTTATTTTTATAAATAAATAATATATTGTGTTTTTAAACATAATTTTTTTTTAAAAAAAATAAAATAAAAAAAAAATCATATATTAAAATTTTTATTTATTATTATTTTTAAATTAAAAAAAAAAAAAAAATTAAAATATAAACAGTTTGATATAAATTTATTTAGAATTAATTAAACATATAAAAACATTTAGGGTATCTAAAATATAATGCAAATAAATTACCTAAAATATGGGCTTTAGTAGAATACCAAATATTTAAAATAAAATTTCAAAAAATTTAGCAATGTTTACAAATATTTTCGTAAAACGAATTTGTTTTTTCATCTTACTCTTATAATTTATTTAATTCTTTGAAATTTTCTACTATAATTACTGTTTCTAGGTTTTTTAAACTAAAGTTAATTTTATGTTTTTTATTTCCATTTAATATATTTTATCCATAGATATCTATTCTTGTATTTTTGCTTTTGTAATTACGTGAACTTTTTAGAATAGATTGATTTGGTTAAGGCTTAATACAACTGGTATTTTAGCTTTAATTTGAATTTATTAAATTTAATTTTAAATCATTATCTCCGTCTTATTATGTTTCTAAATTACTTTATTTTGTTAAATTTCTTCGAACTCCTTACATTTAATATACAAATTTATATTTCATTTAATATAAATTAAATAAATAATAATTTATATTTAATTCAATTAAATGATAAATAATATTTTTAAATATAAAAATTTAAGTTTTATTAATATTTTTAATAATATATATATCTTTTATAAATATATATTATATTGAATTACAAAACATTACTTTATGGTTGTTTGTAACATATTTTAATACTTTTTTATTGAAATATGAAACTAAATTTATTTATTTTAAGTAATAAACAAATTTAAAATTATTTGTATTTAAATTTAGATGAATTAAAAAAAAATATTTTATAATTTATGTATTATATATTTTATATTGAAAAAAAAAAAAAATATTATCATATATATTAATAAATAAATAAATATATTTTTTTATTTTCTAAATATTATTAATTTTTATTATTTTTTGAATTTAATTATTTTTTTATTTTTTATGGTTAATTTGATATATTTATTTTTTATTTATTAAAAATTTTATTTAAATATAAAACATATTTAATAAGACAAATGTATTAAGGAAGCATTTCTAAAATTTCATAAAGAAACTTAAGTTCTTTAGCAAAAATAGGCAAATCAATATTAAACGAGCCCTTATAGGTTTCATTATAAAGAGACATTGAAAACTTCACCAAAAAAATTGAATAAGAACGCCGAAGACTATATACATTAGATAAAACTTATAATAATTAATAAAAAGAATTTATAACGATAAAAGAAAAAGTTACAGAGTTAAAAAATTTACTAAGTTAACCTTAGTAAAAGCAAATAGATTATCATATTAAAAATTATCGTGCAGAAATAGAATAAACATAAAATAGAAATAATAATGTTCAAAAAAAAAACTATAAACTAAAGGAATAAATAAATACTTTAAGGAAAGAAAAAAACCTATATTTAGAAATGTACAAGTAACTATAAGAAAAACTTTAAGAAACTTCTTAATAAACATAGCATGTAGTAGAAAAAATATAATCACAAGAAAATAAAATAAATGAGAATAAAAATTAAATAATAATGTCAAAATGTAAAAATGATTAAGTTAAAGCATTATGTTTAAAGTAATTTTTTTTTATATATAAAACAAAAAAACAAAATATTTATAATTTTATTTTAAAAAAACAAAACAAAAAAAGTTAAATACAATAACTCTTAAATTAATCATATTTAGAAAAATATAAGCATAACTCATAATAAGATTATTAAAAATTCAATAAAGAAGAAAATTTTGAAACTATAGATACAGAAAATTTATTAAAATTAAGAATAAAAAACTTAATAGCTAAAAATAAATAAAAAATAATAGTAATAGATTAGTATACAAAAAATATGAAAATAATCGAATAAGCGTTCTTAGAAATACAAAATCAAAGCGGGACTGCAGAATTAGATGAAATAACAACTACTTTTATAAAAAGTCAAGAATAAAGTTGCTCTTTATATAGATATGTGAACTCTTTATAAAAATAAATAGAAATTTAGGAAAAAGAAAATGATGATTTATAGTTAAATTATATTAAATAAGAATAATTTAATTAAGATTTGTAAAGATCATAACTAAATACACCAGACAATTTAAAGGCAAAAAATAGAGTCCAAAACTTAATTTAAGAAAAAGATAATTAAATCGGAAATATTAAAAGTATTTTTTAGGAACTAAAACCGGGATTATAGGATATATTAAAAGAATTTGGAAAAACAGAATTTAATTTAAATAAAAAAATTGAATATGAATATGAATATGAATAAGATTTTGACCTAAATGAAAACAATATTGAAGAATATTTAGCTGATATTGAATATTATTCAAATATTTTAATTGTTCATAAATCTGGAGAAAATTATAACGAAAATATTATAAAAACAAATAGGTAAGAATATTATTCATAAAAAATTGATAAAAATTTATCTACTCCTAATTTAGATGATTTAGTTTATATTAATAATAAAGATTTATATAGTCATAAAAAATTATAAGAATTAGCTTTGGAAGCTATTGAGAAGAAAAAATAAATTGTTTAAACATGAAAAAAATATTAATTATATATATATATAAATTACATTAATTATATTATTATTAATTTTTTTCTTTTTTAATTTAATCAATTTTTTTTATTTTTAATAAAATTAAAGAAATATTATTCTTTTATATTATAAATAATAAACTAAAAATATTTTATAATTAAACTTTTTTAAAAATAAAATAAAAAAGTGATTAAAAATTAATAATAATAATATATATTAGAGTAAATAAAATATAATCTCTAATTATTTTTAAATTAAATTATAATTAAACATTTTAAAAATCAAAATTTTATTTTTTCTAAACTATTTTATTATAAATAATGTTCAAATAAATAGGGGTGTTCATCAAGTAATTATTAAACAGCTATTTTCAAATTTTTATTTGGATAAACAAATTAAGGATTCAATTATTTTTAACAAATAGGATCTGTATGTCCATTTAATCTAAAATGCTCAAGCAGACAATTTTTTTCATAAGAAAATCCATATTCAGTTGTAACAGGTTCTTCAAATATATTCTTTTTATTTTTTATTTTTTATTTATATTTAAAAAATAAATAATTATTTTATACCATAGATATTGGACATTAATATGTTTCAGGAACATCAGTTAATTATTAATTCAATTATATAGACTAAACCTTAAATTAATTATTATTATAGAATATTAGATTTTATATAGTTTACATTATTAATCATTTCTTTTTTTAATTTATTTTCTAAAACTTAATCATTTTTTATAACTTGCTTTATATAAGAATAATATATGTAAAAATTTATATTAAATAATATGAAAATTTAATAAACAATTATTTAGTTTAAAGTTTGTTATTTATTTTTTTATTCTATTTCATTTTCTATAAACCATATTGCTTTTTTGGCTCTTAAAATATTTTTGTAAATTTCATTTTCGAATTAAGTTTTATTAGATTATTTACTTAAATCATTTGCTTTATTAAATTAATTGATTTTTTTTTATATATTTTAGTAAATTATTGTAATATATTATTTACTTCTATTTAATTATTATATTGCTTTCTAAATAATTTTTATATTTTGTTTATTTTTCCCTTCTTAAGCTATACATTAACTTTTTATTAAATGGGCTTTTATATTATAATTATCAAGATCTATTGCTTTTTATGCATCATCATATGCCTTTTTTTTGATAAATTTTTATTTTTTTGTTTAAATTATTTAAAAAAATACTTCTTAAAATTTTTCTATATGCTTATATGATTTTGCTCGATTTGAAAATAATATGCTATTTTAGCTATCACATATCTTTTTTTTTATTTTTTATTTTATTTTTTTCTAATGTTAAAAGATAAATTATTATTATAAATATTTTTTACTATTGCATTTGAATACATTTATATAGCATTTTAATATTGTTTTTCCATAAAAAACTAATTACCTTTTTCTTTATATTAATTAGCTTATTATTGCTTCATTTATTTAATTATTAATTAAAATTTTAATAATCTATTAATTATAAAAAATATATTTATTATTTATAAATATACATAAAATTAAAATTGTTAAGTGTAAAAATTACTTTTAATAAATAAAAAAAACAAAAAATCTTTTTATATTCTAATAAATAAATATGTGTGTGTGTTTTTTTTTTTTTTTTTAACAATTTTTTAGGATATTTAATGAAAAAATATAATATTGGATAAATATTTAATTTATAATAAGTAAAATATTTTTAGTTTTTTATATTTAAAATAAAAAATACAGTATTAATTATAAAAAATAATTAATTTTTTTTTTAAATATTTTAAATAATAATTTTTCTATAATATAATGATTGATTTTTTTATTTTAATAATTTTTTTATAAAAACAATTTTTAAATAAAAGAAAACATTAAAATTTAGATAAAAAAAAAGAAATTATAAATTAATATAAAAAAAATATATTATATACATTTTTATTATTTACAAATATATAAATAAATATATTAAAATAAAATTATAAGCTAATTAAAAACTTATGGATAATTAAAATCAATATTATAATGCTCCTCCTCCTCCTTTGTCTTAAATGGATTATTAAAATAATATAAATAATAACATTAATAATTCTTATGATGATAATATATAAGCGCCAATAATGTAAAATCCCTATAATTAATAGAATTTAGATTATTATAATATTTAGGATTAAATGAATCATAATGTAAAGATTCCATAAAATAATCAAACAAACATTTAATAATAATATTAATAAAATTACCAATATAATTTTTAATAAAATTAATAAGATACTTATTATTAAAATAATTAATATTAAAACAATTTTTAAGAAATCATATAAATTTATGAGTGTAATCATACTGATTTATCTAAATATTTATATGTTAGAACACCTAACATAACCCTAACTACATTAATGTTAGTTTTTTATATTTTCGCCATTTTCGCATTAATGGCAGGGATTGCAATTACAATTATTGCTATAGTAATTTTGTCAGCTAAATTGTGCGATAATTCAAATTCAAATTCAAATTCAAATTCAACGTGTAATTGCGATTGCCTTGAAGGTAGTAGTTGTGGATCAGGAGATTGTAATAAATGTTGCAATAGTTGTACTAATTGCATATGTTGTTGTTGTAATACTGCCTCTAATACTAATTGTATTTGCTGTTTTGATTGTTATTTTTATTCTAATAGAAGATATGATTATGATCATAGATATTATCGATCTAGTATAACAAGAAACTCATATAAATAAAAAAATAATGATGATTGTGATTGTAATTGTTGCTCCTGCATTGAGTATCATACTTTGGGTGAAGATAAAAACGATACTATTTATGTATAAAAAGTAGAAGTTTATTGCACACAGTGTAATTCGAAATTAAGAGAAAATTATGAAAATATAGATAAATTTTACTAAGCTCTTACTTTTGGGATAATTGGTATGATTTTATGTGCTTTTGGAATTGGTTTATTTTACTATTATAAAGGTTATCGTTGATAAATTAATTAAAATATTTTTTTTTTTAAATATTCGAAAATATTCTTGTAATTATTTTTTTTATTTCTTAATCAGAATTTATTTTTAATGTATACCTTTATGTATGTTTATATATTTATTTGAAATATGTATTGTTTTTTTGGAATGTAAATTAATTTTTTACCCTAAAACATAAAAAAGGTAAGTTAATTTAATTATTTTTTATATAATATTTCTATTTAGAATATAAAAAAATAAAAAAATAAAACTTTTAATTAAAAAAAATAAATCTAATATATTATATGGAATGAAATTATTTAATAAAAATCTAATATATTATTTATATTTAGAATTAAAATATCTAATTATATTTTATTTTATTTTTTTCAATAAAAACATATCAATTCTAAATTCTAGAAAATTCTAGAAAAAATTCTTACTTAATTTCTTTTTAGAAATTAAATATAAATAGTGTATTTTAAAACTAAATTTCGTTTTACATTTTTTTTAATCCATTCAATAATTGATTATAAGATTCATAATATATGATTTTAGGTTAATTTTTATGTTAATAATTTACCTATTTAGTGCATTTTACTAATTCATTAAGAATATATAGAGAATTTAATTATTAATTGTATTATATTAAATTTAAATAACTTTTGAAATATAATTTGAGAAAAATTGAAGGTTAGATTATTTTTACTTTTAATCAATTATATATATTTACTTTAAATCATTAAAAAAAAATAAGAAAATAATTATTTTGATGAATCGACACTGTATACTGCTAATTATACATATAAAAAAAATACAAAAGAACATAAAATATAAATAATTATAAATACAAAATATTAACATTCAATAAGAAATAAAAAAATATTTATTTTATAATTTAAATTAAGACTAAAATAAATAAAAAGTGCCTTTATTTTAATTTAACTCATATAAATACAAATTAACGCTACTATATTTTTTTTGACTTGTGATAAAATTAATAAAAGCTTATCTAAGAATGTGATTCAACCTTAAATTGGGCAATAAGTTCATTAAGCTAATACAAGTATTAAGCATGACACTATGATTAGTCTTTTATTAAACATTGTAAAATTCTTTCTTTTTTATTTTAATTAATTTTATAAGAATTGTGCATATTAAGATAAAACTACTAAAATAAAATAAAATCTTTTATTAAGACTTAGCAAATAAAGAATTAAATAATGCCTAATTAATACAAAGTTTTTTCTCTATTAAAAATCTAATAATAAATGTAAAAAATATAATTCTGACTATGATAGATATATTAGATAATAAATATTGCATTAGATGATTTAAGTAACATTTAATAAAAATGCTAAAAAATTAAATATTTATAAGAACAAATTATTAAATATAAAAATTGTTAAAATAAGTATGTAATTTATTATTTTTTATTTATTGAATTTAACAAATAGTAGAATGTGAAAATATTAAGGAAATTTATAGTTATTTTACATGGATTAATATAAGAATTTTTAATATTTATAATCTCAAATATTTTGATTACTATTGGAATTTTAGTAGATAATTTAAACCATAATTCATAGATTCATACTATAAATAAATAATTAATTACAAAGAGATTATAAAGAGTATTTTATTGTAAAATAAGATTGTATTTAATCACTCTATCTATCTAATGAATTTTATATTTTAGAATGATATTGACAATTTTTATTTGGTATTACTTAATTAATAATTCTTAATTTTTATATTTATAGTAGACACCCTAAATATATTGGCGGCTCTTATATAAATATTTAAGATGATGGAGTTTTTTGATAATATTAAACCAGTTTTATACTAATTCTTGTTTTATGAAGAAAATAGGTTATAGGCAAGTTTTTTTACTTTTTTAGTATTTTTTATTATTTTTATTTCTTTAAAATTTAAATATTTTCTCAAAACAATTTTTTAATTTTTGCATAGTTTCAAGTTGAATTTCTATTTTTTTTTTCTTTTTTTTCTATATTAATTTATAAATAAAAACAAATATATATAAATTTAATAATAATAAATACAAAAATATTATAATAAATAGATTATTTTATATCTAAAAACTAAATGGAGCAAGAATAATAATAAAATAACGATATTCCCGAAAATGCCCCTACCGATTGCCCTGGAACTAAATCAGAGGAGGCAGGAAAATCTTCTTCGTGTTAAGGATGCCCAAATTAATAAATATGTGCTTCTGGTAAAGCGAACGAGCCTGATCCAGGTAATAAAAATCTATAATAATTTACATCTAAAAAAAAATATAAAAAAGCATTAAAGGACATATAAAAACATATGTAATTAGTAAAGCATAAAATATTAGTACTTTCCGGGAAAGGTGGAGTCGGAAAAAGTACTGTATCAAGTCAATTGGCATTATAATTAGCAAATTTAGGATACGAAGTAGGATTATTAGATATAGATTTATGCGGCCCTTCGATTCCCAGAATGATGGGTTTATTAAATCATGAAGTACATTAAAGTGCTGAAGGATGGAGTCCTGTTTACGTAGAAGATAATTTAGGAGTTATGTCTATTGGATTTTTATTAGGAAACTAAGATGATCCTATAATTTGGAGAGGACCAAGAAAAAATGGTTTAATTAAAAGATTCCTTACAGACGTATGTTGGGGAGAATTAGATTTTTTAATAGTTGATAGTAATAAAATATATAAACATATATACATTATTTTATATATTTAATTAATATAGCCCCACCTGGAACATCAGATGAGCATCTTAGTATAGTTTAGTATATGCAATTAGACCCTAAAAATGATGGGACTGTAATTATTACTACTCCCTAAGAAGTTAGTCTTTAGGATGTAAGAAAAGAACTTAATTTTTGTATAAAAACTTAATTGAATATTCTTGGTGTGGTAGAAAATATGAGTGGATTTGTATGTCCTAATTGTGCGTGTTAGAGTGATATTTTCCCTCCTGTTAGTGGGGGAGCGTAAAAAATGTGCGACGATTTCAAAATATAGCTTTTAGGTAAAATTCCACTTGAACCAAAGGTTTTAATTTGCGCAGAAAAAGGAAAATCTATTGTTAGCGAACATCCGGAAACTAACGCAGGTTAGGCTTATGTGAAAATTGTTTAAAGTATTTTTTATATTAATATTTTTTAATATTGTTTTAATTTTTTTTAATTTTTTTAGATTTAGTAAAATTAATTAAAAACAAATTAGAGTGATTAAATATTAAAATATATATTTATCTTATTATTAATTTTTTTAATCATATATTTTTTTTTGTATTAATTTTTTTTAATAATACCTTTAATATTTTTTTTATATATAAAAAAAGTAAACATAATATATTATTTTTTCTTTAAATATAATTTTAAATTATATATCAAAAAACGTTTGTGAAAATATTAATTCGTTTCATAATAAAAAAAATAAAGAAAATATTCATAGACTAATTAAATAATATATATATAAAAATTATAAGAAAAATACTTTTCAAACAAAATATAAATATGCAAAAGCCCTATTTAATATTATTAATATTATTACCTTTAATAGCATATGCTGATTTACCCGTTCATTGTGTAAAAAGTGAAATAGTGGGTAAATGGTAGATATAAATATCACACCCAATAGTAAAGGGTAATAGTCGCTCAATGGTAACATGTGGACATGAAGTTCCAGATAATCCAAATACAAGTTTTAAAGCTTCAAATGGTAAAATATAAGGCGTATAATAGACATTTGATATTGAACTAACAAAAGATAATAAAGTACTTGGTGAATTAGGAGAAGGCACATGGACTATGATATATGATGAAGGCTGGGAAATAGACTATGGCGGAATAAAGTTTATGAATTTTTTTAAGTATTCGAAGAAAGAATTAAGTTTATTTTATAAAATTGATTGTGGTAAAACCTTAGTTGGGTGGTACAATAATTATACTGAACTAAATAGAGGATGTTCATAAGGAGTAAAAATATCAGATGAAAATTAATAAAACAAAGACAGAAGTACTTTTATATAAATGGGTTCTAGTAATATAATAAAACAAAAAAGCAAATAAAATTAATAAGTATCTTTCATTTAAAGAAGAAAAGAAGATTTAACAAAAGTAGTCGAGAAAATAAATTCAAGAAAAGAACTTAGTTGGAAAGCTAAAGTTTATGATAATTTTATTTAATTAAATATTTAGGAATTAAATTAACTTGCAGGAAGAAAAAAAAAGAAAGTCCTATAAAAAAAATAATACTTTACTTCATTCATTTAAAAAGAAATAAAAGAAGAGCTTATTTAAACTACTGAAAGTTCTCGAAAATAAGAATTCCCTAAAAACTTCTCTTGGTAAGATAAAGTGCCTTAAACAATTCAATAAGCAGGTTGTGGAAGTTGCTATGCTATTGCAACTGCTTAAATGCTTTCGGCAAGAATAAAAATTTAATCAGGAGAAGATGTTCTAATTTCAGCTTAACATTCGATAGATTGTAATTATTACAATTAAGGTTGTGAAGGGGGATATTCGACATTGGTTGGAAAATTTGGGAATGAATTTGAAATGGTACCTGAAAGCTGTCACCCATATAAGGCTAAGAATGGAAAATGTGAAACTTGTGATTTAAGTTCGCTTGAATTCATTTATAAAGTTGTTAATTATGGATATATTGGGGGCGCTTATGGAAAAAGTAATGAATACTTAATGATGGAAGAAATGTATAAAAATGGACCTATTGTAGTTAGTTTTGAACCTGATTATGAGTTTATGTCATATTCGGAAGGCATTTATAAATCTGAAAAAATCGGTTTAAAAAATGATGATTGGGAAAAAGTTGATCATTCAGTACTTTGTGTCGGATGGGGTGAAGATGATATTAATGGAAAATATTGGATTGTTTAAAATTCTTGGGGAGAAAGTTGGGGAGAAAAAGGATATTTTAAAATTGCAAGAGGAAATAACGAAGCTAGTATTGAAAGTATGGGAGAATTTGCGACAATTTAAAAAGTTTAGAATCCTTTGTATAAATAAAATAATAATAGTAGTTGATATTTTATTTTTTCTTAATGTTTTTTTTATTCTATTTTTTTAAATATTTTTATTTTATTTTACAAATTTAAAATAAATATATATATTTCTTTTAATATTAATATAAATCCATATATATTAAGTTTTAATATTTATTTTATACATATGTAAATTTTTATTATAGGATAATTTGGCTTTTTTTTAGAGAAATATAAAATTATTTTAAGTTGTTTTTTTTAAAAAAAGAAAAAATATATATATTAAATGTAAGTTTTATAAAAAGAGTCTGAATTAAGCATAGATAATGAAAAGTTAATGGATTTTTTAATTTAAGAGAATATTTAGTTTAAATAAACGAATAATGATTAATTTTAAGCTTTTATAAAAGTTTAAAATCTATAAAATTTTAAGAATGATAAATTAGTTTAAGAATAATTTCTTCATATGAAAAATTCTTATAAAAATCCCGAATTTGTAAAATAGCCTTATTTAACATAAAATAAAAAAGAAAATAAAAGCAAAGAAATTAAACTTGAAAATACAATAAAAATAATTTAATAAAAAGATATTTATACTTTAACATAAAAGTTAAAAAATTAAAAGAGGTATAATTATTTTTCACAAACTTTAAAAAAAAGATTTAAATAAAAAGAACATATTTATTAGGATAATAACAATATAAATTAAGAGGAATAAAATTACGAAAACCTAAAAAATAATATTTTAAACATAAATAATAATAATAATAGTAATTAAAAACAAAATCAAAATAATAATAATAGTAATTAAAAATTAAATCAAATAAATAAAGAAGAAGAGTAAAATAAAATAAATAAAGAAGGAGAGTAAAATAAAATAAATACAGAAGAAGAATAAATTGATAAAATAGTAAATGAAAATATAAAAAAGAATAAAAATAGTTTAATTTTTGATTAAAAGAATATCAATAAAAAAAAATAATAAAAACAAGAAATGAGTTACAGCACTAATCTAGAAAATTAACATTAACGAAACAATTCTATAAGAAGTGAATTAGAATAGGCAAATAATCAAATTTAAGAAAATTAAAAAAGTATTTAAAACAATTAAGATGAATAATTTGAAAGCACATAAAATTAAATTATAATCAAAAAATAAAATTAATCCAAAAATAATAATTAATATTATAATAGAAGTCTTAAAAATACGGTGTTAAATAAATCTTAATCATTTAAATAATAAAAAAATGAATAATAAACTAACATCTCTATAAATGATAAACCTATTTAAAGTTAATAAGAAGAACAAGAATAAGTAGCAAAAGTAACAAATAAAAACTAAGATAAATAAACAATTAACGAATTCTAAAAGGAATTTGAAAATATTCTTGTTGAAAAAATATAATAATAATAATAAGGATAAAATAAAAAAAATAATAAGAATTTCTATTAAGAAACTTTAAGTGCCTTAAACAATAAGTTTCATTCTTTAAGTAGTTAGTAATTGATTTTATATTATGATTTTATTAGAAATTAAGCACATCATTCTTATAGTAAATTATATTTAAAAAATAAATAAATTTAACAATAGAACTGATTTTTAATAACTAATTATGATAATTTATTTTTTTATTTATAATAAATATTTGTGATATATTTAGTTTAAAAAACTTTATATAAATAAATATATTTTTACATTAAAAAAAAAAAAAAGAAAAAAAGTTAATTATTATTTTTTTAGTTAAAATATAAACTAAAAAAATCATTAAGCAGTCCATCCACCATCAACAGAAATAGCTTCCCCTCTGATTTCTTAAGATGAGTTTTAACATAAAAATAAAGCAACATCCGAAATTTATTCAGGATAAATAAAATCTTAAGTTGGTTGTTTATTATTAATAATTTAAAGTTTTGCTTCATTATAAGTAATATTTTTATCTTACATTAAAAGTTTTATTTTTTTCACTTATAAGTCACTATAGACAATTCCTGGACAAATACAATTTATAGAAACTTTACTTCTAGCGGTTTCCAAAGCTGCTACTTTTGTCATTCCTAAAATAGCATGTTGAGTTGCAGTAAATGCAGATTTTTACAACTATCCTACTTTTCCTTATTTTTATGTATATTTAATTTAATAAAGTTAACTTAAATATTTGTTTGATAGTAATTTTATAATATTATTAATAATATTTTATATTTTTATTAATAAAATATAATTAATTTATTTATTCATACCTTCAACACTAGATATGTTTATGATTCTTCCCCAATTTTATTTTTCCATATAAGGAATAACATATTTCATTGAATAAAAATAACTTGTCATATTTTGTTTTATTAATTTATCATAAATATCATCAGGACTTTTATAAAAGAATAAAAAAATAATATTATTAATAAGAAAATAAATAAATATAAACGTATTTATTAATTTTTATTCATCATATTCAAATATATTATTATTTATTAATATGTCTATTTTTCTGTATTTATTAAATACATAATCAATCATTTATTTTATTTATTCTCTTTTATCTAATTCAAAATTAATCATTTATTCTATATTTTCATTTTAAAAATTATTTGCAATTATTTTTGATCCTTGTATTTTAAATAGATTTGCACATGAATTTCCTATATTAAATGAATTTCCAGTTATTAAAGTTATTTTATTTAAAAGCATTTTTAGTTAAAAACTAATTATATGAATAATTATATTATCAAATTATATGATACACAATTAGATATTAATAAAATAATATTTTATTTTGATTTTTTTTAATAATAATAATAATAATAATTATATGTAATATTAAAAATAAATTTTATAAAAAATAATAGTTGTTTAGTTTATTTTTTATGATAAATTTTTTATTTATATTACTATAATATGAATTTTTATTAAAATTATATAAAGTAATTTCGTATAATTTAAAATTATTTTAATTATTTGTTTTTTATAAAAATCTATTTAAGTTTAAATTAAATTTCAAAGTTTTTATGCTAATTTTTTTATTTATTTTGAAGAGCTTTAATTTTATAAATAAATAATTGAAGTAAGATTTCCAATTTATTTATTATTTTAAATATTACTTAAATTAAATTTTGAATCCTTTAAAATCTGTTAATCTTTATATTTTTAGCTTAATTATGTAGATTTTTTAAACCAACACTAAATTTTGTTATATTTATAATAATAATCTTTATTTTATTTTAATTAAATTTATATTTTATAAATTTAACAAATAATAAGTTTGGATATTATTATTTAATATATTTATTTTATTTTATTATAATTGTGCTTTTTATTTTTTAATTTTTGATTGCTTTATAAAATAAACAAAGATATTTCTATTTAAAAATCTTTTATAAAGTTCATTTTATTTTCTAAATATACAAATTAACTAGAATTAATTTTAAAGATTTTTTTTAAACTCTTAAATTATTTAATTTATATAAAATATTAGTTTTTGTTAAAATAATATCTGTTTAAAATAAAATTAAGATCGGTGGATCTTAATTGCACATATTTTTTTGAAAATAAATAGTTTAATTTTTATTATTTTATTAATTTTATAAAGTATTTATTTATGAAATTCAACTTTATAATTTTTAAACTTATTATTTTCAGGTTATTTATATTTAAATTAATTTTTTAATACTACTAAATAAAGAATCTCTTATTAAAAATTTTCTATTCTTGTTTATTTTATCAATTTTAAAATTATTAAAATAAATTTGATTACTTTATATCTAAATTATAATATTTTAATTATTAGTATAATGAAATTGCTTTATTATGAAATAAGAAAATCTTTATTTAAATTAAATAATATAATTATAATTGAAAAAATATAAATATTAAATATATTAAAATTCAATAATATTAAAATAATATATATATTTTAAATAATATTAATACATATATTTTATTCGAATAACATTTTTTATTATAATTATTTTTAAGAAATAATTTAAATTTAAACTTTTATTTAAAAATATATATATAATAAATATAAAATTATATGTTTAAAAATAATATATATAAAATTAACTATTTATAAAAATATACATTTTATATTAATATTATATTAAGTATTTTTTGATTAAAATAAAATAAAAATTATTAAATTAAAGTAAAAATTTATAATATATAATTGTTTTTATATATATAATGATTATTTAATAATTATTATTTCAAATACTAAATATTTTTTCAATATTAAAATAAATATTAATTAAATAATTTATAAAATATATTCAAAATCTTAAAAATTTAATTTTATTGAATTTATAAACTTTTTTCTTTATAAATATTAAGATTTATATATTTTTTATTAATAAAATAATTTTTATATATTTATATATATTTATTTTTATAAATATTCATTAATCACTTTTTTTAATTTAAATATTTATAAATAATAAATTACTTAAATTTTAATTTTATAATTATGTGTTGTATATCTATTTTTTTTTAAATAAAATAAAATTAAAATAAAATGTAAGATTTAAAATAAAGAAATGTACTTAATCAAAATAATTAATAAACTACATCATCTTAACAAAAAAATCAACTATATTCTTCTACATATCCTCATGATCATCCATTAGCTAAATTTCGTTAATGTGTTTCAACTGATTTTCTTGGTGGACCAAAAATATTTTAATTGAATCATATAATAAATACTTTCAAAGGTTTTTTTTTTTTTTTTATTAAATTATATTATCAAATAAAAAAAAGGTTCTACTGGTATATTTTTAATATTGTTGATGTGTTATTATAATAATTTTTCTTTAAGTGCATATTTAATATTTATTCTTCATGGCTCATATGGGTAATAACAAAATAAATATTTAAAAAATTATATAACAAAAAATAATTATAAAAAGTTTTATATGGATTGCAAAAGATTTATTATTCCCTGATAAATCATGGCAAGTAAAACAAACTATTTTTAGCTCTTTAGTTGCTTGTGCCATCCTTTTGTCTTATTGGTCAATAGGTTGGTTCATAATAAGTAGAAGAGCAATAACTAATCCTTCATTAGAAAGAATAGCAGTTAGTTGTTTTTGTTATATATTTGGAGTAACGTTAATGGTAGTATCTGATGTTTAAAAATTTATAACTTTGAAATATAAATAAGGTTTAATTACAGATGGATTATTTTCAAGATGTAGAAATCCTAATTATTTAGGAGAAATTATTCTTTATGGAGGATTTGCTATTGTTGGAGGAGCTTGGGAAAATTATGCTTTATTGCTATTTATTTGGACAACTTTATTTAATCTGAATATTTATTTAAAAGAGCTTTCTTTTAGTAAAAAAGAAGGATGGGAGTAATATAAGAATAAAAGTTATTTACTTTTATTTAAATTCTTTGATGAAGATATTCATAATTATTTGTTTTATGGTGGTTTGGCTGCTTTTATAACAATTAATTATAGTTATGGAGGACTTATTAATGTATTAAAATAATAATGAATTATTTTTAATTAATATTTTTTATTTTATTTAGACTTTTTTTTATATTAATTTCAGAAAATAAGATATTAATAAATATTAAATTTTATTTGATTTTCGCTTGTTTTTATTTATATATATATATTTTAAAAGCTTATTTTTTTAAATATTTATATATATTAAAATATATATTATATCAGTTACAAAAAAGTTTATCAACTAAATTTGGACCTCCTATATTTAAGGCATTATTATAAAGGTCTCCCATTTTTTGTTTAGAAACTATTAATTATTCTTAGACATAATCAAGTGTTTTTTATATATCTTTGCATTTTTAATATTCAATTTAATAAAATTTAGAATCTTTCAATAATTATTATTTTTCTTATTATAACTTAGCAATTTCAAACTTAAAAAAAAAAAAAATAAAAAAAAAAAAAATTAATTTTTTTTTAAATAAATACTTATTTTAATTAATTGTCTTATTTTATAAATTATATATCTTCATTATTATTAAATTTATTCTAATTATCTTATAATTACTAATTTAAAACGTCTACTTATTATTAAAGATTTTAATTTTCTTCATTTTACCTTAATATTTAATGTTCAAGCTTTTATATTTTTATATACAAATTATTATTATCATCTTTATTTTCGGTATTTAGTTAAGAGTTAGTTTCATTACATTATGTATGTAATTATATTTTGTCATCTAAATATTCCTTTTCACTTTTTATGACTTCTAATTCTTCTTCCATAAGTTCTATTTTATTTTTATATTCAGTAATTTTATATTAAAGATCTTATATTTCTAAATTAAGATTTTAAATATTCTCTTGTTTTTCTTAAAGTTATATTTTAAAGTTATGATTATTTAGACTAAGTTCTTATTATAAGTTTTTAATTAAATAACTTTACTCTTTTCGTGTTTGATAGTTTTTTTCAGCATTAGTTTCACTGTCAAAACTATTATTAGTAATACAATTATTTTATTAATTTGATTAAATCATTAATTCATCTATTTTTTATTCTTATTAATAAATTTAATTTTAATATTATTAATTTTCGTTTTTTATTTATTATAATTCTTATTCAAGTTCCATAATAAGTTTTTAATTTTAATCGTTACTTTTATCATCTAATTATTTCTAAAGTTATTCTATTTAATTATTTAGAAACTATATTTAATTTATATATTATTATTCTATATCTTCATGTTATTAAAGCATATCATTTTTATATTATAATAAAGTGTTCTGTAATGTCTCTATTTAATGTATTTAGTTATAAACTTATTTTTATAAACTATTATTTTGATTATTTAATTAATATATTTCTTATTTATAATCTTAGTCATTATTATTTTCAATTGTTTGCGAATTTTAGCTTTATAATTTCTAGTTATTATCTTATAAGATTTCGTTTTTTTAAGATATTTATTTCATTTAAATTTATTGGTTATTTTCATTTAATTATTATTCTAAATATTAATTATTTTCATTTAAATTTATTATTTTTTATTCTAAATCTTTTATTTAATTTTATAATAATTAGGTCTATTAAGTTATTTATAAGTTTAATTCTTATAACTATTATTGACTTTCTTCATCTAATATTTAATATTTATTTTATAAAGTTTCATATTTAATTTATAAATTTTAATTTAATTAAATTTATTCGTTTAATTATTCTTATATTAAATTAACATTTTCTTAGTTACTTTTTTCATTATTAAATTATTCTTTTAATGATTCGTCTAATTTTTGGTTGCTATCTTATAAATTCTGTAATTAAGAAATTAAATTTTATACTTATTACTCCTTTTAATTTATAGTTTTTGACATTTATTAAATTTAAAATTCTGTGTTTTAATTTTAGGAATCAATTTATTCATTTAATCTATTTATATTTAATTCATATTCTTCTTGTAAATATTAAATATTTTATTTGCTTTATTATAATTATTATTATAAATTTTCTATTTCATCAATTTATTATTCGTTTATGTTTTAAAGTTTAGCATTTTCGAAATTTTATAGGCTCTAATTTTTAATATTTAATTATTCTTCTAATTATAATATTTATTTTTCAAGTTCTTGATTTTTTTATTCTAAATATTCGATTTCATTTTATAATTCTTATATTTTTTATTCTTTTTAATCAATTTAATTTTTTAAATTGTCGTTTTATTAAATTAGTTAATTACTTGTTTCAATAAATTCATTTATTTTTGTTTCTTATATTCCAATTTAATTATTTAAATTAGATATTTCTTAAATTTAAAGTTCTATTTTTTGTTTATTATTTACATCTTAATCTGTTAAAATCTGTAATTCATTTAATTTTTAAAGTAAATTTTATTCTAAATTATCTTTGTCCATATTCTATAGATTTGTTTTTTCTATATATTATTCATATTCATCAATTTTACTTTTTAAAATTTAAATCTAATTTAATTATTCCTAGATTAAATTTTCATATTAATTAATTTATTATTAACTTTCTGTATTTTATTAAATTTATAAATTATTTATTTATAAAAGAAGTCCATTTTTTTATTTTTCGAAATTATCATTTGATATATTCTAATCTTTTTAGAATTTTTCAATTATTTATTTTTTTTCTATTTCGAAATATTATATTTATTCAACTTTTTGAATTTCTAGTTATTATATAAGATTTATTTTAAAATTTAATTCATTGTTTTATTTATCTATTTCATTTTATAAATTTTTGATTTAATAATTTAGTTTTTAATTATTTATTTCATAATCTTCTATTTGGCTTTATCTTCTTACTATTTCAGTATTTTATTCTTTTTAAAATACATTTATTTAAGAAATATATTGTTTATTTTAAATTTCTTATTATTATTGTTTTTATATTTCTTAATTTTTTTCATTTATTTCATTTTCTAATTTTTAAATAACATTATTTAATTCGTTTATTATACTATTTTTTTCATTTTATTATTAATATAATTATTAAATTTAGTTATTTAAAGTATTTGAAGTTTTTTCATTTTCTGACTAATTTAATATTTCTTAATTCAATTATTTACTAATTTAATTTTACAAATCATTATTTTATTCATTTATTTTTTAAATTTAAATTTATAATTCTTTAATTTAGTTTTAATATTAACTTATTTCTTTTTAATATTATTCATTTTAGTTTTATAAACTATTAGTATTTTCTTAAAATTATAATATTTGTTAGTTTAATAATTATAATTATTCAGAATATGAACCTTGATTTTAATTTATATATTACATTTGTTATTCACTTTATTAATATTATTATTAAATAGTTTAAATTTTATTTTATAGTTCTTAATTTTCTTATTAAATTTCACTATTTATATTATTTAATTAATCTATTTATAAATTTCTTTCAGATAATTCTTAATTTAATTAGTTTATATTATGATTCATTTATTATATTTATTAATTTTTTTAATTAACATCTGTATTTAATATAACAATAGTTTATTAATTTTATTCATTTTCTTAAGATAATTAATTTTAACTTTATTTTATTTATTCACTTGTAAATTAATATTCTTTAATTTCTACACTTAGTTAGTTTATTTAAAATATGTATTATTCAATTTAATAATTTAATTATTTAGTTAATTCATTATTTTATTAATCTTTTTCTTATTATACATATATTAATTACTCAATTTATTTTTATAATTATTCATTATTTTATTCCAATTAGTAATACTAATTTTCTTTTAAATTTATATTCTATTCAAAATTTTAATAATTGTTTTTCATTTGTTCTATTTATAACATTAATTACTTATTGTTTTCTAAAAATGTCTATTTTTCTTTATTTAATTCTTAAATTTTTATTTAAAAATCTTTGTTTTAATTTTATATTTATTCCAATTAAACTTAAAGTTATTTATTTTCATTTTAAAATTATTCAATTTTTACATTATTTTTATTAAATTCTTAAATTGTATGTTCAAGCTTTTATAGTTAAAAAAAAATATAAAATAAATAATTTTTTAAATATCTATATATTACTTTCTAAATATTTATTTTGTCTTATTTTAATTGTTCTTATAATTTTTCGTTTTGGCTTTTATATTCTATACATTGTTATTTATATTTTAAATATTTTTATTTCATTTCTTAATTTTCATTTTATTTTTAATCAAATACTTATTACTTTTATTATTTTAAATGAATATCTTCATTTGATTATTAAGTGGTATTTGTATTTTAGGTTTCATAACTTATTGTATGTTAAACTTATTACTATTTTTAATTGACTGATAATTAGATTGCATCTTAAATTTAATTATTTTATATTATTTATTAATTTTTTATTTTAGGTTCAATATCATTATTAGTAGGTATTCTTTAATTTTCTATTTTATTATCAGCTTTAGAATAATTAGATATATAACTTTTTATTAAATAAATAGTTAAAAATATTATAAACAATTTTTTTTTGAAAAAATGAATTAACCTCATATTTGCATAATCAATTTCTTGTAAATAATTTAATTTTAAAGTTATATATAATTAGGCTTTTTTATCAGGGCATTTTTCAAGAGACAATTTTTCTTCATAAACTGATATATTTTATATATGGATATAATAATATAAGAAAAATATATATTGAAATTAAAAATACTCTATTATTTTTGAGCAGCAAATTTTCCTAAATCTAAATTGGCAATGCCAGCTACTTTATTGCCCTTTGTAGTATTTATTATTACTGTAAATGTTGACTTTTTAATTATAACAAAAAAAATGTATTTTAAATTTATTTTATTATTAGAACTTTTTTTCTAAAAATATTTATGTATCCTAGTTATAATATAAATTAGATTCTAAACTTAAAGATTCGTTAAATTAACCAACTCCGTTTGTTAATGAAACTTATTTTTAAGTTTCTATTTTTTACGTACCTTTTATAATTTATTTTAGTTTTAAAATAATAAATATATTTAAATATTTTATTAATTTAAATTTAAAATTAAAACCTCTTTTCCAAACAACTTATAATGTACAAGGAAAACTTATTGCTAAAGTAACTTTTTAAACTAAAACATCGAAATTAAATAAATATGCTTTAATATTTTATTGCTATAATTTATCTTGCATTTTTTTTATTAAATTATAAATTTTAATATAATATATAATTTATAATTTAAGTAATTTATAAAAATAAATATTGATTTTATTTTTTAATTCATCGATTTAAATAATTTTTTTTTTAAAAAAACATGTGTTATATAATAATTTATATTAATAAAAAGTTTATTTTATGTTATTAATAATCATAAAAAAAGAAAAATTACTTTAAAAAATTAATAATTTAAGATATAAAATAAAAATTATAAACATTAATAAAATAAAAATATGATAATAATATGAAAATAATATGATAATAATACGATAATAATAATAATAATAATAATAATAATAATAATTATAATAATAATAATAATAAAAAAAAAAGAAACAAAAACAAAAATAATAATATATATTTTAAAAAATTTATATAAATATATATATATATATATATATAAATAAATTTATTTTTAAATATTTTTATATAAATATATATATAAATAAAATTATTTAAATATTTATTAAATATTATAAATATTTTTTTTAATATATTTTAAAATAAAATTATATAAATAAAAAAAAAAATATAAATAAAATATATATATCTAATATACATAAATAAAATTAAAAATTCAATTTTTTTCTTCTTTTTTTTCTTAATAATCTAAACTTTCTACATTCTTAACTTCAGGTATATAATGCATAAGCATTTTTTAAATTCCTTATTTTAAAGTTACTTATGAACTAGGACATCCAGTACATGCTCCCATCATAGTTAAAGTAACAAGTCCTGTTTTTTCATCGAAATTTCTATAAACAACATCACCTCCGTCATCTTACACAAGAGGTCTTATTCTTGTATCAATTATTTCTTTTATTAATATAACTTACTCGCTGTCATTTTCATTTATTTTTGTATCTTCAGGCTCTGGTTTATCTGTAATTAAAGGTTCTTTACTTGAAAATTATTCATTTATTAGAGAAAAAATTAAAGGCTTTAATTCACTCCATTCATATTCTTCTTCTTTTGATACTGAAATATAATCTTTACCATAAAATACACGGTTTATTCCATCTACAGAGAACAATTTTTTTGCTAAAGGCGATTTATGTGTATATCGCGCTGCTGTAAATTCTATTGCTGGATTATCGTCCATAACTTGATTTCCAGTCGGAATAAATTTAAGGAAATTAGGGTTTGGTGTTTGCTTTACTTAAATAAATAAAGTTTAGTATAATTTTTATGTTAAATAGTTTATTTTTTAAATTTTGTTTGGATTAATCATTATTCTTTTAATTTATTTTTTCTTACTTTTTTTCTTTTATTTTTTTATTGAAAAGTAAATATAATTTAAGAAAAGTAATAATATATAAATTTATATATTGTTATTTTTTGAATTAGTTAATAAAATTTAAAAAAATAAAATGAATAATCATTTTTTAAAAATTAATTATTAATAATCGAATAAAAATTCAACATAAACTGATAATAAAAAACCTTAAAAAAACAAAGTTTAAAATATTTAAAGATAGAATTCTAATCCTTGTATTACAACAAAAAATGAAAAAAATTAACAGCAAAAAACATTAACAATAAAAAATTAAAAAAGCTAAATAGCTTAAAAAAAAAAATCAAAATCAACAGAATAGAAAATAAGATAAAACTCAGCATATATTCCAAAATAAAAAAATAAAATTCTAATTATACTAATAATAATAAAAATAATAATAATAATAATAATAATAATAATAATAATAATATTAATAATATCTTAAACAATTTTTTTCATTTAAAATCTTATAGTTCGTTTTGTAGCAAGAAAAAATATGATTTATATTCAAAAAAAAGCATAAGTAATGAAAGAACTTATTTTGGTATAAATAATATACGAAATAAATCCGAGAGTTTAGAAAAATCTGGAAATTCTATTAATATTAATAATAAATTTAAAATATTAAAATAGATTTTACATGGATAGGATTTTTAAGACAATAATGAGATTGATATAAAACGAAATGTTGATAACTCATAAAAAAAATTATAAAAAATAATTATTTTATAAATTTAATCTATAAATAAAATATTTTACATTTCGAGTTCTCGACTTCTGAGGATAAAAATATCTAATGGTTAATAAATTATTTGATTAGAAAAATCTATATTTACGAAAAAAATATTCTAAAAAATTAAGATGAAAATTATTTATTAAAATAATTAAATTAAATTTCTACTTTTGTTTCTTCTTAAAATAATATACCTATTTCTTTTTATTTTACTTAAAAGTAAAGAAGTGTTATTGCATTTGTCAAAAAATGCATTAATATAAAACCTTTTTATGCTCAGAAAATAAATAAGAATATTTTTTGCTAATAACGGATAGGTATTAAGCATTTTAATTTGATAAAATGTATTGGCCTAGGTGGATTTTCGAGAGTATATTTAGTATAAAAAATAGATACAGGAGAAATGTTTGCTTTAAAATTAATAGAGAAGGAATTTATTATAAAAAATTAAAAATAAATAATTATATAAAATGAAAGGAATGTAATGATTTAATTATCAAAATGTCCTTTTTTATTACAATTAAGGTACTGTTTTGAAAGTATTAATTATATTGGATTTTTAATGGAGTTTTGTGCAGGAGGGGAATTATTTTTTCATTTAAAAATGATGAAAAAAATGCCTGAAGATATAGCTAAATTTTATTTTATTTAAATTTGCTTAGGAATAGATTTTTTACATTAAAATAATATCATCTATAGAGATATTAAACCTGAGAATATATTACTTGATCTTGATGGAAATATACATATTGGAGATTTCGGATTAGCAAAACCTCTTTAAGATAAAAAGTAATTAACTTATAGTTTCTGTGGATCTCCAGAATATATGGCTCCTGAAATGTTACTTAAAGTCGGACATAATTATTCTATTGATTTTTATTGTTTAGGCGCTTTACTTTTTGAATTAGTATTTTTTATATAATTATAAATATATATATATATATTTTTATATAAATATATATACAGGTTACTGGTTTACCACCCTTCTATAGCCTAGATAGTGAAGAAATTTATGAAAATATTCTTAATCAAGAAATTTGCTTTTAAAGAAATTGCTAGGTATCTTTTGATTTGTAAGATATGTTAAAAATATTATTATCTAAAAAACCTGAGAATAGAATTTCGAATATAAAAGAGATTTTTTAACATAAATGGTTTAAGGATATAGATATTTAAGGTATTTAAAATAGAAGTGTTTAAGCTCCAATTAAACCTAATCCTTTAAAGTTTAATTTCGATGAGGAAGATTTTTTGGAAGGAGAAGCGGATTTTAGGAATAAATTAAGTAAAGAAGATGAAAATTTAGAATTTTAATAAAAAAAATATATTTTTAAAGACTTCTATTATGATTATAGTTTATATACAAATACCAAAAATAATTTTAGTTAGGATAAAATAAGTAAATAATAATCAAACAATGGATTAGATTATATGAAAAATTTAACTAATTTATAAAAATAAATTAATAAATAAGGAAATTTATTTTTTTTAAAAAAAAAAAAAATTGATATTAGCAATGATATTTTAAAAACAGAAACTAGTTGCAAAAGTAAGCTTTAAAAATATAAAATTATTAATTAAAGTTAAGTTTCTAAATTCAAATAAAATGATAAAAATAATATTATATTTCATATTTCTCCTATAAAAAAAACTTTTATTTAATCTCCTTTAAAAAATTATTATAATCCTCTCCATTTAATAAAAAAAAAAAAATGAAAAATTATTGTTTGTTTTTACTTTATTATTTTTTTATTATTAATTAATTTCAAAATATATTTGTTTTTTCATATAATTAAATTGAAATTTATTAAATATATATATATATATATATATATATATATATATATATATATATGAGTTTTGTATATATTAATTAATTATTTAAACAAAGAATATTGAAATAAATATTAATTTTAATATAATTTTCTTTTTTTATTAGTACATATTAATTTATTTCTATAAGAAATATAAATCAATATATTATATATATATATATATAAATCTAGAAAATTTTCATTTTACTGCTTAAAGAATTCCACCATTAATAAAATATTATTTAATATTTTTATCCTTAAAAATAATTTCAATAGGAATCATATTTAGCATTGTTTTAGTACTCCATATTTTTTTTGTTAAGTTAATACAGTAAGGTAACCAAAATAAAAGTAAAATAATAGCTAAAAAAAAAATGAAAATACTAAATTTGATTTCTTCAATATAACTTTCATCATCTAAATAAGATTAAATACTTTCCAATAATTTAATATTTAATTATTCTATAAAATTTATTAGAAATCTTTGTAGTTTCTCTAAATTAATCCATGTATTTTTTTCTTCAAAAATTTCTAGTTTAGATTTTTATTTTCTTTATATCGAAAAATTATTATAAAACTATCTTATATCTTTTTTAATTTTTATTTTTTTTTTAAAAAAAAAAATATTTATTTAAATACCTTCGGTATATGATACTATTGCTAATTTTAACCCACTTTATAATATTTTATCATTTAATTATTCACATTATTATAAAGTTAAGTTTTCAACTTCTTTAAATAAAATACAAACATTATCAAAGTTTCCATTTTTAAACATTTCATTGAATTAATCAAATTTTGTAGGATATGATTTCATATAACTATCGAATATTTATTTTTCATTCGTATAAATTAAAGCAGTAAATTATTATATAATATTTACAAATTCTTATTTATCATTAATAATTTCTTCATAAGTATACAAAAAATTATATCTTTAAAAAAATATATATATTTTTTATTTTTTTTGTTAAAAAAATACTTTAAAATACTATTTCTTTAACAGTTTAATTTCAAGTTATTTAATATGTTTTATTTATTTTGTAAAAAATTTATTTATAAAATTAAAGAAATAATAAAGTAAGAAATAGATAAGATTGATATAATAGAAAATTAAAGAATTATATTTTTCTTATTAGTATTATCTCTTTAACTACATAATTTCTGAAGTCTTATATTTTTATACTATTCATCATCTTAATTTAAAATTATATCTTTATTATTCTATATAAAAAATAAATGCATTTATATAATAAAAATTATACTTTTGTGTTTAATTTTATATCTATATTAGTAATATTTTAATCCAATTTATTTTAATTAATAGATTCATTTTATATATTTTTATTAAAATTTTATGTTTATTCTTCATTATTTATAATTTAAATTAATATTTCTTATTTAGCTTTTACCTATTAATTAAAGTTCTTATTGCTTTGTTCCTCAATAAATGTTTCTAAATAAATATCACATCTTGAGGCTAGTTCTTTAATTTCAGACAAGCTTATCATTCCAAAAAGGGAAAGTATTTTAATATTAGCAGATTATATTTAAAATATAATTGAAATTAAGATAAATTAAGATATTATAATACATATTATTCCTAAAGAAAATAATATTATAAATATTTACTAATAATCATCTGTTTTATTTTCATATTATTAATATATTTCTATAGAATTATATTATGAACCTTATATTAATACAGAAAGTCCATTAGTTATTATATAAAAGAAATTTTATTACGTAGATTCAATTTAATAGGTACTTATTTTATTAAAAAATAATTTAAAAATATAAATAAATACTTTTAATTTGATAAATTTTAATATTAAAATTAATTTATTTCAGATTTTGCAATTGCTGATGCTGCAGTAATATATTAAATAAGTGCATCTTATAAAGTGTTTTAGTAAATTTTATTATTTCCATTTTATAATAAAAATTATATTTCAAAAACTTGTTTGTCTAATTTACTTTATAATGAAATATCTAAAGTTATTTTTCTTTTAATAATTTCAAAATAAACATTTTGTAATTTATTTACATATGACATAAGCTTTATTTATGATTTAAGTTTAAATATTATAATTTAAATAAATCAAAAAAAAATACATAATCTTATGTATCTTAAAAATATTATTATTTAGTATATTAAGGTTAATCAAGTCTAAATTAAACAAAATTGCTGAAAAAAAAATATTATATATAAATAAATTTATATATATATATATATATATATATATATATATATATATATATATATATATATATACATATATACATATATATACATTTATATAGTTATACATATATGTTGATATATTTTATATATATTCTTATAATTATATATATTTTATAATTTATTTACTTTGAAATAGCCCATAATTTCTTTGTATAATAATTAACATCAGCCATAATACTTTCTCTATTATAATTTTAATATATTTATTAAGTTCCTTATTCAACTTCTTTATAATATTTTTTTTGAAAGCTAATTCAACATTTAAAATTGTTAATAAAATTATAATTAGATTTACAAATGTTGCTTATAATATATTAATTTTGTTGGTGTCTATTTTTTTGAAATAAATTATAATATATATTAATATTATAATTTAAATAAAGAAACTTATTTATCAGAAATCAATTATTTAAACTCTTTAATTTATCTAGCTTTATTTATAGCAGATTCATTAGATAAGTTAGAATCTTTATCATTTATTTCATTTTATTAATTTAAACCTTAATTAACTATTTACTTTATAATTTCAGTTGTATTTTTTTATATTTATTAAATATTTTATGTTTATTATTAATTATTTAATAATTGTGAATTTTAATAAATTTATATTTAATCTACTTTAGATTCTTTATTTTCTATAATATCGTTTAATTATGAATTCTATAGATCATCATATTCATCTAATTCAATGAATTTTACAATATTTATCTATTTAATTTTTTATATTTTTTTAATATATATGATTAATTTGTTTTTTTTTAAAAAAAAAAAAAGGACTTCTCTATCATCAAATTTTTAATGTTTGACTATATTCATTCTAACTTTTATTCTTTTATATTTTGTTTTTTTATTTTGATAATATTTTAATTTTCATATTATTATGATGATATATGAACGTATTAACTATCTTCAAAATTTTCTTCTTCTGAATCATCTTAATCAATTAAAATTTTTTATTAAACTAACGATGTATCAAAATTTAGAATTAAACCTTTTGGATTTTTTAATAATTCGCCTATTTCTGGATTTTTTAATTCTGGGCATATTGTATCTTTTTTTATTTATTTTTAATAACAAAAAATAATAATTATTAAATTAATTTTATTATAATATTTAATTAAAATAACCTATTGCAAATTCAGTATTATTTTAACTATTTCCATACATTAAAGATGCTGATATCCCTAATGATTAATAACAAGATTATGTAATTCCTTAAAGAGTGTAAGTATCAGTTCTATATATTAAGTAATGAAAATTTTCATCTATATTTTAATTAAAAGTACTTCTAACTACAGATTAATTTTATTATTACATATCTTTTAAAAATCCAACAATAGTAATTCCTTCTAATAAATTAGGAAGTATTTTTATAACTAAAGAACATGGTACTAAATATTAATTCTTTTTAGTAAAAAAATTTTAATATATAAAAAATTAATAATATATATATATATATATATATATATATATATATATAAATATATATAAATAAATACATATTTATATTTACTTTATTTTTAGCTAATATTGTTCTTTCTAATCCAATAAATTTTTATTGTGAAGTTTCTAAATAATTAAATATAAAAGAATTGTGTATTTCGGCATATACTTAAGGCATTAACTTAGATATATTTTATTATAGAATTTCTTATTTAGTCCATCCTAATATTCTTTTAAAAGAAAAATTAGATTTCATATATTTTTTTGTTATTTTACCTTGTAATTTCATTATTTACATTTGTTACTATTCCCATTTAATTATAATTTCCTGAAATAGTAATAATTGCTGCATTAGAATTTTCGCCATATTTAAGTTTATTGGAGTCTTGAAAAGTTCTTGACATACTGTATGAATTTCTTGTATATTTTACTGAATCTAGAATCTTTTCACCTTCAGCTTAATCATTTGCTATATCTTTTAGAAAGTTTCCATATATTTCTTAGGATTTTATATGATTTGGATATATTGCCCTTAACTCTTTAAATAATTTAGTAACCTTTTTTATTTGTTTGAATTATAATTATTTTTATTTAAATTAAATATTAAATTTATAAAATTACTTTATCTACAGATGATTTTATTTAATATCCTGTAATTTTTGAAATTTATGGATTTTCATCTTATAATTATTTCCAAAAATCTAAATGTAATAAAATACTTGCCTTAACAAATATTTGAAATTAGAAAAACTAAAAAAAATACGAATTTTATAAAAAAATAATATATATATATATATATATATATATATATATTTAAATTTATATAATCACTTTTTTCTAAAACATAACTATTTTATTTACATCTATATTTATACTATCTCCTTCTTTTTTATCTATATTCTTTATTTCATTTTCAACTTATGTATTAAATCTTAATATTTATTGTTTAATAAAAAATTAAATAAATGAAACACAAAAATACCTAAATAAAGCGAATTTTTCTTACATACTTGGTTTTAAATCATTACAGACCATACTTTCATACAATGCTTTAAATCTATTTTTAAGTTTTTCATGTTAAATGAAAGAATGAAGTAAATGTAATCTACTTTTAAGCAATCTTCAATCATAAATTTGACAAATAAATACCATGTTTTTAATAATAAAGGCATATTATCGTTTTTAGTTTCATCTATTAAAAGTAATCGGCAGTGACAAATATCTTTTTTACATTATTTGTAATGTAATTTTAGAATTCCTTCTAGTAAAATTCTTTTCTCTGTTATTTCTATATTCTTTATTAAATCAATTATTATGAAAATATACATTTCTGCATCTTAATCTTTCTTAAAATCAGTAACGTTTTATTTTAATAAAAAATAATTTCTATTATAAATTATTTAATTGTAAAAAAGTCCGATAAAAGGGTATCCTATATTTAAAAAATTATTATGTATAAATATTTTATATTTAAAAACAAAAAAATACAATTAAAAAAATACAATTGTTTAAAATAAAAAATAAATGTTTTTTTTTTTATAATTATATAATTATATTTTTAATTTTTATATTTTATATACCTATTATCATAAATATAAAACTAATGTCATTAGTTGTCCCTTCGTCTAAATAAATCACTAATACACAACAAAATGTAACCCAAAATAGTAAACATTCACAATATACGGCAAATTATTAAACGTTCTAAAAAAATAAAAATATTATATAGACATATATATTTTATAATTACTTTATTATAATATGCTAGTGTTTTATATCTTTATAATAAAATGAATAAATAAATTATATTTATAATAATAATAAATTATTTAAAATAAGATCCATCAATATCAATAGTAACATAAAAAGGTAAAATAAGTTTAATAACTAGAATTATAAATAAATATATTATTATTATTAATTAAAATAAAAAGAAATAATTATTTTATATTACAAAATTTCAATAAAGGCATTAATGATTAAGGAGATGCAAAAGGCAGCTAAGAAGAAGGATTAAGATCAATAAAAAAAAACATAAATAAAAAACTTACAATAAGTTAAAATATTAAACAAATAATAGCAAATGTTAAATGAATATAATATACACCTGAATAACAAGGATACTCTATGTGAATGCTTAAATCATTATTACATATTATATATACAATATAAGTATTAATAATAGGCAGAGTAAGAATATTAATTATCAATAAACCAAATAATGTTAAAATACTAACTAAATAAGAAACAACTACTGATGTATTTTTTTCATTATTTATTATTTTTTTGGATGTAATTATTAATAATATACAAAAAATTAAGGTAATAGAAGAACTTACATATAAAATTATTAATCCATTTTAATATGTCGATGTGAAAAAAAAGTAGTTAAACTAAAAAAATTATATCATTTATTAAAATGCTTTTAATATTTTTGTGTTCCATAGATATTAATTTCCTATATAATATATACTAAAATAGAGAATTTATATATTTTCTATAAACATAAGAAGATAGTATAAGAAATTATTACAAGTCTATTTATTTATGTTATTTTATATTATTATTATTTTTAAAAAAAAAAGTAAATAAATTTTGTTTAATAATAGTTTTTAAATTAATTTATAATTACTTAGTTCTATAATAATTCAAACATTACTAAATGAACCCAAATTTTAATTTTTATTTCAACTTTATCCCAAAAGGATTAAAATTATATAGTGTTTTAGTTAATCATTTTTTATATAATATTTTTTTATTATAATAATAGTGATTATTTGAATATTTAATATAATATATATATTATAAAATTACTTTTTGACAATAATTTATATATTAATTCAAAAAAGTAGTTTTTTTATTTTCAAATGAGTTTATTTAATAAAAATAAACTAAAAAAATTATAAATGATTTTCCAGTTTAAAAAGATTTATATATTTTTTTAAAAAATAAATAAAAATAATTATTTTAAAATTTGAATATACATATCACAAAAATTCTGTTAATATTTATATTTTCTAATCGTTTTAATTTACTACCAATTCTTTTTTTTTAAGTTTTTCTAGTTTTATTATTTCGTATTATTTTTGATCGTTTTATTTTATTAATTCTTAATATCTTTTAATTTAATCTAACCTTTTCTGAAAAAAAAAAAAAATTAATTTTTTTTTTATTTTTATTTTTATTTTTTTGGGATTTTTATATAAATATTACTTCTTTTGCATCTTTTTTAAATTCTTTAATTGCTTTTTTTTATTTTTCTTCTTTTTTTTTTAAATATTCATCTTTTCTACGTTTTTTTGCTCCAAAGAAACTTTCCATATATGATCTTATATTATTAATAATAAAAATTAAAAATATAAATATTTTAAAATAATTGTTTTTTGTTTAAATTAACTTTCTCTCATCTTCGTCAAAAACAATTGCAATTTTTTTTTTTTTATTTTTCTTATCAAATTTATTTTTATTTTTCTAAATTTTCTATTGTTTATCCTTTTTTTATTTATTTTTACCCATATTTTTTTTTATATTATTTATCTTTTATTTATTTATTATAATTTTAATCTTAAATATTTTTTTTTTTAATTATAATAAATAGTAAAATACATAAAAATTAATAAAAATAGTAATAATAATGTCATCAAAATTAGATTATTTAAAAAAATATTTAAATGACGAAAAAATAAATAAAAAGAAAAAACAATCTACAGCAAAACCTGCATTTTAACTATTTGATGAATAAGAATTTAAATAAACGTAAAATAAAATGAACTAAGATCTAGATAATTATTATGATGAAAATAACGAAGAGTACGCTCCTATAATAGTCGAAACAGCAGAGAGTTCAAAATATACAAAAGAATAAAAAGAATAAGTTATATAAGAATAAAAAAAAAAAAAAATCAGACATGATTCTGAATCAGAAGAAGAAAATTAATAAAACGAAGATTAAAAAAAACTAGACGCTTTTAGAAGTAAAATAAATAAAGCTTTAGATTAAGAAGATAATTAACCAGAAACTGTATATAGAGATGCCTTGGGAAGGAAAGTATCAGCGAGGGAATTATTGAATTAATAGAAGACAAAAAAAGATAAAATTGAAGAATTAAAGATATAAAATCAAGAAAGAATTGATTAATGGGGGAAAGGCTTGAAATAAAAAGAAGATAAATAAAATCAAAAAGAAGCCATTAAAAATGCTAAAAATGAATTATATGTGGGAGAATATGCAATTTCAAAATAAACTGAAATCGAACTTATGAAATAAACGCGTTTTAACGATCCTATGTAAAATTTAATTGATAAAGAAGATTAAAAAATTACATAAGCCAAGCTTAATTTAGGGAAAAATTTCTGTAGACTTTAGTGTAAATTCCCACCAGTATCAAATAGGTTTAATATTTTACCAGGGCATATGTGGGATGGAGTTGATAGGGGTAATTAATTTGAAGCTAGGTATTTTGATATGCTTAATAAAAAAAAAGATAGAGCAAGGAAAGCGCATGTTAATGATGTGGCGTAGATATGAATTGAATAATGCTATTTATAATTATTTTTTTCTATGTTTTTATTATTTTAAATTATATTTTTATTGGAAAAATTATTAAAGTTTATTCTATAAAGTATTTTAATAAAAAAATTTTAATGATTATTTATAAATAAAATAATATTAATATAAAAAAAAAAATACTAAAAAATTAGTAAATAATTAATTAAATATTTAAATTATCAATTAATAAATATTTATCTACCATTTAAATCATGAGTACCTCTGATATTATTTTACATACCAATTATAGTGATAAAATTGTCAATTTAATCTTAGTTAATATTTATATAATCTCTACTTAAGATCCAAATAACGCCTTCAGTACATGGAGGATATGTAAGAGAGCCTTCATATTTATAATAATTATCTAATTTATTAACAAGCTAATTTAAAAAAAGAAAATTATAAAAAATTATAAGCATATATATGTATAATATTATTTATAATCTTTTTTAAAAAAAATATAATCAAAAATAAAATAAAAAATTTCATAAAAATAAATTATTAAAAAAATTCAATTAAAAGAATTAAATAATATATATATATATATATAAAATAAATTAAAAAATTTGTATTTATATATTTATATTTTTTTTTTTTATAGTTATTATCTTTTTATTTATTTTTTACTTAATCTAAACTTAATACTAAATTTTCTAATTTTATATATTTTTCAATTTCTTACAATTAATTTTCTTTATGTGCATATATTCCTATATTTTATAAAAACTCGTTTTTATTTCCTACTTTAGCGTTTCCAAATAAACTAACTATTAATTTTTTTCCATTATTATTTTAATGCTCAATTTATATTTCAATATTTGCTCTTATGTTATCATCCTCAAACTTTAATATTAAATAATATTTTATTTAAAAATAAATTTAAATTAACTGTATGTTCTGATGGATGATGAATATGTACATATTAAGCGAAATAAATTTCATTTTAATATTTTAACTATCCAAATTAACCCACTACTGTAATTTTTATTCCATCATTTACTAACATAGGACTTTTATTTAATTAACTATATTATATTTATATTTCATTATTAGTAACTTCTTTTATTAAATAGAGTTAAGTATTAATATTTATTGGACTTTACATTTTACCTATTTTACATAATTCAGGCCATTTATCTGTTTTCAAAATTGGAATTTTATCCCTTTTGCTTTCTTTATTAGATGAATTTTTTTCTTCTTTATTATTTTAAGTTGAATAAGAATTATTGTTATTTTCGTTTTTTTTAGAAATGAATGATATATTGGAAGATTCCTCTGTTTATTCATTGTTTTCATCTTTATTTTTTTATAAACTCACTTTATTTTTTTATTTATTATTTTAAGTTTTTTCTTTATTTTAGGTTTTTTTATTTTAATTTCCTTTTTCATTCTTTTTATTATCTGGTTTTTTTTCTTATTATATATTTTTTTGTTTTTTTACTACAAATAGATTTTTATCTTTATTATTTTTTTCTTCATTTTAATCTTATTCTTCAATATCTTCTTATTATTCATTTTCTTCTTATTATTCATTTGTTAATTTGTTTTATAATTTTTATTAATAATTTTCATCTTCTTCTTTATTTTCATTTATTTAATTATCTTTTATTTTATTTTAATTATCTTATTTTTCATTTTATTAGTTTTTTTAAAGTGAATCTTCATTTAGTTTATCAATATTATCTTAGTCTTCAGATTTTTTTTAAAATATTATATCTTCAATTTATATATTAAATTTTTGCTAATTATCTTTACCTGGTTATTCTTTTTATAAAACAATATAATCAGAATCCTTAATTAATTTAGCTGAAGGAATTTAAGAATGACCAAATATAAAAGGATCATAAATTGTATCATCACCAAGCAAAATAATACTATCTTTGATTTTATTAATTTTACTATCAGCTAAAACATCTTAATTATTTATCATTAATTAAGTTTCATCTTCTTATTTTTCATCATTCTATTTGCGAATATCAAAATTAATATATATTTCTTATTTTTAGACTTAAATAGCTCTTCCTTAATAAGAAAGAACTTAAGGAAAATCATCTAATTAATATTAGTTTAATTTGAGTGTATCATAAGATATTAACCATATAGTAGGTTCACAAGGAGAAACTGTATCAGATCCTTTAATATTTATTTTAAATAATAATTATATATTAAAGTTTTAAAAATTATTTATAATATAAATTAAATATATATATATATATATATATATATATATATATATATTTATATATATATATATATAATTTTTTTATAAAATAACCTTAATAAATAAAAAATCTATTTTTTTTAGGAAGTATTTATTGTAAATTAAATGATTGAGGTATTTAAAAACTTTAATTTTATTATAAATTTCTTAACAAGCCTTTTCCGAAACCTAAATTTGATAAAAAATTACTTTCCGAACCAAAAGTAAATAAGAAAACCATATTTAATTTTAATTAATCTGATGAGACAAATTTTACTTGCATTTCTAAAGGGAAAAAAGTATCTGAATTTCCTACCTTTTATTTTTTTATTATATTATATTTTGTATTGTATTTATTCAAATTTTTATTTTGTATTTACTGAATGATCAGAAGGACTTTTAAAAACAATTTAATATGATGAAAATATTGTATTTTAATGAGAAATTTGACCAAAGTCCCCTTTTATTGTCAATTAATTATTTATATTTTATAAAAAATGGTGTCCTTAGTTTATTTCACGAAAACTTATGTCTAAATTTAATACTTTTTTTTATATAAATAAAATATATATTAATTTTCTATTATTTTACACATATAACTAAAAGGTCCATTTATATTTATTGGGCTTTATAAGGCAGAGGCATCTAAACAATTTCCGAACCATTAATTATTTTGGTCTACTTATGAAAGTGTAGATTATTGGTTTAAATTTACTGTTAATGTTATGACTAATAAAAGTATAATAAAATAATTTTTTTTAACATATATTGTTTTTTTTATTTATTTTTAAAAATATTAATTCATGTAAATACATATATACAAATATTTATATATAATATTTTTTATTTTTTATTTTAAAAAAAAATATAAATTTAATTTTCTTTTTCTTTTTACTTTTACATATTATTTCATAAATTAATATTAAGAATTAAATTCAAATAATTATTTAATTCTTGATTATACAATATATATATGTTTTTTTAAGAGCAGACTTAATTTATTTATTTTTTTATTAAAAATATGAAAATTATAAATATTTTAATCAATTGAATTTTATTTTTTTTATATTATTCTATTATATTAATTTAATTATTCCATTTTAATGATAATCAAGTTTTATTAAATTGATAAATATAAAAAGAACTTTTAATTATTAAAGATAATAAAATAATTTTTATTTTTATTGACTTTACGCTGTTTGTCCTTATATATTGATATAAACCCCCCCATATTTGAAATAAACCCAAAGTTTCTTAATAAAAATTTATTTTTAAAAATGATCAAAAAATTTTTAACTTAAAATGAAAATTCCCTCATATATATTAACATATAAATTTATATTAAAATATTTTTGAATATATGTAATTATAAAAATAGTATTATTTTTGATAATATACTTTATGAAAATAAAGCAAATAACAGTGATTTTAGTAAAATCTTGTAGGATTTACATCACATCACTGTATTAAATTTCGACCTAATATTTTTTATATTTTCATCTATTTCTTTTAGTCTTTTTATAATTTTTTTCTTATGATCATAAATTATTTAAGAAATAATACTTATTTAGTTTATTTAAGTTAAATATTATATAAAATTTTCCTTTTTATTATCATTTTCTTAAAAGATAATTTTACTTTCGTATTTTTGTTTATTTTACTGTTTTTATTCACTTTCTATTTTTTTATTTTTTCTTATTATTTAATCATTTTTTTCTTTTATTTAAATATTTTTAAATTTTTCTAATAATCTTTTTGATAATACTAATAATTTTTTATATGGCCTTGTAAGCATATAATAGATATTATATGAATATTATGTTAGTATATATAATCAAAAATTTAATAAGAAGTTTCGAGTTTTCTAAATTATAAATACAATTTTATATTCAATAGTTTTAAAGTCGTACTTAATCAATAAATGTCATAATTTATATCAAACTAAACACTTTAATTTTTTAATTTTTATTTTAGGGTATTGGTGAATTTCGAACACAATTTAATTAGGCTCAGAGATTGGAGTTCCAAGTAACTATTCATTTTTTTCCTTTTTTATATTAATATATTAATAATTTATTTTATTTTAGTAATTATTTGTATTGCTTCTCTAATTCAAGTTATTATTTATACTGTTTAGTTTATTATTCTTGATTTTAAATTAAATACATATTTCTGAAGTATAATTAAAGTTATCAAACTTCAAATAGAACATTATTAAAAAATTTTAATTACTTTTTTCAGATTAATTTATTTATAATTTTGTCCTTTTCTGAATTATGAATAAATATTATAGTGTTTATTAAATATAATAAATATAAAATTGAATATAATATATTTTTTTTATTCTAATAAATAATATATTTATTTTATATATATTTATAAAAATTATATTTAAATATAATATATATATGTATATATATATATATATATATTTATATATATATATATATACATATATACTATATCTTTTAATAATTATAGTTTATTTATATAAAAACAATATTTTATTATTTAAAAAAAAATATTAATATAAATATTATATTTATTAAAACTGAAAATTATTATTATAAAAATTAATACATAAAGTTTATAATTAAATTAGTTAAATTAACATTATTATTTATATTCATTTACAAAACATATTAATAATTTATTTATATATTTTTAGAATATTGGAAAGTATTATATAATTTTATTAGATTTAATTAAAAAATCAAATAAATAATAAAAGTAAAAAACATTCTATTCTAATAACATAAATTTAATAAATATTTATATTATTTTTAATTATTTAGTTTCAAAATATATTTATTAAGTAATATTAAGAAAATAAAAATACAAAAAATAATTATTTGAAAGCATTTTAATATTTTTTTTTTCTATAGATTAAAAATTATAATTTGCTTTAGTTTTTTTTTTTATTTTACTGTTTCGAATACAAAAAATAATAAATAAATAAATAAATTTAATCAAATATCAATAAAATTTTAATTAATAAAACTTTCATTTAAATCTGAATTAGTTTCTATTGCATTTAAAACAACTTCATATTTATTTTCGAATTTATTCATATCTTTAGAAAAATCTTCATCTTCATTTTTATAAATTTGACAAATTTTTCCAAATAATTCTATGGGAGAATCAGGTTCAGATATTTCTCCTTTTGCTTAAATAAGTTTTCTTTTAAGATCAGGTAGATTTAAGCTTTTTATTTTTTTAATTAATTTTAGATTACTTAAAGATAATTAAGTTTCTCCTTATTATTTTAATTCTTTAAATCCTTTCAAAAAAGCTTTTGAATGTAATAATAAGATTTCTTTTATAAGATCTTTAGTGACTTATTTTGTAAAAATTGATAACATTTCAGGTCTCACCTATATATTAGGTGCAACACCTTTAAGGCTATCTTAAAAAGAAATTTATATTTATCGTACTTTATCTTAAATTTCTTAATCATTTTTATACTAAATTTCTATTGCGTATTACATACTATCTTTTGATATTTCATATTTTATTAATAAATAATTTTATTTTTCTTCGAATTATTTTGTTATGTCATCTTTTATTAATTCTCCTAGTTCTCGTCCATCTGGCATTATTAAATTATCATTATTTTTAATTTTAAGCTTTTTTATTATTGTCGATGCATTTAAAAATAATGAAAGCAATTATGAACGAAAATCATGGAGAAATTATAATACTTATAATCTTTCGAGTTATAAGTCTTTTTTTCTTTTTTCTAAGTAATTATTATATAAGTAAAGTAACGAACCTGTTGTTAGTAAGGAAATTGAACCAAATAATAAAATATTTATTTTTTTATCCATAATATTAATATATAAATATATATATTTATATATATATATATATATATATATATTTATATATTTAATATTTATTAGAGTTAATAAATTGTCATTTTTTTTATAAGATTTATTTATTTTTAATTGCTTTTTTATATTGATTTAGTTTTGATTTTATTATATATATTTATATGTATATTTATATTTTATTTATATTTGTTTAATTTATTTATAAATGATTAAAATAAAAAATAAATTCAATATATATAATATTAAAATAAATAAAAGAAAAAAATATATATATATAAAAATGGCAGATTTAAAAAATATAATAAAAATATTCACAGAAAGTTTAAAAGAACAAGCATGTGTAGAAAATGAATAATGTCTAGAAATTTCAACAGATATATCATATGCAATAAAAAAAATAATACCAAACTATAATTCAAAGGAATTTAGAGATAAGGTTAATTTTTTAAAAATGAAATTAAAAGGCTAAAGAAATTAAGTTATAAGATAAGCTTTATTAGAAAATAAAATAACTCCTGAAGAATTTGTTTTATTGCCTTAAGAAAACTATAATTCAAATTATTTTGATGAACTTTTAAAATAAAAATCAAAGTCTAGCATTAATTAACTAGAAAAAAAGAAAAATGAAAATATAGATTAAAATCAATAATTAATAAATACATAAAAATAATAATAATAATAATAGCTATAATAATAATAATAATAATATTAATAATAATTTTAATAGTAAAATTTAATAGAAAAAAATTAATCTTAGTTTAGTTAACATTCTTCTTTCAAAATTTCTGCATAATCATCACCAGTTAATAATAATAATCAATACAAAAAATAAAAAATTTCTTAATAAAATATATTTATTAATTCATATAATTAAACACCATCAAAATAATGTAATAAAATAGATGATCATGAAGAATAATAATAGTAAGAATATAAAATTAAAAATTATAAAATATCTCCTGAAAAAAATAATAACTAAATATACATAAAAAAATCTCCTTAAAAATAATAATAAAATAATTAGTAAATTAATGAAAATTAATTTTAAAATTAAAGATTTTCGCCTAATTAAGATAAAAATATTTAAAAAGATTTAATATAAAATATAGAATAAAATAAACAATAAATTTAAATATCGAATAATAAAATTGATATAAATAATATTAATAATAATAATAATAATAATAATAATAATAATAACAACAATAATAATATTTTTAAAGATAATATTGATAATATTAACCTTAACTAATCACAACATTAATCCTAATTATTTAATTTATATTAAAAAAATAATTCTTAATTATCACCTTTTAAAAACGATAAATATTAATAAATCAATTAAAATATTTAATAAAAATCAGATTTTATATAGGTTGAAAATAATAATAATACAGGGAAAGAATGGGAAAATAATATTTTAAAAGAAGAAAACAATATTTTGAAACGTAGAATTAATGAGTTTCTTATTATATTGGAATAAAAAGACAATTCATAAAAAAGATTTTAGTAGAAAAAGAAAGAATTATTCATATTTAAGAATAGGAAAATAAATAAATTAATGAAGAGTTATAGGCTATTAAAGAATATCTAGATGATATTATAGCTCAAAATGGATAGTTTAAATAATAGTATGATCAAATGAAAAATATTTATGAAAAAAATGAAAATAATCTAAGAAATCAAATTTCAAATTTACAAAACTCTATTTACAATGAATTTTAAAATTAAATTAATTAATTATAATGTGAAAATGAAGCTATTAGAGTCGAAAATAAT